GCCATTCGAGCGCAACATCCTCGATTTGTTAAATCTCTTCTTCCTCCGAATACCAGATAATAATGACATCGCCAACCCGTCGATATTTTAATACGCTTTTTAAGCGTAGAATAATTGTGGGTATTAGGTATAACGTGAATCATTGGCATTATGATTGATGTTTTTCTTCAATGATTCTCTTTCTTTTGCGCTGCGTTGGGTGCGTGATATGATATTGTTGTTGAAAGGACTTGGGAGTTGGACAAGAGATTGGGATCCATTTTCTATGGTGGGGGGCAAGATCCATGAGTATAGAGAATGACCATGAATTTTTCTTTTTCTTTTTTTTTGGGTTGAATGACCACGAATTGACGATTAGGAAAAAAAGGTACGGTCATTGCGTTTTGTGTCCCTCGATATTCCAATTTCGAAGTGACATCGATGAATGGTTAATTAATAGGGAAAAAAATATTTACTTAGGAGAAATTCTTTCCATTTTGATCGGACTCGGACTTGAGCCCGCGGCTCCTGATTAGGGACCTCGGCCTCGTGCCGTGACCGGACGTCCGAACCTTGAGACCTCGGCCTCCCGCTTTATGTTTGGCCCCTGGGGGACGCCTAGATCGATCGAGGCATTAGAGGGCCGGGCCTTGAGTCTCCGGCATTGCGGGACTTGAGTTGTCGACGCCCAGACTCGCATCCCTGAGGGTCGAATTCGAGACTCTGTGATGTGAAACCGAGTCCCTTCTTTTTTTTTGGGGCGATAAAACGGGTCAAAAGTGCGATTCAGCATTCATCGAAGCCTTTTCCTTATAAGCATGGTCTAGAGCTCTTCGGCCTACCAAAATCTTAGAAACAACTCCCATCACATTTTCGAGCACCAATTGCACACCAAAAATCACATCCTCTTTACAAGAAAAAACGAGCCAGTCATTTTTCGAAAAACTCCTCGGACGTCGCGTATCATTTTACCGTTACATTAAAATCGGCTGCGTACCATTGTTTTTATACCGTTGGTTTGTCGATTTTTCCCTCAGTGGTTTGCGAACGGCACGTCGATTTAATACCATTAAAATCGCATGGATTGCAACTTCGTGTGCTAGAATACCAAACAAGATTTGCGAAGCAAAGTTGTCGGTGGCAAGCTGCTGGAATGGCGGTGGTTGCGAAGTGGGGGAGGGGGTTGTCCCTTTCTCGACGAAAGCACCGAAGAAGCAGAAGCAGAAGCAGAAGCAGCAGCGGCGACAGGATCAGTCGATCGAATGACCTTCCGTACCAGAAGCAGTAGCCATCAGATTGACCATAAACATTGACAAAAACATTGGATGCTCTTTTTGTTACGCAAAAAGTCATCAAGAAAATCATAAATTATATTTATTACGATGCGCGACGTATTTATCTTTTGTCAAATTTTATTAACGAGAACTTTTTAGAAATCTATTTTCTGCTTGCATGAACGCCGTAAAGCAAACAGTATTGGTATGGCGCCCGCGTTGCTTACGCGAAATAGAAAGGATATTGTTTTGGCTGAAAGATCAGATTAAATGTGTCACATAGATATAAATTTGTGGATTTTTTTTATGTCATCAAAAAATGTTTAAGGTATATGTGTCACGGTGGTCATAATTTTGGGGTTTTCGATGTTACAAATGTGTCACGGTCAACATAATTTGAGGTTCGTTTTAATGATTTTTTTCCACTTTTATATAAAGATTTGAGATCGAGAAAAATCTTACATTTTAAGCAATTAAATGATTGATGCGCCCCGCCATTGATCAGAGAGTCTGAATCGTCACGTGCTCGTCATCGTTGCTTGCCATTGCCGTGACGGTCAAAGGGCCGCCATTGCCCTCGGCGATGCCCCCCCATAGAGGCCAACTCGGTGTCGCACTATTCGTGCCCGAATTGGGTTCACTCCGCACACGCACGCGCGCGTGCGCATAGACCTGATCGACGACGGCCACGGAGGTCGCATCCTCCGGATACAGAAGGCGGCCCAATTAGAGGAGTCGAGTCGGCAAGGGCGGGGGCGGCGATGACAGCGGCTGATGAAGGTGCGTCGGCAAGGCTCGCCGGCGGCGACAGATGGCGGTTGGCGGGGTGGGGCCGCTATATCTGGGAATAAGACATCTCTCGGTCAAATTGAATGCTCAATATGCCAGCGTATTTCTTTGGGAGAGACCTGATTGTGGGGAATCTCTATGGTTTTTTGCTCAAAATGCGCGGCTCCACCTTCTCATTTGGTCCACATGCGTTGAGCCAGAGTCTCCTCTAAATATGTTGCGAAAAAAAAAAGTGCACTACATGTTTCAAATCTGCCGCATACCCGCAACCTCTTTTTATCAATAAGAAAATACCACGTCACTGATCCCCATCGATCCAAGTTACCAGAGTAACTTGGAATTACGGAATCCGAAAGTTAAACGAGCGATCGAAAAGTCGGAGCGCTAAATCGAGTGCCCGTACGACATTCGGGGGGGGTATCGAGAGAGAGAGCGAGAGAGCCCGTCGATGGACCCGCATCCAATCGAGAGCTCAAACGGCAGCGACGAGAGCGCAAACCGGAACATACTAATCGCTCCACGTTATGTCGACACGCTCCGCCCGGTTACCATTTTTCCAAATTACTCTTTAAGGTCAGCTCTTTTTTTGGCTGCTTTTTTTTTTGGGATAAATGGGACTCGTCGGTAGAGCAATACGCATCCCATTTTGCATAGGCCGAATATGTTGACCAGCAAATCCGGGCGTTGATATCGGCGATTTCGGTGACAAAAGACGAGCCCTTTTTCTTATCCCGCTTTTGCTGCGAAAGTTTGCAGCACAAAGAGTCGCTGACAGCCCAAAGGAGGGACGAAAAGGAAAAGGCTCTCGCCATCGAGCTTTGCAACGCCCCAAACCATTGACCAAAATGACCAAGAGCTACACACACACACAAATCATGCCCGTTTTTTCTTTGGCAGAAAAGAACAAAAGGAAACCCCTTTTCTGTTTATAGGATGATGCGGTCCCGTCCCTCTCTCTCTCTTTCTCCCTCCCTCCACTCTGCGTTTTCATCCCTTTTCCATCACCTACTAATCAACCCTCGATCGAATTGATCGACCGGTCGCCACGCGACCGGCCGAGCCGCCCGTTAAAGTGTTCGATCGTTAATCTTAAACGGCTCGGGTTGCGAGTTTGTCGACTGCCACCGAGACATGACCTCTCCTTTGTTTTGCGAATTAGCGTTAACATTACAACCGAGTTTGATTTAATGGTTGTCTATCTAAATGGTCCGTTTGTTTGAAGAAAAACTGTTTTCCTAAGAAATTTTTTTCCAGCTTTTTTCGATATTTGAATTACGGAAAACTAATCGGTGTAGGGAAAAGTTTTCTAGGGACTGAAATTAATAAGCTTAGATCGGATGAAAGCGATTTTTCCTTTCTAACAAGAAAAAAATCAGTTTTATTAAACCACCAAACGAATGAAAAATAACTATTTTTCTTTGGAAATGATTTCCGTGGAAAATATTTTCCTTTATCAAAAAGTTTTTCAGCGAAACTAATGCACCATTGATTTAAGTTATTGGAAGAATATCGGGTTGAATCGCTGTATATAATCTGTTCGTACACTTCTTTTACGGCCTTTAATTGTACGATTGAAATAGAAGAGCGGGTCCGTGGAATAATCGAATCGATTGATATGTATGGTTCTTGAAACTTAGAATTTAACTCAGTTTTGATGTTTGATATGTAGTCATAAATTCTAAATTCTTATGCGCTTGGCCATTATTGATATCATAGGACATTTAAAACTACAGTGCACTAATTGAGAACAAAACTTGATCTGCAAAAAAAAAAAAAATAGTATAGTATCTACGTTGATCGCATTTGCTTAAGAACACCCCTTAATTTGACCGTCTTAAATGTGCATGCATCCTAAGATTGGACAAGATATCAAAACGCACGGCTGATCTTGGTATGAAACGGACACGGTGTGTTATGTCGTAATTGTACTTTTGCCCAAATTGTATTCGTCGATCCTATGCTTTTCATGAATAGCAAGTTATCAGCTACTTCCAATTTTTTTTTCTGTCCAAAACTATCCTCAAATTTACGTGCTGTCTATATACACGTGCGATCTCCTTCTATATTATCAACTTAACCTCTTGTAACAAAGACGTGCAACAATTCCTTCGAACGATATCGGTCATTTCTTTCCGTCCGTTGAAAAATCCAAATGTTTCTTAGTAAAGCAATTTCATTGAATTCAAACAATTAATTGACGAATATACGTAACGGGCGTGCACTTTCACGGGTATCTCGAAAATCTAGGAATTCCAGCACAAGCGTGATAAAGTTTCTCTACTCGTACATTAATCTTTTCCCCCTCAACATAGCAAGTACATGCGCGCGCGCGTGTGTATATACATGTAGTTCTCCTCTTTACGTACGTGTTCAGTAGAGGATGGATCATAATTCACGATCGGTAGTCATATGAACTCATCATGCAGCCCAACCCCCTCCCATCATTGCCGAGAACCAACCACGCCACTGTTGTTATTCACGGGATGGAGACCCCCGATGTGGCCTGGCATGGCGATGATGGCGATCGATCTCGTTGACGACCATGACAACGGAAACGTCGCATTGAGAAAATCGAGAATTGCCCCCCCTCCCTCCCCCCCCAACTGTTCCCTTCTCTTCATCACCATCGTCATCATCACTGCTTCGGTTGGACACTGTGATGTGTGAAAAGGGGGTAAAAATATGCACAGTACACACTACACACTACACAGTCCCATCCTTCACCATCAGCAGCATACATCAAAGCTAGCCAAGCAGAATCTTAGCTGGATCCACCACCTTCCACCTCCCTCCCTCCCTCCCCTCCCTCCCCTCCTTCCTTCATCATTCATCCCCCCAGTTTCTCTCTTCTGATCTGATCTCACACCCACTTTCTCTCTCTCTCTCTCTACAGTCCCCACAAAGCAAGCGCCACCGCCATTACTGCACTCTCCCTCCCTCCCTCCCCCAGTCAGACAGCTCCCTCCTTTCTACTTCACAATGCCCACCTCCACCTCCTCCTCCATCTTCCTCTCCTTCCTCCTCCTCCTCCTCTTCTTGGCCTCCTGCGCGGCACCCACCGGCTCCTCCGCCCCCAACCGCCGCGCCCTCCACGAGCCCTTCGTCCCCGACGGCTCCTCCCCTCCCTCCTCCTCCCCTCCCGCCTCCTCCCCTCCCTCCACCCCCAAGTACCCTTTCTCCTCCACCACCACCACCAACACATCCTCCTCCTCCGCCACCGCCCCCGACCAGTCCCCCTTCTTCCCAGCCTACCCTTCCCCTCCCCCTCCCCCCTCCCCAGCCTCCTACGCCTCCTTCCCCGCCAACATCTCCTCCCTCATCCTCCCCCGCTCCTCCCAGCCCCGCCCCTCCTCCACCCGCAAGCTCCTCCCCGTCGCCATCGCCGTCACCCTCTCCGCCCTCCTCGTCCTCTTGGCTGCCGCCCTCCTCGTCCTCCTCCGCCGCCGCCGCCGCCGCCGCCTGAGCCGGGACTTCGCCTCCGACGATGCCAAGACCCAGGGATCCGATGCCGCCAACGGCGGCTTGCCGGGCAATGCCGAGGCGAGCGCTCGCGCCCGCAAGCAGAGGACGACCTCCGGAGCCAGCTCCGAGTTCCTCTACTTGGGGACCATGGTGAACTCCCGTGGGATCGAAGAGCCCCGCGGCAATGGAGGAGGCGGAGCGGCTGGCCGCGGCGGCGGCGGCGGCGGAGGAGGAGGCCTGGACCCGAGGAAGATGGACTCGCCGGAGCTCCAGCCACTGCCGCCGCTGGCGCGGCAGAGCTCGGGGCAGAACTACTGGAATGGCAATGGAGACGTCCGGCAGCTGCCGCCGCCGGCGCGACAGAGCTTCAGGCAGAACTGCGGGAATGGGAATGGGGACGTGAGCTCGACGGCGGGCGAGACGGAGGAGGAGTTCTACTCACCGCGAGGCTCGTTGGGAGGCCGGGAGAGCTCGATCGGCGCTGGATCGGGGTCGAGGAGGGCGTTCGCCGCCGTAGGGATGGAAACCCTCGGCGATGGCGGTAGGAGGAGCGACTCGAGCTCGTCTTCCTACTCGTCTTCTACCTCGGGCTCTCCTGCTCGGTCGCACTCGATCAGTCTCTCGCCGCCGGTGAGCTTGAGCCCCGGGAAGTCGCAACCCAAATCCCCAGAACACGTCTTCGTCGAAGCAGAAGAAGCAGAAGCTCAGGAAACTTCATCGCTGCCGACACATTACGCCACGCCGTACGCCGACGAGAGCAAGACTCCTCTGCTCTCTTCGGAAGCTTCCTCGCCCGAGAGAGATTTGGGAAAATCCGACCGGAAAGTCCAGTCTCCATCGCTGTCCCCCATGTCGTGGTCGCCGGAGCGAGGGTCGGAGAGAGCTCCGGACATCTCGTTGAGAATGTGGACCGTCACGGAAGAGGTCGGACGCTCGTCGTCGCCGTCTCTGCATTCTTCTCCGCTGATTAGAAGCCTGGAGAGAAGTCCGGTCGCCTCGCCGAGGCTGTCCGACGCCTCGCCCCGCATCGGGCGGTCTCGGCTGTCCTCTCCTCTGTCGCAGTCGCCGGCCAGAGAATCCGAGGAAAACCGAGACGCCTCCCTGAGGAAATCGGATGTTTCGGCAGGAAGCTCGCGGTTTTCTCTTCACTCGAGCCCCGGCTCGCCGAGTGGAAGATCCGAGCGATTCGAGCACGGATCGTCGCCGAGATCGTCCAATGCTTCGGTCGGCAATCTGCATTCTCAACCGGCTTCTCCTGTAATTGCGTCTCCGAAGAAAGATTCGAGTGCTAATGATCAGTTTGTGCAGTCTCCTGCGAGAGTTAGCACTACCTCGCAGCCGCAGCAGCAGCAGCCTCCAGTTCCAGCAGCGGTGCCGCCGCCACCGCCGCCGCCGCCGCCACCTCCGCCACCGCCACCGCTTCCGCCACTACAACAGAAGGTCAAGGACGTTCCGCTTCCTTGGACACCGACCGGTCAACCGATTTCGGAGCCGCCTCGCCTGATTCCACCGTCGAGGCCTTTCGTGCTCCAGAACCCGACCGAAGTTTCTCCAGTTCAGTTGCCACCGAGCGTCGAGACTGCGGAGAAGGCGGAGAAGATGGAGGATACTCCGAAACCGAAGTTGAAGCCCCTGCATTGGGATAAAGTGAGAGCGAGCTCGGATCGGGAGATGGTCTGGGATCAGTTGAGATCAAGCTCTTTCAAGTAAGATTAGCTTTTCTCTTTGCAAAGCGTTTCTCTTTTACTTAATTTGACCGGTCTGCATTTCATAGGTCACTGTTTGGGTGTTCTCCTCGTGCTTTTAACTCTGAAGAGTTGGGTTTGGTGCAGGTTGAACGAGGAGATGATTGAGACCTTGTTTATTGTAAATACCCCGGGTTCGAAAACGAAGGAGACAACTCCGCGCTCGGTTCTTCCTTCTCCGCACCCGGAGGACAGAGTTCTTGATCCTAAAAAGTCGCAAAACATCGCGATTTCGCTGAGGGCGCTCAACGTCACCATAGAGGAGGTCTGCGAGGGCCTTTTAGAAGGTAATCGTCCATCATGTTTGGCGAAATAGTCTGCATGTTATCTGTCTGAACGTTGATGAATAGAACTTAATGGGAACTATTACTATTCTTACTATGGTCAATCTAAAATTTGTTCAGGTTGGATTTTGTTGTTATTGATAATACTTGCCTATTTCATTCCCAAGCATATGTTTGACCTTAAGTGGCAATTTTTCCGATTTAAAGATGGGTAATAAAGAATCATCTCATTTTGTTAATGGATGGACAGAATCATGTAAATGCTCAATCATGTACCTGTAATAAAGCCCCTTTCTTTATTTACCATTTTAAGCACGGCAACATTTGAGCATCCGAAGGTCTGCTTCCAGGGGACCTTTTCCTTTCTCTTCTTTTTCCCCCCGGTAAATTTGTCAGTCATTTGTGCAGTAGTTTCTGGATTGCACCTACTTGCTCCTCTCTGGTGGAAATAAATGAAAACTGTAGAGTTATTTATGGTTCTTGATCTTTGTTGAGAAGGTAGTTACTAATTTTTGACTCTGTTAATTTCCATCTTTACTGGTGAAAAGTGACACAAACGAAAATGGCTTGTGAAAGTTAGTTACTCCATGTAGATTTTGACAAAGTTATTCTTTCGAACATTCATGTGAAGTTCATGATGTATTGTCAAATTATTGGAGATTGGTTATACCAAGGAGCGCATCTACCTGTAAAGTTCCATGACAGACAATCATTAGAAAGATAGCATGGATGACAAAATTTTTTTTCACAGAAGGAGAGCGCCGATTCTTTTAGCATTAGCATTCTGAAGATGGAGCTTAATTTTTCTTGCTCATGCTTGCAGGTAATGCGGACACACTTGGAGCGGAACTTCTTGAAAGTTTATTAAAGATGGCTCCCACCAAAGAAGAAGAACGCAAACTGAAGGAATACAAAGATGATTCACCTGTCAAGCTTGGTCCTGCTGAGAAGTTTCTTAAGGCTGTGCTTGATGTGCCGCTTGCATTTAAGAGAGTTGATGCAATGCTTTATGTTGCCAATTTTGAGTCTGAAGTTGAATACCTTAAAAGATCTTTCGAAACTCTAGAGGTAAATTTCACATGTGGCCTCTCTCTCTCTCTCTCTCTCTGCCGTGTCCAACCCATATATGCTGTCATGCTGGAACTCCTAGTGAAATTCTAGTTTTCATGCTCCTCTCTGATGTTGTATCTCATTAACGTCTTTGTTTTAACTTCGCATCTCGTGTAACAGACTGCATGTGAGGAGCTCAGGAACAGCAGAATGTTTTTGAAGTTATTGGAAGCAGTCCTCAAAACCGGGAACCGCATGAATGTGGGAACAAATCGCGGGGATGCCCATGCTTTCAAGCTTGACACGCTTCTGAAGCTAGTTGATGTCAAGGGCGCTGATGGAAAAACCACGCTCCTGCACTTTGTCGTACAGGAAATCATTAGAACTGAAGGCGCTCGCCTTTCAGGGACCCAGCAAGGTTCGAATCCCACTTTGAATGAAGATGCCAAGTGTCGCAAGCTTGGCCTGCAAGTTGTTTCTGGCCTCAGTTCAGACCTTGGCAATGTGAAGAAAGCTGCTGCCATGGACTCCGATGTACTGAGCAGTGATGTCAACAAACTATCTAGGGGTATAGAGAACATTAGAGAAATTGTGCGATTAATAGAAACAACAGGATCAGGGGAAAGCAGCAAGAAGTTTTCGGAGACTATGAACAAGTTCGCTAAAATGGCTGAGGAAGAGATCATACGAATTCAGGCCCAGGAAAGTGTTGCCATGTCTCTAGTAAAAGAGATCACAGAGTACTTCCACGGAGATTCAGCTAAGGAAGAAGCTCACCCATTCAGAATCTTCATGGTGGTGAGAGACTTTCTTGCTGTCCTCGACCGGGTATGCAGAGAAGCTGGTTCCATAAATGAGCGAACGGTAGTTAGTTCTGCCCATAGACTTCCCGTGCCAATTAACCCGATGCTACCAATGCCCATTAATCCGACTCTTCCACAAGTTTTTCCGGCATTTAATGGCCGGCGGCAGCACAGTTTCTCAGATGATGAAAGCGCATCTCCTTAGGTTCTCTCTGATATGCAATGCTCATCGCTCTTCCGGGCATCAAGCTAAAGCAGATAAACCTTAAAATCTTGGAAGGGTGGAGCTGGGACAGGCTCAGGCTACCCGGTATGTGTAATTTACTTTCCTCTTGTAGCATTCCATTTGTACCTGTATAAAGTCCATGTAATAGATTTAAATGGTTTTGGCCTATAGATATAATATACAAAGGAGGAAGTTTTCTTCGGGGACAATAAGGTAGTCACTATGTTTAGCTGAATGTTTTCGTAGGTGGTCAAAAGTTTTGTTTAGAGCAAGGCTCAGATGGGAAACATCCAAAGCTCATGTCTGTATATCTGTCTTCTTGTAGAAAGTGGTCATGTATATGCCAGAAAACAGTTTGAAATTCCGTTTGCTCGAATTCTTTACCGTGTGGCTTCTAAGGTGATCGGTTAGCCGAAAGCCATGAATGCGGGCTTCTTGCAAGGGGTCGCTTTCTTTCTCAGTGACAGATCTTAGTTTAAATTTGAACTTGACACTCGCATTGGTTGGGCAAGGCTACCCCTCTATGTATTTTGGTGGCGAAAGATGATTCGAATTTGAAAATTTGGAGTTGCAGAAACAGATAAGACAAGGAATTGGTATAAAGAAGGCACTACATTTTCAAAGTCTATTAGTTTAGTGTCTAGGACAAGTTTGACGACTTGGGTTCATATATAATAGCTGTATCCTGCAAATAAGACGACAAAGATCCAGCTTGAATCGTGGAAAAAGTCATCCGTTTCTTCCCGGCTTCTAGTTGGCAAGTGTTCTTGACTTTAGTGCGTGAGATAATATTGTTATTTTTTGGTCATCTGGATGCCTCTTTGCATCTTCTTGGATGCCTTTTCAAAACAACCAAGGGCGATTACTTGTTTTCCTGTACCGTGCGTGAAAGAACAGTGTCCAGTGCAATCCATACAGATTAAACTTCTTTGAGTCGGGTCGAACATTCGCGCATCAGATTATCGAATCTCCTTGCTTGATTCTTTGATCTTTTGAATTCTTTTCTCCCACTTGCAATTTGAAAAGACTCTATTTGGAGCAGACGCACCGTTAATAGCGTGATAAGCCTTTGAGGAAGAATCTTGGTTTACACGTGAACTTTGTGATTTGCCAGATATAATGCAGTACCATGGGAATATGGTCGAGATCTGATGCACCGGATCTTATGAAGAAAGGTGCTGGCCCGATCATATTGAGTACATGATTATCTGCTTCTCTGCTTCGTAAATGTGCCATATGCGTCGATTCGAACTTCAAAAGTAGCCATTTTGGCAGAGGAAAGCGAAGGAAGCCCCGTAATCAAAACTGGCTAGAGTTAGGAATCGCATAATACCAAAGAAAGTTCATGTCTTAGGCATTAGTTCGGGCACGAGTACAATTGTGGGAAGCTGAAATGCCCATCTCAGTCTGAACTCCAAAGATATAATAAGCATCGCATTTTCCCTTAATGGTACTACAATCTGGTGAATCATTTGGCTACTAAGAATATGATCATGATATGCATTGAATCCATTCAAATCGGTATTTATACCTATCAAGGTAAAGCCATTCTACATTCTATTTAACTCAATGGCATTACCTCTTTATGCTCGATAGGAGAGTGGGAAGCGACCAATGTAGGGCTACCCCTATATTAGATTCAACATGTCAATTAGCAACATGTAATTTCCGGTACGATCCACGTGGGCACTCCAGTCTGTCGAGGGATACTCCATACTACCAACGAATGATGCCCTCAGCCTAAAAACTATATGCATAACCATCTGTGCATTAAGGCTGCAAGGTCTCAGCATCCATGCGCTCCAGAATACGCCGCGCTTCCTCCTCTGTTGCAGGAACCACGTTCCTAATTCTGAATCCATCTTCCAGAGCTTTTGCCTCGGGACGCACCGTGAAAGTGAAGTAGAAGGTGTTTGATACCTGAACCAACGAGAGATGGATAAGTCAAAGAACAACAAGAACATTGTGAGAAGTTAAGTGGTAAGGGTACAAACCAACATCAAAATGAGAATTTTTAGAGATTGTTTAAAGAACGTGATGCTGAATGAGTACTGCAACGGTCAAGACCTGTAACAGGACATACCTCGCTAGACCTGAGCTCGGGCCTTGTGACATGGGCGACAACTTCAACGTTGATCAGAGGCCCATCTGGTTTCTCCGGTTCAGTGTACAGCACACATGATTTGAACCTCAGAAAGTCTCCAACATCCACCTGCTCGAAAGGAAACCTTAGCTAAAGACTGTGAATCCACAATAAGCCAAAAAAGAAAAGAAAAAGAAAGGTGGAAAGAAGGGAATAATTTGGGCTATCTAATATAGCACGAAAAAACAATAAAAGCAAGTGATAAGTAAAAGTTCTGTTCCCTAAAAATACGAAAAAAATTGTAAGAGCTATCCAGGGAAGAGATGAAGAATCATTTAGGCTTAGCATCAAAGATGAGAGTATTGCTGTACCAGAGACTAAAATATTAGTACAAACAATTAAATGACTTAGAAAAAGAGGTGGCCTGGGCACTCACAGGTCTCAAAAAATCAACGTGATCAACCTCTAGGAAGCAAGGCACCAAGCCGGCAAAGGCATAAGCTGTGGAGAAAGCCAACTCAAATGCTCGGTGCATTAAAAACCCTCCGAATATCCGACCATGGATATTCCTCTGCTGTGGCTGGCAAATTAAAGAATTCTCGAGATGGGTATCCCTTAGAAGAATGCTGTTTCTATCTGCTAAGGCAGGCATATCAGAGAAAATCCTTCCCTCGGCCAACAACTCCTTCAGTCTCTTCACAATTCCGTCATCAGTTTCCTTTCTTTCTCCAACACTCTTTCTTTTCCTCAGTTTACTTCTAGCTTCTGCCTCTTTGAAAAGCAGTTTCTCTTGGTCAGTCTCAGGGGAGAGCCGATTCACCGGAGCAGCTTTATGGGTCTTAGAGTCACGAGCAACAAATATAAAGTTGGCTGTCAATGCTACTGACTTTGTGGCATTAGACTTCTCTGCAAATGCAAATATTCTCTCATCAACTGCATATAATCTTCTGCATATTCTTGAGCAACTGTCCAGTATACAGGGAAAACAAATCACACTTTTCTCAACTTTTGAACATGTACCATCACAACAAAACAATTGGGTTCACTGTTAGTACTTGAAGCATCCCTTTTGTTTTCTCAACATATATACATAGCAAACATTTATGAAATATATATATTTTTTGGCTCCTGGTATAGTACCGTAGAGCTTTTCATCCAGTAGTAAATGTTAAGCTCATAAAATGACTGACAGTTGTAAACTACCTCAGATGTAAATTATAATATCACTGAATTACGGCCTTTTGCATGCTAAAGTACCTCCAGAAAATTGAATCACTTCAAGTTGAATTTCCATGGATGAGTGCCCGACCCATATGACAGAACCCACGATTTTCAGGTCGATGTCAACACTGATTGGCTTCTTCAAGACAATCTTGTCAACTGAAGCAGTAACTAGAAGAAGTGGTCTCGTTGTGCTATCCTCATCAGAACAGTGCTAAAACAAAACAATGGCTTGATTAGTAAATGAGAGAACATTTAGTTACTGGGAAGGGGATTGTAACACTGACTTTGGCACATTATCGGCTCACTTCATCATTTGACCAGAAATGACAGGTCATATGCACCGATGAATTGAAAACATCATTGAGGTCACAGATATTATTGGATTTCAAGTTTAAATAAATTTACATGAATTCAGCGGTCCAACTCAATGTTAAGGCTACATTTTCTGAAAGGAGCCATTGTCAGGGAAAGTTAATGAGACCGTCTTTACTTAGAACACACGAAAACAACTTATCCAGATGAAAGAAGGCGGCAAAAATGAAACACAAGACAACCTTGAGACTACAGCATGTTTCCTCATGCTATTGGCTCATCAATATAACTTAACCACTCGGCTTTGGATGCCTCTGATAAAGCAGGGTCACCCAATACTCAAACAGTGCTATTGATTTCGCAATCTGCCAATTGCAACAAGTGCCCATTTCCTCATAAGGAGCCAAAGCAGGATTGAATAATATCTTGAGAAGTCAAAGTGACACAACTATGTCTAGGTCCAGGATGCATCTCCTTGAGAGGAAGTCGTGAACAACGGTGATGGTGTTTTAAAGGGTCCATCTCTTGCTCAACAACACGGTAAACATCGAATATTCATGACACTACGAGCATGGCAATGAACCACAATCACAAGCCTCTCATTAGCACAAGCAAATGTATATTGCCGAATCAATCAAAGCATGGATGCATCAAAACCAGCCAGCAACGAAACTTTCATTTCAATTTAAGTATTCCTAAAGCAGCTAAACATTTTCAGCACAATTCGGCGGTGCGGTCACATCCTCATGGCCGAGCACAACAACCCAACTCAGATAATCGAATTACAAGAACCACCGAAGATGAACAACCCTCCGATGACAAAAAATGCACAAAGATGATCACAACACAAAAACTTCAACAAAAAATTACCTTGACCGAGATGGTACCGGCCAAAGCATCGAGGTCTTCGAGCAACTTCCCAATCCTGACCTCGTTCCAGGGGTCCCTGTACTGCTCCCTCAGAATGTAATCCGACGAGAAGCCGTACAAGATGCTGGTCCTGCTCTGCGACGGCGTCTTGACCAGCAACTCGCTCTGCGGGGGCGCGTCCTTGGGGGGGTCGAGGAGCCGCTCGAAGGTACTCGACCTCGTCTCCCACAGGGCGATCGTCACCGGCGAGTGGTACATTCCCGGCCACAGGCTGATCGGCTTCCGAGACCCGTTGATCTGAGCCGAGCCGTCGTACGGCGAGGCGAGGGTGGAGAAGACAGGGATTGCGTGGGGCGAGCCGGGTTCCATGGCCAAATGGGTGCTCCTGTTTCCCCTTTTCTCGATGATCGGAGAGAGAGAGAGAGAGAGAGAGAGAGAGGGAGAGTGAGCTTCAGGCGATCAAACAGTGAATTGGGTTCTTCTGGTTTCCGATCAAGGAGGAAACTTTCTTCGTGGTTTGAGGAGAAACAAGAAACCCAACAAGAAACCTGGAAAAGGTATCTGATTCCTGGATGGTTTTGTGAGCTGCGAACTTTTTACGGGCTGTTCAAAGGAGATGGGTAGGGACTAGGGAGGGGGCTTCCACGAAGTCCGGAGGGAGTGGTGGTGGGGTTCGACTCCATTAATGCAACGGGAGGAAGTTCTTTGCTTGAGAGAGGAGGACGGCTCTCTGAAGTCATTACACGGTTACACCCCTAGCAAAGTCCTTGTACGCATCCTCCTAGGACGACCGGAACCCATAAATTCCAACGTTATCTCAGCCATTCGATGGTATGAATCGCATGTATGATCTATTCGTTGGAAATGTAATTCTCTCTCTCTCTCTACTGTAAAGAATGTTCTATGACCACGAGAACGAAGAGAGTCCCTTGCCTAGACCCGAGTCGAATCACGGCCGTGGATCATTCAGGACCGCACAATCGGCAGTGTATCCAGATGTTTCCTTGATGCCTCAATCAATCACGATCCTTGATATCTACACAAAAAATATGGTCCAATGATTAAGATTGGTGAAGGTATCAAGGGGCCCCTTTAAGTGGTTGAGGACTCAAATCCCCACATTTGGCTTGATGAGATAGGATTCGATGGCATTAAAGCATGAAAAACGAGTGGACTAGAATGAAAAAAAATAATGTTTATTGCCAAGATTATAAGGAAAAACTTATTATAATGAAATGGATTAGCGATTTTCTTTTTATTGTAGGATGTAGATTGGAGTGAAATTTCACTAAATTTTCTCTTATATTTATGATGTCCTGCCATATGTTCAAAATAATGTTTCAATTTATAGGGCAATGTGATTATAATTGAGAGAGAGCGAGAGAGAGAGAGAGTGCTTAGTACTGTGAAGTGCTTCTATGAATTTGATAATACATATTTTAAGGTTGTACCATCTCAAATTTGGTGAAACATCCTCCTTAAAATGGCAATATTTGGAACTCTTACATTTCAAATTTCTTTAACCCCCACGGTTTACGCAATTGATGGGCATTGGGGATTTCTAGTTTAGGAGATGGAGGTCACCTATTCAAATCCTATCAACTGCATGCAAACTGCTATGCATTAGAGTCACTTGCACAACTTAACTGGTTCATAAGGCTTATAAGGTATTTCATGAGACTCAAAGTAGTGAAGTCGCCAGATCTATATCCCTAGATTATTAAAAAAAAAAAACTTCTAAAGATTTGGGTGATTACAACTGTGAAGAATTTGTCAAAAATCTCATAAAAATTGCAGTACCCTTTTGAATAGTTGTTGGATTGTCTATATTGACTATTCAATTACATGGTGATTGTTAGTCACCTGCAAGTTATGACCTGAATATTCATGTGGTTTTGGTATTCTAAAAGCTATTTGCATTGGAGTTATGTTTTCCTCCGTCTCTTGTTAAAAGGAAATTTCCGCCAATCAATCTTCTGATTGATGACTTAATAGCATACCCTCATTTACATATAATCAAGTTTGCGTGCCGGTGGTGTCCATAAATAGTCTCCTGCTGATTAAGGGCATGATTGGAGGAAATTTTCTCCAATAAAAAATGTCGAAAGGCCCTTTGCACGGTAACTAGCCTACGACTTAAACTCAGCAACATGTGAAAATTATGACTTATTCAACACAAGTGAGGATCATGAACTGATCACAGTTGCATATAACATGAAAGATCAGGGACTAAAACTTTCAAATTTCAAAAAGTCGGGGGCTAAATTGCGAAAAAAGTATATAATCACACCATCTCACCTTTGATTGTCCTCGAGTCAAAAGTTTTTCTCACCTCTTTCAATTTTCCCTCACTAGAACGAAGTTGGCTCTGTCAATTCGTCTATTGGTTGAAGTTGAAAGAAATGAGAAATTAAAATTGAAGATCCTAAGCTTCTTCTAGGGGAAAATTGTCGAAAAAGTCCTAAGTTTATTATATTTTTGTCAATTTAGTCCTAAACCTTTCAATTTTGCTAATTAAGTCTTAAACCTTTTTATCTTTTGTCAATTGAGTCCATTCAATCAATTTTAGCTGGAAATCGCTGACGTGGACGCTGATCGTCCTACGTGGTGCACTCGACGCTGAAGTAAACAATTTTTAATAATATTTTAATATTTTTTTCAATATTTTTTCTTTTTTTGTCTTTCCTTCTTCCTCCTCAATGAGGGCTAGTGAGGTCGACCTCGCCTAGCCATGGCAAGGCTCAGCCTTGCCTAGCGACGGCAAGGTTGCGCCTTGCCATGGCTAGGCAAGGTTCGCCGCCCTTCTACTTTGGCCGGTCGTTGGCCATTGCCAATGCCTGGCGACCGGCTAGAGGGGGAAAAATGAAGGAAAAAAAAGAAAGAAAAGAAAAAAGAAAAAAAAAGGAAAATAAAAATAAATTAATTAATTAAAAAAAATTTGATTTTTTTTTAAATTGTTCTCGTTAGCCGGCCATTCTACATGGCACGATCGGTGTCCACATCAGCGATTTCTAGCTAAAATTGGCCAGATGGACTCAATTGGCAAAAAGTGAAAATGTTTAGGTTGAGGACTTTTGCATAATTTTCCCCTTCTTGTATTTATTTATGGAGAGAAAAACAAGGATTGTCTCTCAGATTCACGAAGAAAAAGAAGGAATCGGTGCAATGTCACGGGATACAAATGGTACCACACCGCACCGTATGCATATGAATCTTGCTTGCCATGAATAGACAAATACGCATCATCAGATAGCAGGATACCTGTGAATGTGATAGAATCATATGCATCCCGTCAACTTCTTGCCTTGAAAGAGATCAAGATGAATTCCATTTGATTATCAGAAGATTAGATCAAGAACAAAATTAAATCATGACCAATTGACGAAGAATTCGACAGGGAAATTCTGAAAAATGTTTATGTTTTAATATATGTCATGGGTTGGTCATGCACGAGTTATCGAATGAATATGCTTGGGTTTTGAAGTCATTAGGTTAATGCGCTCGACCCTGCATATGGACTTGTAAAATAAGAAATTAAAGATATCTCGAAAAGCAAATCAGAGCATCGATGGAATTAGCAAATTGTATAACACATCTCTCCAGATGTGATTTGGCTTATCTACGGTAAGGCGGATGGCCAGATTTACATAACTAAAGATTGTTGGTTGCGCAAGAATGCCATGCTACGCCAACATTGTCAAGGGCTCAAGTTTAGCCATATTCGTTTTCAGCATGCTCCTTTATCCTTATCATCAAGGCCTCCTTACACATGAATAGGCTTTCTCCTATATCAAACTATCGATCATTTTCTAGCATGTACATGCAACAAACACCATCTCCTCAAAGCATCCACCAAAATAGAAAGGGAATCTCAAAGATTCATGGAGTCGGTTCGGAAATTAGTTCGGGGGATTTCCGGCTGAGGTACTAAAGCCATGTTCAAAATGGTGGATTGAACAGGATTCTGTGGTCGGTCCACGACCCCTGGATGCTAAAGTCGTCCTTGGGGTGATCTCATAGTTCCTAAGGGGTGGAGACGATGGGAAACGGGGATTGGAGTCGATAGCTTCCTTGACTTTATTATAAGAATTATACACTTGCAGCCAAAGACATGGAACTGGTCACTGTTACATTGCCAAATGCAAGTTCGAATAAATTTACATAGTTTTTCCTACACCTAGCACGAGCCAAACCAACACTATAGACAAATCAATATTTCTAAAAACGGAAGAGCAATCAAGTGATCCAAACTTGTGATAAAATAGGAATCTAAATCACATGAAATGAGTTTTAACCTAACTCCATCCCCTGCCATCTTGATAGTAAATCACATCACATGAGATTCAAATTTATTCGAACCTTTAGGAAAGATAACCAATTAACATAAATAAAGCTTGTGACGTCTGCCAGAATGACTGCTAAGCCAACATAATCAATCGGTTCAATGACAAGAGAATTAGGTGGGGTGGGGATGTTGAGTTCTAGATGTAGGGTTTGACTTCCACGCTCTGCAAATATGCGAAGTAAAAGTACGAGAGAGAGGAGAGTTAGAGTAGGATAAAAAAAAAAAAAACAGCTCCTTATCCCTCCCGTCTCTCCCTCTCTTTGACCAGAAGCTTCCTATCTCTAACATAAAGGTGGCTTTACACATAAAGAAGCTATGCCAGCCAGTCAAAAAGAAAGAAGAAGAAGAAAGGGTTTGCCTATATCAACCTATCAAACATTTGCTTACTATCCATATGACCAACACCATCTCCTCCTAAAACAAAGAAGAGGGCTCTTAACTCTAGAGAGAAAGCAAGCAAGTGAGCCGAACATGGAGTCTCCCCAGAAGCCACCACAAGCTCACACACTACTCTTCCCACTCCCCGTGCAAGGCCACATTACCCCAATGCTCCAATTCGCCAAGCGCCTCGTCTCCAGAGGTCTCAAAGCCACCCTCGTCACCACCCTCCACCTCTCGAAATCCATACGCATCGACCCCTCCGCCGCCGCCTCCTCCTCCATCAACATCGAGACCGTCTCCGACTGTCAAGGCGGAGACGGCCAGCCCCAGGGCAAGTCCTCCGAGGCCCACCAGATGAGCGGATCGAGAACCCTAGCCGAACTGATCCGAGAGCTTGACCGTTCGGCGCAACCAGTCATCGCGGTCGTCTATGACGGGTTCATGCCGTGGGCGCTCGACGTGGCCAAGCAATGCAAGTTGGAGTTGCTTTCTTCACGCAGACCTGCGCGGTGAACAACATATATTACCATGTCCAGCGTGGGCTTCTCGAGCTTCCTCTCTCAGGAGGGAGTGTCGAGGTGCCGGGATTGCCGCCTCTCGAGCCCTCGGAGATGCCCTCGTTCCTGTATAAGCTGGGGTCTTACCCTGGCTCGTATGATATGGTGGTCAAACAGTTTTCGAACGTGGGTGATGCAGATCTCGTGCTCTTCAACACCTTCTACGAGCTAGAAAAAGAGGTACTTACACACAAATTTGCACTCGCCTGTTGCTGCCACTCTTTCTGCAAGAACTACTCTTTCGAGTCTACACATCACATCATTAGATGGATATAGTTTTGCTAATGCCACCCTGATCAGCAGTGAGTTCTGATAAACAATGAACATCATTGCATGTACCCAAATGCATCTGGACCATTCAATCTGGTAGGATTCACCGGCTTTCCAGTTTCTTCATGGCTCAGATGGATTGAAAATTTTCTGCTGCGACTCTTTTTTTGGATAAAACCGTGACTTTCAGCGGTCGTTGAAAGTTGGGAGTTGGGGTTTCAAGCTCAGCTCTTCATGTGACTATTCTTGTCCTTTTTTTCCCCATAGACAACATTATCAAGTTAAGAAACAATATCTTTGGAAGCAACTTTGCCCTGTGATTCAGTTGGATAAGGTAGATCGATAGAGTTTTTGATCGTCCATAGTTTGTATGAACAAGAACACTAATGTATCTAATAAGTTCGGGTTTGTATGTCAATGCATTACTGACTATGCTATAAAGTTTATTCAAGAATATGACACTTCAAAAAATAAACCGGCAAGATTATACCTGTTAAACTTGATATTTAACATCAATCTTTATTCTTCTAGTCGCTCTTAATAATTGAAACTAGTTTTAATCCTTCATGAATACAAATTAAATTACAAGTGAATTTGAGATATTTAAATTTTTGTTTTTACTCCTACACTGGTCTCTTATTCAATGGATTTTTCTCTTTTTGATTGAATATTACTCCATTTCCGTAAAAGTCTTTTTCTTTGCATTGTCGATTAATTAACTAAGTTGTTTACTAGATATGGTTATTAATACTAGATGGTAATTAACCTATAAAGGAAATACTTCGGGCGTGATATAAAGGACCAATCACCAGTACCATACTTAGATTTGAAACTCTTCTCAAAATTCTAACAAGATAGGAGTTTCTTGTATTGTTTTGATTTAACTATATAGAAAGGTTAGATGCACGTCCACGAATGTCACGGGTGATGCAATTTCTGTAAATGAAGTTTATGCATGCCCTCTAAAAGTAGCGCCGGATAGGCGTAGTAGAAATTTGACAATTTTACTTGAGGAATCACCGAGATAAAGTACGCCAAGCCTATTAATATATTAAGCTTGATTCATATTTTCACTCAAAAGTATAAGTTAATGAGATGCGAACTAATTATTGAAATGCATATGTGAGTTGTGCGAGAGAAGTCCCACATTGGAAAAATGGTGTGGTGTGGAGCTATTAATATATTATAGTAGGCCCATAACTCATTGACTTAAGGTTTTGAGTGAATGTGGGTTCAATTTGATATGTTGAAGGGCTCGCACATGTGCTCTCTCTTGACGATCTTCCTAGGCGAATGTATCATGCTTATGAAATTTCTACTTAGCTTGAAAAGTTGCCTCAAGCCGATAAGAGCTCTTCATCATGTTCGAGAATTTCGAAAGAAGACACGCCTGCTACGCACTATCAACAAATGGTATCAGAACAAATGGTATCAGAACCGATTATAGATTGGTGGGGGTGGAAGGAATCTGGTGACGAATTGGGTCAATGAATTAAGGGGAAGTAGACCTAACACTAAGTTCACACGTGAGAGGGCAATGATTGAGATGCATGTGTGAGCTGTGTTAGAAAAGTTCCGCATTGGAGAATTGGTGTGGTGTGGAGTGTTAATTAATATTATCATAATTAGCCGATAACTCATTAGCTTAAGATTTTGAGTGAATGTGGGTTTAATTGGATATGTTGAATGGCTTGGATTTCGACTCCCTCTTAGTGGTATCCTTGGGTAAAGGTATCATGCTTCTATTGCGTGCTCCCAACACTAAGTAAGATATATATTAATTTCTCCATAGCATATCGATTCCCTATTGTGGAACTCTCGCCTAACATCCTAACGCCCTAACATGCGCACCTCAACAAATCTCACTCTTAATTTGAGAGACACATTCGAGATTTCTTTTTTGAGATATTCACAAAATGTGATCCACTCCCCGTCCATTCAATTAACCATCAACTCTTATATCCATTAAATGGAAGACATAATAAAAGTATGATATCTTTTGATTTAGAGAGATTACCAAGAGGGAGCCGAAATGTGATTTCATTAATATATCTAGTTGGACATACCTTCACTCAAAAATTTAAGCAAATAAACTATAGCCAAATTAAGATACAACTTCTTTACGGGGTAAATTACCCAATCAGTCATAAATATATTGTACGAATGCTAATTCAATCCTAAACTTTTTAATTTTGTCAATTTAATCATAAACCTCTGCAAGAAATTTCAATATAGTCAATCTGGTCAATTTTCGTTGGAAACCACTAACATAGCGGTGTTCTACATAGGATAACCGACGATAACTGGATCGCTACATCAGAGATTTCCCGCAAAAATTGACCGAGATGAACTAAAATGGAATTTCGCGCAAACGTTTAGAATTAAATTGGTAAAATTGAAAAATTTAGGATTAAATTCGCATCCGTACAATAAGATTAAGACTCATCGGGTAATTTCCCATGCTTTTAAGCAAATCTGTTCTCGTACACGAGATAGTTGCCTAACACCTTGAGCGCAAGCTCAAAAGAGTAAGCAATAATTCTTTGGGTTGATGTTACGAAAAAATCCCAAACTGGTATACTGTAATAAATTTACCAAAAACTAATTTTTTGACCACAAAAAATCCTAAAGTGATACACCGGTGACAAATTTTTACCGTCAAATTGCTGAGTTGGATAACACGTGGCAGTTGACGGGTATACCGGTTTGGGTTTTACCCTCCGTTTTGTCATAGGTGTACCGGTTTGTGATTTTTTGTGTTATTAATCGAATTTAACGGAAACTAATAAAGGGTAAATTTGTCACAAGTGTACCGATTTGGGTTTTTAGTAGTCAAAAAATTAATTTGAAGTAAATTTATCACAGATGCACCAGTTCAGAATTTTTCATGGTATTAACCATAATTCTTTTTAGCAGCAAGAATAGGACGCCACATATTACCCATATAAAATTATCAATCGGCTAAGACCCTGCTCATTAGTTTGTTTGTTTCTTTTTTTTTTCTTTTAATAATCTTTCCACAAGAGGACAAGGTCACCGGGTTAAAATTTTGTCTATAGACAAATACTATCTGTCAACGTATACGGCGACGGCGACGAACCGCCGTCTAGCATTTGACCTTTTCCCATGAAGTCTCCATCATTGAAGGGTTTGTGTACACTTGCAGCAGAAATCATTTCGATCCTATCACGTTCCAAAAACCTATCTCCCATATCACCTTCGCCTGCTCAAAATCGATCAAGGAGAGTGCCAATGGAGCCTTCAGACAAGCAACCACAGCACCACCGAGCTCATGTGCTGGTCCTCCCTTACCCGGCTCAAGGCCACATAAACCCCATGCTCCAATTCTCCAAGCGCCTCCTCTGCAGAGGCGTCAAGGCCACCCTCGCCCGATCCACGCAGGCTGGCCCCTCCCCGTCCATCGACCTCGAGACGTTCTCCGACGGTCACGACCTCGGCGGGCACGCCCAGGCCGAGTCCGTTGAGGCCTACCAGGCGAGCCTCCGGGACGTCGGGTCGAGGACCCTGGCCGAGCTTATCCGGAAGCTCGATCGCTCCGGCCAACCCGTCGACGCGGTCGTCTACGACGGGTTCCTCCCGTGGGCGCTCGACGTGGCCAAGCAGTGCGCTAAGCTCGGGGTCGTCTTCTTCACGCAGACCTGCGCGGTGAACGACATATACTACCACGTGCAGCGCGGCTTGCTTCCTCTTCCGCTTTCGGGACCGAGGGTCGAGGTCCCGGGGTTGCCACCTCTCGAGCCGTCGGAGACGCCGTCATACATACATAAGCTGGGGTCATACCCTGCCTTTTATGATATGTTGGTGAACCAATTTACGAACGTGGATGATGCTGATTTTGTTCTCTTTAACACCTTCTACGAGCTAGAGAAAGAGGTATATACGTACAAACAATCGTCCATTGCTGGCACCATATGAAGCACTAGTCTTCCATGGTACAAATTATATGATAGATATACAACATTAGCAAAACTTTATATTGAAAATATGGTCAGTAATGTAAAATTTTAAACTATACACTAATTTTATCTGGATTTTACATGGGAGATTGAATTTTCATTTCAACGTGCAATATATTCAATGTTCACTCTCTCTCTCCGTCTCTCTCACTTGTTTTTTTCTCTCCAATGGAATTAGGTCGTGGACTGGATGTCCGCCAACTTGTGGCCGCTTAAGACCGTCGGCCCTACCCTCCCCTCCGTCTACCTGGACAAGCGCCTCCCCGACGACACCGCCTACGGCATCAACCTCTTCACCCCGACCACCACCTCTACCGTCTCCGCCTGGCTCCGCCGCCACCCGCCCCGCTCCGTGGTCTATGTCTCCTTCGGCAGCATGGCCGACCTCGACCCCTCCCAGTTCTCCGAGCTCGCCCACGGCCTTGCCCTTGCCGGCTGCCCCTTCCTCTGGGTCGTCCGGTCGTCTGAGCAGCATAAGCTCCCTCGCGATCTCATGGACTCGATCCCCTCCGAGGAAGCCCTGATCCTCCCGTGGTGCAATCAGTTGGAGGTCCTCGCGAGTGATGCGATCGGATGCTTTGTCACGCACTGCGGGCTCAACTCGGTGATCGAGGCGATCTGCCTGGGGGTCCCGATGGTGGCGATGCCGCAGTGGACGGACCAGACGACGAACGCCAAGTTCGTGGAGGACGTGTGGAGGGTCGGGGTTAGGGCTAGGGCCGACGAGGCAGGGCTCGTTGGGAGGGACGAGGTGGAGAGGCGCGTGAGGGAGGTGGTGGGAGGAGGAGAGAGAGGGAGGGAGATGGCGGAGAGCGCAAGGAGGTGGATGGCGGCAGCAAAGGCGGCGATCGGGGAAGGCGGGAGCTCCGACCGGAACATCGATGAGTTCGTGGAGGAGCTCATGAGTCGTGCGTCGATAGAGTAGTAGAGGGATCAATACATAATATTTGATTCGAGTATTTATGTTGAAATAGACCTGACTTTCAGGTTGGTTAAAATTGAAGTATGAGTTCTATCCTCTCTTCTGGTCAATGGATATTGCATTCACATAATGTGTATCTGGATGAAACTTTGACTCGAATTACAAGTAAAAGGAACAAATTATGCTGTCAAAAATTTATTGGGTTCAAAGCTGCTAGATTAGGAGGGTCACATTCATACTAATTTAAAGAGTACATCTATGTTACAGGATTAGGGGGCATTTGCTCCCGCTAAGTCAATCCCTACGAAAACAAGAGAAAAGTAGCAACAACGACTATAATCTAGACATTGAGAGGTTGGGCTTACCTCATGCTCCTCCAAGTTGTAGTCCCGCACCCTTGTAACGCATTTATTTCACTGAAAATTTCGTGTTAAAGAAAAAAAATTTTCAAAAAAAATTATTAGTTACTATTTATTTGAAAGTTTAAGGAAAGTGATTTTCTTTTTATCAGAAAGAAAAGTCGTTTTTTTTCAATCTAAGCTTATTATTTTCATTTCATGAAAAATATTTTTTGTAAATTGATCCGTTTTTCGTTATTCAAACACTAGAAAGTCGGATAATAATTTTTAGAAAATAATGTTCTTTCAAATAAACGACCTAAAAATCGTGCTACATGTGTCCTGTATAGATAAGATCGAGTAGGTGCTCAGTATTTTATCACTAGTCACTTCACCGTAACTTCACGTATTTTTTTTTTTGTCGGACACCGTTACTTCACGTTATCTACTACTAAATGTCTAGTGTTTTTTCAGGTAGATTAGTTTGACTGACAATTTGGCCACCGAAAGCGACAACCCAAATTACACAATCCATAAAATATTTTTTAAAGAGAAGCATGGAATTGACTTGTCGACCCATCAAAGTGCGACTTTCTAAAGGAATGTACCGCCAATGGACGAAACAACTGTACAGAAAGATTGAGTAGACATGGTTTAGGATTTTATGTACAATGCTTTCAAGGGGGACCTGGAGGAGAAATAGTTTCCATAAAAATGGGTCAATATAGATTGAAGTAGCTATACCTATAGCGAAGTTCGAGCATGACATAATGCTCTATAATTCTCAATAACATCGAGTTCATCAACAATTCTTAATTATTGCATGAATGCCGATCAGTAATCGATTGCGAGGCGCAATCGTCGCGGGCCGATCAGAGTAACGGCAACAAGATTATGTGCTGAGAAAATGAGTGCAAAATCTTCAACACCGATCACTTTCCTTGGGAGCGTTTCATCTCGCCTATGTTCTCAGAGGAAGATAAGGGATTGCACAATAGTTTGACTAATATGCTCTAATTTTCCATATGACAACGAGAGCTGGAGGACCATTCACCAATGCCCTAATTGACTATATTCGAGACCCTTCTTCATAAACATATTGGATGCACGTTCACGACTGTCATTGGTGATGCAGTATCTTTCTTAGAATTCTATATGCATTCCTTCTTCAAGTAGCTATCGTTCTCTCAGTGGAAATGAATGATACGCCACACGTTCTTAGTAAAATATAAATTGCCGAATCCGTTTGTTTCGCTGAAAATGAATGATTTGAAAAATATTTTTGTTAAAATGATTGCTTATGTAACTTGAGATAATTGGTCAACGAGGAATGTTTTCATTATCGATAATAATTTATGTCTAAATATTTTCGTGGACAATGAAAACATGTTTCGTTAATTCATTTTTGTAAGCGATACTATCGATCATTATTAGGATAATATTTTTCAAATCATTCATTTTTCGAGAAATAAATACACCAAGTTTAGTCCCTCTTTGGACTATTATATTTGTCACAATATACGTGCTAACGCCATTGAATCAACGTATTTAGTATTTAACCTTTTCCTTAAAGTCTCCGTCATCAAGGCTTTTCTATATTAAACTTAAGAATGCCTTTCCATTATATGTAAAAAGCCTAGAATTGACTCGGTTGCAGGGATTTTCAGTTTGGGAACTCAAGATCACTTGTTTTTTTTTTTTGGTCAAACAAGATCACTTGTTCAAATCCAACCTTTTGCATGCAAACTGCTTAGAGTCAGAATCGCTTTATAGGCGAACTGAACTTGTTCATGGGATTTATAGGGTATTTCATGGATCTCCGTACTCATATGCTGGGATAGTTTTTTCTTTTTTTTGGTCGAAATGTGCTTGGATAGTTATATCGCTTCCGATGAGTCCTTATATAGCTCCAACTCTAGAGAAAGTGAGCGAGGCGAGACGATGGAGCCTTCAAGCAAACTCCACCGACCGCATGTATTAGTCCTTCCTTTCCCCGCCCAAGGCCACAAAACCCCATTTTTCAATTCTCCAAAGGCCTTAAAGCTAGAGGTGATAAGTTTCAGGGTGGATCGATTCTCATTTTGAAATCTAAAATCGGACCGAGTAAGGTCGGTTCTTAGTTTGTGAAATTGAGAATCCGTCCATCTGATCCGAGAACCGGACTGATCGGTCCGGTTCAGAAACCAGTGATTTATTTTTTTTTGGTTTCTTCTATTCCTTACAAGTGAGAGTTTCCCAACATTAAAAAAAAAATTAGGGTTTGATAATAAAAACTAAAAAAATGAAGAAATCTTCATTGGTGCATCGGTCCAATCTTGGTTGTCTGGTTACTTATGTAGAACCGGGAACTACCTAGAATCGGCTGGTTCGGTCCGGTCCAGTTCAGTTTTTGGGTTTGGGACCAATGCACACCCCTACTCAAAGCCACCTTTGCTCTCCCCGTCCACCTTGCCAAATCCATGCACGCCGACCCCTCCTCGTCCATCGACCTCGAAAAAATCTTCGACGGCCACGACATCAGTGGTTTCATGGAGGCCAAGTCCATCGAGGCTTGCCAGACAGACCTCCAGATTGTCAGGTTGAGGACCCTGGCTGAGCTTATCCGAAAGCTCGATTGTTCGACGCGGTCATCTACGACAGTTTCCTCCCGTGGGTGCTCAATGTGTCCAACCAGAGCGATAAGCTTGGATGTGGTTTTCTTCACGCAGACATGCGCAGTCAACAACATAAATTACCACGTGCAACGCGGCTTGCTTCCGCTTCTGCTTTCGGGAGGCAGCGTCGAGGTCCCGGGGTTGCCGCCTCTCGAGCCGCCGGAGACACCGTCGTTCGTATATAACCCGGGGTTATACCCTGTCTTTTACAAATAGGCTACCGTAATAATCCTCGTTGTTCATTCGTGTTGAACCTGCAACCTTTTCTTGCAGTTTCCTCGTTGTCTAACAGCTGAACATGGACCATACATTGACATCATACCGTGATTTCTTTTCTCTGTCGTGCAAAGTTTTGTTCAGCAAAGATATACTTCTCTTGTTTGATGTTTCTGTATTTGGATTCTTATGGCGGAATAATGCTAGGATGGCGTGTACATTTGCTTTGGTCGATAAAGCTAATTCAAACTTCCGACGAAGTTGCATTATAAAAATGCACATGCGAAAAAAGTTTTACGTGTCCAAGTTTGTCATAATATTTTACTCTATGATTGACATAAAAGGCGATGTGATCGCGATCGGACCATATTTTACGAGGAAGTTTGAAGGTGTTGGCTGTAAATCATCATCAATTTGATTTGCCACGCATGCGCATGCAAATACGTCACCTCGTGCAAATTTTCTTTCGCGCTAGAAAAAAATGGTTCATAAGCAACCAGAGTCAATTCACACTTCTTACTTTTTACCGAATCCTTATTCTTATAGACATGGTCAATTGTTCAATTATTAATAGAAAAAATACTATACACGTATCTTATCTTGATTTTAATTAGGGAATTAATTATTCATTCCAACATTAGAATTGTTCCCTCTCTCTCTCTCCAATGAAATCTGATCGTTGACTGGATGTCCGTCAAGCTGTGGCCGCTGAAGACCGTCGTCACCTTTTCTCCTTTGCGAAAACGTTTACATGCAATCTTCATCAATTTTACTAACAACCGATCACGTGCGGGTGTGCAAACAATAAGAATAGACAACCACAATCAAAGCGATAAAGGTAAAATGCGAGAAAAATAAACCCAATACGATGTCGGGTAACAACGAATATACATAACCTTGTTATTAGGGATAGGATCCCATGAACGGCATATGGAAAGTCTAAAAAACATGCATGCAATATATATGTTAATATTAAATGTTAGGAAGATATTAAGATCAAATGACTTCCTAAAATAAATTGTCAAACATGGGGATACAAAATCTATCTAATGGAATCTTGAATGCAACACTAAATGAATGAGTCCACTCATGAAATATAAATATGCAAATTTCCCGGGATACACACTTCGAGACATGTTTTTGTGATTTTTTAAATGAAATATCCTGTGATGAATTCATGCATGAAGCCACGATGCAAGAAATATAAAATGTGTTGTAGCTAGCAAGTATCACCTAGAGGAAGGGGGGGGGGGTGAATAGGTGATTTGAATGATTTTGAAGAATTTAAAGCGGAAATGATTTATAATCAGTAAAGTCTGAACAATGTTTAGATTTTGAATATGCTAGTGTGTAGTATAAACAATATAATGAGAGATTAGGGATAGAGAGAACTGCACACAAAAAGTTATAGAGGTTCGGCTTAGATCAAGCCTATGTCCACTCTCTCACGCCGACAGCCTACTGGCTGGATTCCATTATGTGATCAAAGTGATTACAAGATCTGAGTGATATCACTCGGTGAATGATAAAACTCTCTATCTCCCACAATTACTTTTACAAAGTATTCCTCAAAATCTTAGTATTTAGCTCAGGAAAGACAAGTAATAGAATCGGAATGAGCTCAAACTTTGGACTTGTTGATTCTCGATTTCGTTCCGTACCTTCTGCTCCTCATCGATCTCCTTTTATACTCCTCCACTTCCAAACTAGCTGTTGGATAGTCTTCAGAGGATCATCTTCCAATCTTCACCTTGGAGAAATTTGTATAAAATGGATTGAGTAGCCGTTGATTGACAAAATCTGAATCCCACTGAATCTGGTTGCCCATACAACTAGAATCTTGGTTTCCACAAGTAGAGTTTTATCTGTTGTGATATATACTTGTCATAATGTTTGATTGTCAATCAATTAGTCTTAGATTGAGTCAATCAAAACTTTCCTTTCGTGAAATCCATGTCAGATCACTAGCCATTATATTTCGTTTTGAATAGATTCTGAGTCTGAAGAATTTCTGGTTCTTGTTTTACCTTCAGAACCTGAGTCAGCGTAGGTCTTCAGTAAAGTCCGAGTCCTTCAAAATTAGAGTCTGAAGTTCTCTGACATTTTAAGATAACATCTAAGTGTTTATTTCAGTAGAGTCTGAACTTCTCGTTCTGAAACTTGTAGAGTTTGAAGTTTTCCTTCTGAACCTCGTAAAGTCTGAGCGTCCAGAAAGTTAATTGCTCTTGAAGTATTAAAGTTGCCACTTCCAGAATATATTTATCTGGATCAAAATACTTCATGGTACATATCAGATTTACAAGATTAACATGGATAGTTTTGTCAACTACAAAATTTATTAGGAAATTTCCTCAACAAAATGTACCATGATGTGAATAGCAAATATATCTGCAGGACTAATTTCTTCTTTCAACGTCAAGTCTTCAATGTATACATTCATGAACAAACATCAAGAAGCCAAGGTCAAGGCAATAACACCATCACATAAAGTCAAAGAGTTGAAACACAGGCTTACCCTTACTTGCAAATCCATGCATGAAGGGCTACAAGCTGAGTGACGCAATACTCACAAATTGAATCAACAACGAATCTGGACGAATAATCGGTGAAGGAGCTCGACGACGACGACGACACCCGTTCATTGAGCTCAACTCTTCCTGTGATCCGTTCAGAGAAGACCTGCAGAACCTGAACATAAAAGACAGGCAAAGCAGTGTGAAGGAATTATGAATATGTAATCGACTCTTGAGTTAATTATTGAATAGAAGCGACCCGATTGTATGAAGTGATCCAACGAAAATCGCGCACGAGATGGGATTGTGTGCACGGATGTATGAGGCATGGACGGGAGTTGTGTCCATGCTTGGATGAGTTCATGTCCGAAGTCCCAGATTTCATGGCCATTCTGAATGTTGTCAAATTGATGCCGGAGCATTCTGTTGAAGTCGACGAGTTGTCGATCTCATCGATCAACTTGACAAGTTGTCGATCTCATCGATCAATTAATAAGTTGTCGATTTCAAGTTTACTCATCGATTACGACGTACTGGAGGCTATTCGATTCCTTGAAAAGATGAAGGCCATTAATTCAACCACTTTGGAAAATGTAAAATCATGAAGATCTTCAATCGGTTACATTTAATTCTCATATATTTTCTAGGTCTAGTTAATGTCGTTCAAGTTTGTTTTCTAGTAAATGTTGTTTTGTCTTTTGGAAGAGTCTTAGTGATTACTCATGTTTGGAGGGTTGTTCCATGCTCATCTATATAAGCATGCTATAATGAATAATAGAGCAAGACTTATTTGATTCAAAACTTAATTGAGCCTTTGGCTTGAGAACAAAAAGGATTTGTTGTTTTACTCTTATCCCTCAGGTGGATTCCTACGGGTGGCGAGTATTGCTTTTATCTCTTAGGTTATTTACCTACGAGTGGCGAGTGACCTATCCATTGAAGTTTTCACTTGTGTTACCTCCTATTTCTCTACTCTCTCTCCGGCGTCACAAATGGAAGATTGTGGGGGTATGGACATTTGTTTCTGGACTCTATGATAAGTACTCTTTTAAGACTCTCCAGTTCTCTACTCTATCATGACCGGACATGTTAAAACGCAACTGTGGACAGCGACCGTCAACCACGGTGATGACTTCATCGTGTGGAAAGGATCACTTAGCAATGGTCACGCAAAGGTAGCGGTGAGAACCCAACAATATGATGATGGTTCCGGCTCGACCACAACATCGGAGTAACTTCCGAGCAGGCTTGCCTCTTCATTGCCATCTCTCCGGTCACGTTTCTGCCTATGATGACTTGGCTGAACTTGTTCTTTTGCCTTCTTAGAGCGTGCTGCTGTTGCTTCTCCTTCAGCCATGAAATGTTGAATAAATATATGGACGCATCTCTGCTCCACCGAGAATCCCCGGTTTGTAGCTGATCAAATATTGCCTCTGAACTTTGCTTTCGTTTTGGCTGTCGGATGCTTCATTTTCTTTCTTCTTTCACATGCGCACATGTGATCTTTTTCTTTTCAGCACGCCATTTTTTTTTCGCTTTTGTCCTATCTAACGTTCAGCTTGCCCATGCTTCTCCCTCATCGCATGGATGCCCGTCCTCATACCACTGGACAGTAAAAAAGAGTAATGAATAGCTCCTTAGGAGTCCATATATGACACCTCTTCAAGACTAAAAAGTACAGCTCCAACTCTAGAGAAAGTGAGCGGAGGAAGCCAATGGAGCCTTCAAACAAACTCCGCCGAGCACATGTACTAGTCCTCCCTTTCCCCGCCCAAGGCCGCATAAACCCCATGCTCCAATTCTCCAAGCGTCTCGTCTCCAGAGGCCTCAAAGCCACCCTCACCCTCACCGTCCACCTCGCCCGATCCATGTGATGAGACTAGCAAATATCACATAGACGAGAGTGAATAGGTGATTTAAGTACTATTTGATCAATTTTAACGTGGAAGTAATTGATCACAGGTAAAGTCTGAATAATGTTTAGATTTTAATCAATCTTTGAATGGCAAACAAGTAAATGTGCAATTAAATAAATAAAAGGAATTTTAGGGAAGAGAAAATTTGTACACAGATGTATAGTGGTTCGGCTTAGATCAAGTCTACATCCACTCTCCCACACCGGCAGCCTATTGGCTGGATTCCACTAAATGATCAATCAAGAGATTACAACTGTGAGTGATAATCCTTAGTATATGATATGTCTCAGTATCTCACTCAATCACTCTTTTCAGTCTCTCTCAATGATTACACTTTAAAGCTCAGGGAAGACAAATATATAAATTGAAGATCGCTTAGACTTTGGAATTCTAGATTATGGATCTCGTCTCTTACTTCTGCTCCTCAGCACGTTGGTTTCCTTTTATACTTCTCCACTTTCAAATTAGCCGTTGGACAGTCTCCAGAGGATCGTCTTCCAATCTACCAGTTGGACAGAGTTGCATCAAGAAGATTGCATAACCGTTGAGGGACAAAATATGAATCTCAGCTGAATATGGTCGTCCATATAATGAAAGTCTTGGTTTTCATAAGTAGAGCTTCTTCGTTTAGAAAATAGCTTGTCTCGAAATTAATTGCCAATCAATCAAGATGTTTTGCATATTAAACCGTTGCAAAACAATCTTCAAGATTGAGTCAATCAATTTATTTTAAGTGTGAAATCCAAGCAAGATTACTAACCGTTATGTACGTTCTTAATACGTGTCACGTTCTGAACTTTACGTTCTTGACTTACGTTCTGAACTTGTGTCCGTAGTTTATCATCTCTGGTGTAAAGTCTGAACTTCTTTTAGTATAAAGTCTGAACTTCTTCATCTGCAGTATAAAGTCTGAACCTCTTGAAGTAATTACACAATCTGAACAAGATTGCCATATGCTTCTCTTACAAGAATAACTTTCTGAATCAAAATACTTTAAAACATTTATCAGACTTACAAAACACTCATGGATAGTTTTGTCAACTTCAAAAATCTATTAAGAGGTTTTCCCAACACCATGCACACCGGCCCCTCTGACAGCCACAACCTCGCCGGTCTCGCCGGGGCCGAGTCCATCCAGGCCTACCTGACACGCTTTTGGATCGTCGGGTCGAGTGGCCTGGCCGAGCTGATCCACAAGCTCGACTGTTTGGGTCAGCTGCTCGACGCGGTCATCTACGACGGGTTCCTCCCGTGGGCGCTCGATGTGGCCAAGCAATGCGATAAGCTCGGAGTGGTTTTCTTCACACAGTCGTGCGCGGTCAACAACATATATTACCACGAGCATCGCGGCTTGCTTCTGCTTCTGCTTTCGGGAGGCAGCGTCGAGGTCCCAGGGTTGCCGCCCCTCAAGCCGTGGGAGACACCGTTGAACCTATACAAGCCGGGGACATACCCTGCCTTTTACGATACGGTGACCAACCAATTCACGAACTTGGATGAAGCTGATTTCGTGCTCTGTGACACCTTCTACGAGCTGGAGAAAGAGGTACATATGAGCAGTCTCAGGTTGCTGCCTTCTCATCATAGGCTAGCGTACTTAGTAATGCTCGTTAGTCATTCGTGTTGAACCTGCAACTTTTTCTTGCGGTTTCCTCACTGTCTTAACAGCAGAGCACGGACCATTTATTAACATCGTACTATGATTTCATTTTTCTGCTGTTGTGGGTGTCATCGCTTCTTCAGTTTAATCATATGAGCAAGGGAAGACAATGTCAAGATAGGATGGCCAATGAAGTTAGCGTCATATAAAATTGAACGTCATCCCCAGTAAAGAACGATAAATAATTTTGAGGTGCACTAAATGCGGATGGTGTCCTAATTGCTTAGGATACTTTATGTCATAATAATTTTGTTGAATATTTGGCATGGAAGGCGATGTCGACAGATCCATATTGCACATGGAAATATGTTTGAATCTTGAAGGTGGGTTGGGTGTATATCATTGATCTGATTTGACACACACGTGTATGCAATTATGTCATGCGAGAAAAAATGGTTCATGAAAACCACCGAACAATTAACACTCCTTACCAAATTCTTATATTAATAGGCACCGTTAGCAATGTTCATAGGTCCTAGATCAACCTACGAATCAGACTGACCTATCCTACGATGCCGTTAGCAATGTTCATATGGTCCGGTTCCTAGTTTCAAAAATTTGGAATCGGTCGGGTTTGGTCAGATTTCAAATTCTCGATCCTAAGCCGTCGATTCTACCCACCCGATCGACCCGGAAAAAACCTGAACTGCGACGTGATGAGTGGATGTTAGTGGGCTTTTGAACTTTTTATAAAAGACAGACAATGGATGCCATCTTACATTTTTTTAGCAAAAGAAGTCATTTTAGTTTGCCAACCACTCCTCCTGGCTGTTTTTGAATGGTGGATGGTGGGGGAAAATTAATGGCACTTGCCAATGGGGAGCCCTTGTATTGGTGGATAATAGTAGCTATCACATCTACTATCGTGTGATGCTTATTGCCGTGTCCTTTCTTACAGATATTGACGTGCATTCAAGAAAGGTAAGAAAATATGAATATTAGTACTCTTGAATGAATAGAAGAAACCCATAAACAGCACCCAATCGATCTGGAGTTGACCTTAGAGTCAGTCCGATTAAAGCAAACAGGTTCAGTTTTCCGATTTCACAAATTAGGAATCGACTCTGGCTTGATAGGTTTCAGGATGAAAGGGATCACTCCTAAATAGTCAATTGTTCGAATTTTTTTGAAAAAAATCGAACACACTATAGACAATTAATTTAATTTGGGAAATTAATTATTCATTTAAACATGAAAAATGTTCCCTCTCTCTTTCTCACTTGTTTGTTTCTCTCCAATCAAATTAGGTGGTCGACTGGATGTCCGCCAACTTTGTGGCCTATGAAGACCATCGGCCCCACCCTCCCTTCTATCTACCTGGACAAGCGCCTCCCTGACGACACCGCCTGCGGCGTCAACCTCTTCACCCCTAACACCACCTCCACCGTCTCCGCCTGGCTCTGCCGCCACCCGCCCCGCCCCGCCCCGTGGTCTATGTCTCCTTCGGCAGCATGGCCGACCTCGAACCCTCCCAGTTCTCTGAGCTCGCCCATGGCCTCGCCCTCGCCGGCCACCCCTTCCTATGGATTGTCTGATCATCCGAGCAGCACAAGCTCCCTCGCGATCTCATGGACTCGATCCCCTCCAAGGAGGCCCTTATCCTCCCGTGGTGCAATCAACTGGAGATACTCGCGAGCGATTTCATCGGATGCTTTGTCACGCACTGCAGGCTCAACTCAGTGATCGAGGCGATCTGCCTGGGGGTCCCGATGGTGGCTATGCCACAATGGACGGACCAGGGGACGAATGCCAAGTTCATGGAGGACGTGTGGAGTATCGGAGTCGGGGTTAGGGCCGACGAGGCAGGGCTTGTTAGGAGGGAGGAGGTGGAGAAGCGTGTGAGGCAGATGGTGGGAGGAGGAGAGAGCGGGAGGGATACAATGGAGAGCATGAGGAGGTGGATGGCGTCGGCGAAGGCTGCGATCGGCAAAGGCAGGAGCTCGGATCGGAACATCCATGAATTCGTGGAGAAGCTCACGAGTAGTGCCTTGGTAGAGCAGTAGACGAATCACTAAATAAAATTGATTCGTGCATTTACGTTCAAAAAACTTTGACGTGGGTCAAAATTGGAGTACTAGTTGCATCCTTCACTCGTGTAGTAGATAATGATATTGCATTCCCGGTGCGGTGAATACATATCAAAGATTTCATCAACCGACGACGGCGGGGATTCATCAACCACCAGAGGCAATCCGGAAACAGTAGTCTACGATTGGATATATCATCATCTCGGCCATTCCCGGGGACAATATCTCGACGGAGCACGAGCGTGCATCTTGGAATGCGAAAGCAGTCGGCCATTAACAAGAGCCACCGCTAACTGGAAACCAGTTTCTCCATCAAGAATGGAGACTTATGATAATCTCACATGACATGCACCTGATCGAAATAGGAAGCTGACCAATAGATGCGTGCGGTCGATACACAAGATGAAGGAGAAAGCATCAAGAAGACAAAATTATCTGAGTACGGAATAGCTTTCCAAAGATATGGTGCAAATGATATATCACCTGGTGTCAACCATGATGAATGAAGGAAAACCTGCATGGGCTAGTGATGAGTGCCTCCACCAGAAGTGCATTAACCCTGTTATTGATCCTCCTATAGATGCTTTCTGAGACCTTTTTCGAACACTTCTCTCGACAAAAAGAAATCGATGAACCAAAACAGAAAAACATTGATATGACATTGCGAAGACAGTTTGAATCATTTGTCAGTAGATAAAGACGATAACCAACATCATAAATTGCAATGGTTTGAGATCAGATGGATCGATTGGTACAATCGGAAAGGGTACTAATGCATATTGTAAAGCTCACATAGAATGGCATATAATCCACATGAACCATGGGCCTTACATTAGAGACAGCAAGATTAGCAACCAAGACACATGGCAAAAAATAATCTGATGGATCAAGAGGGAGAACAAGCAACAACGCAACTGCCAACATCAGACTATGAAATTGATTGAAACAGAACAAATTGAAGTAAATACGAGCCTTGCCCCACGTCATATCTCAGTACCATACATGTGATATTATAAACTGCTGTGGCATATGCATATAGTTCCATACTGGCTTTGCCCAGAAAACACCGTGTACAGATGTGAATATAAACTAAATCTATGAAGCAGTCACAGTTGAAGATACAAAACCTTCAACAATAGCCCTAAAACTATCAAAATCACGTCAAACTTCCATTTAATGGAATCTGGATTGAATGAAGCTGAAACAAAAGATAGAACAAAAATAAAGTTCCTTTGCTTCAGTTAGGATAAGGGACTAAAACAAACCATGATGATCCTGATTATGGAACTGACATCACCGAGAAGAAGCTAAGACTCTAAATCTAGTAGATGCAAGTGGGAATAAAGGAAGAACAAAGGAAGGTAGAAGAGAGGCATCTAAAAGGAAAACTGAGTTACGAGGAAATAGTTATAGTCATCAAATAGATCAATTAAAAAACATTAACCATCAATATAGCATGATTACGTTGATTATCTCTAAAGCACAAACCTAATTCAACAATGTAATCATTTCTCAGCAAAATACTATGTGTTTAAGTCTCTCACATCACTGGTATACAGAGTTTCAGTAAGCCTTAGATAGACTAGTCTCACTCCGCATAACAACTTCAATTTTTAGATTGAATTTTCTAATAATGAATTAGAGTCAGGTTCAGTTCTAAATTTATTTACAGTAAGTGGTTCCCTATTCATCAATTCCAAGTGTTGTTATCAATCGGGTTTACACGTGAGAGGGGATGTTTAACATCCCACATCGCTTAAATATGGGGATTCAATACCCTTTATATACGCAATCTTTTTTTTTTTGGGTAAGGCAAGTATTTATATACGTAATCTTTCCACTTAACAACTTAAACTTTTTTGTTAGACTATGAAACGCTAGGTATGAATATTTTACTTTAGCCATGCTACCGATGTTAACTAGAATGAATTGAGAATATGTGATCCTTGTGAAGATTTTCTAGCCACTAACGTCACATCTGAACCAGTAAAAGTGCAAACCCAGCACTCGGCACATAATTCACTAATTATGCTATTAAACCTCAAAGACGGCAAGCACTGCGAACAGCATCATGTATATGATTAGAATGTGAAGGACAGTCCTACTTGACTTGGACTGTTGTACTATGTTTGGAAGCAATAGAGACAAGATGTTTGATGTAATAAGGAAGAGCCTAAAAGATAAAACATTCAATCTTTGCAATGAGAAATGTGCAAAATTAACAAATTAAGGCCACCGAAACCACCATGGAAGCAGCACAATAACAAGTGTCTCTCACCATAATGATTCATGAACATAGTGTTGAAGGGGAAAATTCCCACAAAAACTATTATACACGTATCTTCAAAAAAAGTTCCTCCCGATTAACTCATAACTTCATCCACTATTAATAAGAAATGAGACCTTATACAAAGTGATCAACAAGAAAATTGCAATCTAATACTTATGTGTGCAATTTTACTTTAAGAAGAATAAGGTACTGTATAACAACTAATGCTAAAAAAAACCCAGACACCTATTTCAAAAGCAAGTGCTTTTTTTGCTTAAGACATCTTCTCTGGTGTCACGTTTAAGTTGTCTTGTATGAATTTATATCAACTTAAATCGATTTTAATAATTTTCCCTGTGGCAACCAAAGCCAAGGGAAACTAAAAGACAACAGGTGCTTTGTAGTGCATATGATGGAGGAAGCAACAACACAAGATGGTTCTTCTAGCGAATCGCCTAAAAATAGTTTCTTGATACCTTTACTCATAGCTTTTAACCAGCCAGGTAGTATATGCATTAAGTACAATGGTAGTATTAAGAGTCAGTTGGTGGGTAAATAATACATAGGATAGTTAGGGTTTTATGAGTGCCACTATGCTCTATAAAAGAGTTCTATTCATTTTGAGTAAGAATAAATCCCTCCCTCTCTCTCTCTCTCTCTCTCTCTCTCTCTCTGCTGTGATCCTAAAATCTCAACATGCTTCAAGCCACCTGTAATGACCAATAGAAATTCAACCCACCTAAGATGAACAATACAACATATAGGGTATAAATCACAGTCAAGATGCCTCGGTGGTGAAATGTGAGACTAGAAACCTCAGGTTAAATGGTTGGGCATCAACTTCCACTATATTTGCATCACATTAATCGATTTTTAAACACCAGAGTAGGGTCCTACCATATCCACAGATTTTACCAATGAAGTGGCTGTAGCTTAGGTAGTAACTTCACATTAAGTCCAACAGACGCCACTGAGACACCCTTCTTAAAGATGGTATAGACCTATGCTACATGCTTAAATCTAGTAATGGATGTCCTTTCAAATTATTGGGAACTAATTTATGTCTCAGATCCACTACAAACAAAGGAATATGCACTTCAGAAGCTGAAGGCATAGCAATTATTATAATATAATTTCAAACTAAGATTTAAGGTAATTACTCAAATTCCCCTTGATTGAAAATGTGTAAAGCTTGACATTTATCTAAATGCATTCACAAAGCATTGCCTAGATGTAAGCAACAGAAACATGCATACCAGAGGGTTGAAAGAACCATAAAAAGTGTAATTGCCACTAAATGCTAATACCTTATGCTGCATCAACCATCTAAATGTACTAATATAGAACTTTGAACTAAATCCTTTGTAATTACCATTACAGTATGAAAGTTGTGAACTAGGTTTCCAGAATGCTAAGAGGATTAATCGAGATTATCGTAACAGATCGGAAACGTACTTTCAAATTACATGCTGAGACTGAAGATCCCCTTTAAACATCATCAGGATAACCCTTTTGCAGCAGATGCTCCAGAGAAGAATTTGTCTTAGGGCATCCATCATATGACAACGGTAGAGAGCACGCATGTACACAGTCATGGCACTAGCATGAACGTGGACAAGCGTGCTCTCTCTCGTTGTCAAGTAATGATTTCCCAAGGATTGAAGACAATCTGCATCCTGCAAGGAATAAAAAGATGTGCCGGTCCAGAGTCAAGTCTTCAAATAGCATTTGCAGATTATAGAAGTAAAGCTGAAACCTTCAGTAGTAGGAGACTCACTCACAGTTACTGAATCATTAACACTTATGGGGAAGAAGTCATCTAAAAGCTCCATGGGATTTTTCTTTTGAAATGCAACGATTAGCACCTGAGAGGAAACAAATATTGTTTATGTATACTTGAAATGACTAGTATCTTCACAGCAATCAGTAGTCTCAGCAAAAGTTGTGCTATGCTTCATGTCTTCCCTACTCATCTATGAAGAGCGCAAACACAGAGAATTCCTTGGTCTTGCAAGTGATACTCAAGTAGAAATACGGCCGCCAAAATCAAGAAACAAATGCTTGTGAGTGGAAATAATATTAAGAAAGACGTATCTGATTTCATACTTGGTCCACCCTTCAATGACTAGATAAACCAATTTAAACTGAAAATCTTCTCCTCACTCTTACATTGGCAATCATTGGCAAAGTGATCAGCTTTTATTTCCGAGAATTTGGATACATGCAAGTACTTGAACAAATTCTACTATGATCCTAGTTGCTATAGAAAGTAGATGATTGGCCATTTTTTCAGTTTATGTCAAAGTCGTAAGAAACACTACAACTTGAAATAGACCCTTGGCATCCTTCGGATTTTTATGCGACATAGAAAAAAACCTCCTACACATCACATGACTTAATTCTGAATTAGCAGAAAACAAAAAGAAAAAACCAAAATAGAAAACAAATGCTCGGATCATGATTAGTGATGCGGGCGAAGCATTCCAGATATTCAAGTTCAGATAAGAATTGAAATTTCATGTAAGGACTATCATTTCCACTTAGGATCTGTTTCTTTCTCTTTTCGGCCAAATCAACCGAGCCTCGTAGTAAAAGGAATCATTAAGCCCATCAAGCACAAGAAATCATCGAAGAACTCTGACTCAAAATTGAAATACTGCTGCATATTACACAGGATCAAAGCTAGAAAGTAAAGCCTGAGTGAAACCATGGGAAAGCTAGCAAATGAGGAAAGGAATTCCAAAAGACAGGTTACATTTCAACAAGCGAGAATTTCTCACAAAATGCGAGCAACTTTTGCTCCAGATCAAGAAGAAAAGGAAGAAATGAAGGATACAACACAAACCGGGCTTAAAATTGTTCACGTCTTATGCCTAACATGACTTGATATCTACCAAAACTTGCATAGGCCATCGATTTATTTAAGCATTACTTCCAAGGAACCGTAGAAGTCAAGTGAAAAAACCAGTGCGCAAGATTCTACACGTTAAATCACGCGAACACACAAAAAGAAAAAGAAAAGCACACACACCCACACAGACAAAAAGAAAAAGAAACGAGCTTTAGCTACTCACAGCTACAAAGAGAGACCTGGGAAAGAACCAGGCATTTTGGAGAATATGCAGACCTTGAAAAACCCAGAAAGAGTCGAGCCCTTTTGGGAATCTCAGCAGTCCCTCGGTTCTACAGCTTTCTAAGCAAAGCTCAAGACACGATCTTGATAAAACTCCGAAAGATAAGATGATAACTGCGAATCCATTTTGTCGCCAATTAGCGTGTATTAACGACGAAAAACCAACAGTCCTTCGCTTTGCTCGTACTTGACCACGACGTGTTGATGTTGATGTTGATCCCACCACTACAACCTGCCTTTAGAAATTCTGGGCACCATTTTCCATCTCTCTCTCTCTCTCTCTCTCTCTCTAGCCGACTGGTGGGTCCAGATAGGTGTACATGGTGGACGACTGAAGGATGGTGATTTGTCCACGTACACAGTAATCTCGCGCTTGATGGAGCTTCAGGGGTGGATCTGCATTTCCCATAGATTGTTTCAGACCAGAAGGTACAGACAAACTCAAATGGTTCATGGTACTGCGATGTACCCAATTCTTGATTTCCACTCCGTCATCGTTGGGCGATCGATCATGTCACGGGGACTGTCCGAAGATCAAGAAGAAATTGCGGAGACCGACAGTCATTGTGATAATCATGATCATCATTGATGAGTTCACTCATCAACCTGATTTACTATCTTCTTCTTGTGTAAAAATAGATGGTTTATATTAGACCAAAGTACCTAGACTTAATTAATCCATAACCAAGATGACTTTTGCTAAAAGAATATTGAGATCTATATTGAATTTGAAAGTATAAATTGGGTCTTTGTAAGGTTTATGCATTGTTCGTTTGTTGACATGTGTGAAGCCTTATTCGAGATGTTGATTGTTATCGTTCTCGTAAGGTGTATAATTCTTACCCTCTCCATTTATCTTGCTTCCAATTAGGATTTGTCAATCTTCTATATGCTTGCCTCATTCAATATTGTCGTTTTTAATTGGTTTTAATGCTGTAAATTAGCATAGCTACAGTGAGAAATTCTAGCCTCACACTCTATCTTAATTGTCCTTACAATGTAAATAACCAACTTCATCCTTTATACTCCATATGAGGAAATTTACAATTCTTCTCTCATTTTATATCTCCATCCAATTAAAATCATGAATTTTATTATTAACTCATTATGTTATATTAGAAACGAAAACTAATTGTGCACGCATGGCGCGTGCATGAAACCTAGTTGATTTAATCCGCTAACAATTGCATTAATTACTAAAAAATGAAAAAAATAGTCTTATTATCCCACTATTTAATAATGATATTTGCACATTAATTTACACAACTTATATTATGACATAATTGATATAATTGGGTACTTAAACTTCGATGTTTCCTTTTAATATATAAATAAGTTGACATTACGTTGGTTGCATAAAAATTCATCTTAAGATAATTTTGTTGGGGTGTGATTCATACTCCCCATTGACAGGATGGTATGGTGGTTCTGCTCCCAAGTGAGCGGGTGGGGGTCGTAGGGGGCAGTGCCCCCGCGACACTAGGTGGCTTTTATAGTTTGTGCTCGTATTTTATTGATAGTTTGGACTTTGACCCATAAAGTTACTGATTATATATAATCTCTTTCTCTTGTAATTGAAATTGTAACAGAGAGATGGGAGGTGCTGATTATGTTGTATGTAACCCTAGTTGAAGGGTGAATTAGGATAAAATCTTGTGTCTCGATTTCTCGTTCTCGCATTTACTCTCTATTTTGTTGTGTTTGTTCGCCTAATTCTAATAAATTTAAGTAATTACATATTTAGAAGTTATCTTTCGTGTATGGATGTACTTTTGCTTTTTATCTTACTTTTGCAGTCGGCACATTTGGATATTTTCTTAATCCGAAACAACTAAAAAATTTCTTAATATAAAAAAGTTGGCACATAAAATCATATATAAATTTTCTATGATTTTTAAAAAATTCGGATGATATTGTACATATTGGTGGGAAAGTAAGTTGCTTTTTGCTTTTTAAAAAAACATAAACAAAGAGGCCCTGTTGATCCAAATTTTACTTGTTTTGTGGCATTTAGGCCGTTTGGTTCAGCTTTCCCAAGGGGCTTTCGGCCAAAAGCCAGCATTGGGAATGCTCAAAAGCTCAAAGCTGGTCCGGACCAACTTTGGGCTTTTAGCATTTGGCAAATGCTGAACCTAATTTTTTTTCTTCCCAAACTATTCTCACTTATTCTTTAATATTTCGATTTTGACCCTTGTTGTTACTATTCATCTTCTTCGCGAAAGGTCGACTGACGACACCGGATCTGGCAGGTGAAGGGCCGGCGAGGTTGCCTGAGGTTGTGCGACCTAGGCGACGACGGCCTAGGTCGAGCGACCCCAGGCGACAGTTGCCTGGGGTCGCGCGACCCAGGCCAACGACGCCTGGGTCGCCTGAGGTTGGGCGACCCCAGCGAGGGCCGCCTGGGTAGCGCGACCCTCGCTGGGGGTCACTAGACCTTGAGTGACGACTGCCGGTGCCAGATCTGGCTCACCGGCGGCCATAGCCTTTAGCCAGTGAAGGATAACTTTTTTTTTTAATAAAAAAAGGGTCCCAAAGCCCTTTGCCAAAAAAAAAAAAAGCTAAACACTACTTGGACCAAAGTAGCTTCACAAATAATTTTTTACCAAATGCCATTTGAATTTCCCCAAGGGGTTTTAACCTAAAGGTATTTGTATTCCTCCAAAGTTCATTTGCCAAGTTAAACCAAACGGTCCCGTCGTTCACATAAAATGAATTTGAATTCGGATGACATACTCGTTGTATCTGGCGAATTGTTGATTATTGATGTGACATTAATGTATTTGAAAGTTTCTCCTATTAAAGGTGTTCATGACATTCAACAAACATGCAAGTCGAGTCTTATGTAGGACCCTTTAAAATATCGGAGAGGATTAGTGATGTTACTTATGAACTCGCTTTTCCACAAAACTTATCCCTTATCCATAACATATTTCATGTACCCTTGTTGTGAAAATATATCCCTAAATTTCGAACATGTGTCGGATTTTACACCTTTAATGCTGAAGGGAAACCTTACCTATGAGGTCCAACCAATTTGCATCGTAGACGGAAAGGATCAAGTGTTAGAGGTGTCGAACCATTTCCTATGTGGAATATACAACGCCGTAACCACGACGAAAGAAAACCACCTTGCGGATAGAAGATTATGACACTCAAGCAACGAATGCGTTTGCCTCCTTAGAGGCTCCAGGTCAATGTCATGCACTATATTGGCGGACCCCCCAAGTTTCGAACTCGTATTGCTATTCTCAATCCAAGTTCAAGTTGCAAATAGACCGGCGCTTAAACTTGCCACTGGTGTCGCTTGATTTTGGTCGGCTTCCCTTGTCTTGACGGAGCCTAGGAATCGTGGCTTGCTCTAACTAGTGAAACAAATGCGCATTTCTGGTGGTTGGACGTGATGCCGATGGTTCACGAGTCGTCTTCTGAACAAGACCCCATCTACGTATTCAAACAGCACAGATGACCAAGCTTGAAGGGGAACCTATTTCATGTGGATAACATATTTCATGTATGCTTGTCGCTAAAATATATTGCTAAAATTTGGAAAATGTATCGGATTAGACACCTTTAACGCCGAAGGGGAACCTTACCTGTGAGGGGCAATCGATTCACATTGCAGACGTGGTGGATCAAGTGTTAAGGTGTCGAACTATTGGCTATTGGAAAAATTCAATGGCAAAAACACACTGAAAGAAACCCATGTAAGGGATCGAAGAGCAGGCAAAGCTGTAAGTATCCTCCTCTTTATGAAAATTAAGGTATGTACGACGAAGAATTTTTTCAAGGGGGTAGTTATATTTTCGTGGCTGATACAAGTCATGGGTAGTTATTTTTGATGTTGAGGTCTTTGGGTTGAATGTCATCCCTTTTGCGCATTATTCACGTCTAAGATGATAAGTTATATGTTTCCACTAATGTTTTCCCACAGAAATATAATGAGAGATGATTTCCAAGGTCACAAGTATTTTCCATGTTGGATTGGCCTCCTGCTATAAAATGCTAATCTATAGGCTCGTCTACAATCGAAAACCGCAACACATACACAGTTCTAGTTCAAGCAGAGAGATAGGTGTGGCCATTCCGAACGACGCTGAGTCATGGTTCCCTCTTCACTTAAAGACGAACCGCAGTGTCACAAAGCTGTCTTCCTAAAGCTCTTCAACTTCAGTCTTGGTGTCATGATCATTGGAATGGTGCTCACCTTATTCCCTGGATTTGCTTCAACTGCCACTCCTGGTTTCCCTCTTGAAGCCGAAAATGGGAATGCAGAGAAGGCAGCAGAAACTCTGCTGAAATGGAAATCCACTCTTGACAATCAAAGCCGACCTCTCCTGTCCTCATGGCAGGGCGAGAATGCTTGCTCTAGTAATTGGACAGGAATCACCTGTGACTTACCAGGAGTCGTCACTAGCCTAAATCTTTCGAACATGGGCTTGAGAGGTATGCTTGGTGCTCTTAATTTCACTGCTCTACCTCATCTAGTTAGCCTGGACCTGTCAAACAACTCATTTCGTGGCCCTGTTCCTCAAGAAGTGGGGAAACTGAGATCCCTAATTCGCCTCAATTTGTATGGGAATAATCTCAATGGTTTCATCCCTACATCTATTGGGAACTTGAGCAACCTAGAAAATCTGTGTCTCGCCGCTAATGGTCTTTCGGGTCCTATTCCACAGGAAGTGGGTGACTTGAGAGGTTTAACCATACTTGCTTTGTCCAGAAATAGTCTCAATGGTTCGATCCCTACATCAGTTGGGAACTTGGTTAATCTAACCGTATTGCTTCTGCATTTCAACAACCTTTCTGGTTTCGTTCCTCGTGAATTGAATAATCTTACTCGTTTAGTTCAGTTTACTCTGGCTCAAAATGAACTAACAGGGAAGCTTCCTGAAAATGTATGCCTCGGTGGGTCACTGGAAGTCTTTACAGCATTTGACAATCGCTTGAATGGTCCCATCCCAAAAAGCTTGAGGAACTGCAGCAGCTTAGTTAGGGTTTGGCTTCAAGGAAATCGACTTAGTGGAAATATAACGGAAGATTTTGGTGTATACCCTAAGTTAAAATTCATTGACTTGAGCCTTAATCGACTCTCTGGCAAGCTTTCTTGGACATGGGGACTATGCAGCAGTTTGGAGAGCTTGCGAGTCTCTCAAAATGTTATTTTTGGTGAGATTCCCCCCATGATTGGGAATATGACTCAATTGAGAGTGTTGGACTTATCTTCAAATTACATAACTGGAGGGATTCCTCATGAATTGGGAAGACTATTTTTATTGATAGAGCTTTCTCTATATGGTAACAATATTTCAGGCGACATCCCTCTTGAGATTGGGCTTTTCTCAAGTCTAGCAAAGCTCAACTTGGCAAGCAACAGTTTGAGTGGTCCGATTCCTGCACAATTAGGACAATGTAGAAAATTATGGTACCTGAACTTGAGCAGAAACGTGATTCAAGGAAGTATTCCATCGGAGGTTGGAAATATACAATTTCTGCAGATTCTCGATTTATCCAGTAACTTCTTGGAGGGAAAACTAGCCCAGGATCTTGGAAAGCTGACTGCATTAGCTGACTTAAATCTCTCCCATAATGGCTTCTTCGGTTCCATTCCACATAGTTTCTACGATATGTTAGGCCTTGTGTCCGTTGACATATCATATAATGACTTGGAGGGGCCACTCCCAGACATTAAGGCCTTCCGCATGGCTCCATACGCAGCAATTCAGAATAACAAAGATGTATGCGGTGTTGTGGCTGGTCTAAGAGCATGCACTTCTTCCTCGAGCAAGAAAACCAACAGAGAGAGGGGGAAGAAACTTGTGGTCAGAATAACTCTGTCGGTTACAAGCACCTCGTTCCTCATTGTTGTTCTGGTGGGGATCGTTCTTTTGGCTGGCAAGAGATGCAAGAATAAAAAATGTAATTTGACAGAGTTGTCTACCGGAGATCCCTTTGTGGTGTGGAGCTACGATGGCAAATTGGTTTATCGACTAATTGTCGAGGCCACAGAAGCTTTCCATCCGAAGTACCGGATTGGAGAGGGAGGATTTGGAGCTGTTTACAAAGCTGAGCTGTCTCCGGATCGAGTCCTTGCAGTGAAGAAGCTTCATTCATTAGAAGATGGTGAGGTTGTCGGGGTTACCTCTTTGCAGAGGGAGGTGAAATGCCTAGCAAATATATGCCACCGCAACATAGTGAAGCTCTATGGATATTGCCTGCATCCAAAGCATTCATTTTTGGTTTATGAGTTCCTCGAGAGAGGAAGCTTAAGAAGAATCTTGAAAGATGACGAAGCGGCGATGGAGCTACATTGGGTCAGGAGGGTAGATGTTCTCAAAGGAGTGGCGAATGCATTGTCCTATATGCACCATGATTGCTTCCCCTCATGGATTCATCGAGACATGACAAGCAACAACGTTCTGTTGGATGCTGATTACGAGGCTCACGTTTCTGACTTTGGCATTGCTAGGCTTCTCAAACCAGATTCATCAAATTGGACTTCTTTGGCTGGTACTCTTGGGTACATTGCTCCAGGTACAGATTCTCGGTCTTATCTTAACCTCTAATTGACATTTAAGTAACGCTAGTCGACGTACATAGACATAACTTTTACTGCTAATTCTATAATTTCTGCATTTCCGAGCAGCCAGTGCGTCTAGACTTAAATATGAGCATCTCTCTTTTCCATGCTTAGAAATTATTGCAGCCTTTGCTCAATCATGACAACAAATTCAACATGAACATGTTGGTGTTTAAAAAAGCCGTCGGACATATTTTATATTCAACATGGATCTAGATTATGATACATTAACCATGAAATTGGTTTACCAACTAGTAATGACAGCTAACAATGATCTCTTACCGCATTTTTCTTTTAGATCTCGAACTCTTTTCTATGTTCCAAGCTAGCAAAAGCCAGCATTTTGGAAATCGTCTACTTGAAATATTGAACTAACATATGCCACTTGTGAATTATAGAGCTAGCATACTTGCCAGTCGTCACAGAAAAATGCGATGTTTATGGCTTTGGAGTGATAGCAATGGAAGTGATCATGGGAAAACACCCGGGAGATCTCATCTCCATTTCGGGTCCATCATCTTCATCGCTGGCAAAGATTGGTTCGGACTTTTTACTCCAGGATGTGTTGGATCGACGCCTCTCACCTCCTATGGGTAGAGATGCAGAGGACGTGGTGTCAATCGCAAAACTGGCATTGGGATGTTTGCAAGTGGATCCCCGACGTCGGCCAAGCATGAAAGGAGTCTCGCTACTGCTACCAGTTCAAGTGCCTCTAGCAAAGCCATTTTCTGAGATCACATTGGGTGAACTAAATAGCTTCGGCTGTTGATCTGTGTACATGAAAGAGGTGTATTGTTAAGCAGTCCCAAAAGTGAAAGTACCATAAAACTAGTTACCATTCCAACATAAAATGAGGATTTGTGGTTGAGCTGCATCCTCACAAAGCTCCATTCTGTCCCACCACCCTTTATATCTAACATTTATCTCTGCATATTTAAGCCAAAACCTCCTGTTGTCTCACTTTTGTATTTGCTATTTATCCCTTACGTACTTATTATTTTTATTAGATTCACTGCAATAAAATACACTTCTGCCATTGGATAACTGATACGTGGATGAATTTGGTTACATAATTATCTCTAAATACACGTGTCATCCTTTCACCGATGTAAAAATTTCTTTACTTCTGTAACGGACTTAATAATAATCCATGTACTTATTAATCTAACTTTGACGCAAATTAACTTGTTTGATTTGTAGACCTCTAGGCATGGTTTGGTCTCTGGGACCTTTCTTTTATGTATCGAAATGTTTGACTGAAATTTGACCGGTGATTACTCCCTTGTCCGACATTGGTTCCACCCGATCTTAGTTGCGTTGAAATGCTGGCGATCCCTAGTTTCGGGAAATGCAATTGAAATAGGGAAAATGCAAGTTTCTCGACTCCATGAAAAATGTGACCGGTCCCTAGACTAGTTTTGACGAGCAGAACCTTTGTAGCTTGTTGGTTAACCTTTGAACTCCCAGTCAACTCTAGGTCAAACTTAATTATTTTTTGAAAATGGGTGGCAAAATCTGAGGTGGCAACATCCATCATCTGCGATAATGACATCCGCATTTAAGTATAGATCCATATAGAAGTATCTAAAAATTCGATTTTTTTCATCCAAATGTGGACGGAATATGAGGAATCGGTACCGATAAATCGACACGGGGTGCCTAGTTTGCAAGTTTATAAAAAGATTACGCATTTGGTTCTTGTACTTTTAGGAATGTTCAATTTCAGTTCCTGTATTATGTTATTGCAACAAAGGCAGCCCTTCTAGCGTGTAAATATCGTTTCATTTTAGCTGGGGGAGGGAGAGAGAGAGGATGAAGACGAGAGCTTTCGGTGGAAATTCTCACGGTTTTGATTGAAATTCTCGCGCTTTGAAAATAGGTATCGACACCGTCAATATCGATTTCGAATCGAAATGCATGCTAGGGCGTCATATTGTCCGCTTAGGATCGTACAATTAACAGTTGTCGTTATGCATGAAGGAATCCTCGGATTTCTGCTCATCGACCCAACAATAGCAAAAGAAAGGAAAGATAGTGATGTGAGTGGGGATGCATGGAGACTAGTTCAAAGGTAGAGTTGAAGTCTCATCTTAGACTCCTAAGCAGTTAAGCTGAGTGGATCATATTGTGTCACGCACTAAAATGGGGGATGAAAATTCAAACTTCTGTCTAGATAATGAACCTGTCCTGACATCAGACAATAACCTTTACTCTCCGGAAGATTACGACGCTGGAACTGCGAATGCTTTTGCCTCGTTGGAGGCTCTAGGTCAATGTCGTGCACTAAATGGAAGGACCCCTCAAGTTTCGAACTGATCCTGCTATTCCCAATCCAAGTTCAAGTGCAAATTGACCAGAGCTTAAACTTGACGCTACCGTCGCTTGACTTGGGGTCGACTTGCCTTGGCTCGACGGAGTCTAGGAATTGTGCCTTTTTCTAACTAGTGAAACAAATGCACATTTTCTGGTGGTTTAGCTTGATGCTGATGGGTCATGAATCAGCTTTTCGAGACCTCATCTTCTGTTGAGTGGATCAAAATGTTCTACCCCCTAAAATGGGGGATGCAACCTGTCCTTTGCATCAGACAATAAACTTTACTCTCCGGAAATTCACGACCCTCGAGCTACGAATTCTTTTGCCTTCGTTAGAGGCTCTAAGGTCAATGTCGTGCACTAAATTGGAGGACCCTTCAAGTTTCGAATTGATACTGCTATTCCCAATCCAAGTTCAAGTTGCAAATTGACCGGAGGTTATAATTGACAATAGCGTCGCTTGACTTTGGTTTGCTTGCCTTGTCTTGACATAAGTCAGCTTCTAATCAAGACCCCATCTACATATTCAAACAATGTACATGACCAAGCTCTGGGTGGCGTCCCACACATCCGATTGTATTCTGGATCTATCATCGATGACTTCAGCCATTCTGATTCATAGAGGAGTTATGTGATTGAACCATATCATCGGACCTTAGATATGTTGAGATATTTTATTATTGATTATGGCAGCTCTTGGAAAGAACACTTACGGTTGACCGAGTTTTCTTATAAAACTAGTTATCATTCCAACAAAAAAAAAAATGGCTCTTCTCAAAGCTTTGGATGGTGAGAAATACAGATCTTCTGTCGGTTGGGACGATGCGGATGAAAAGAGAATGTTCGGTCGTGAGTTTATTTAGCAATCGGATCGGAAGAGGAAGTCAAATCAGTTCGAGAGTATCTCAAGACAGCACCCAGGGAGACGCAGACGCAAAGTAGAAGTTGATGTGGGAGATTGTGTATTTCAAATCTTGGAGAGGATCAGTGATGTTACTTATCAACTTTCTTTTCCACAAACCTTATCCCGTGCCCATAACATATTTCATGTATCCTGGTCGCGGAAATATATTCCTAAGATTTGGAACATGTACAACATCGAAGGAGAACCTTACCTGTGAGGAGCAACTGACTCGCATTGTAGACAGGAAGGATCAAGTGTTAAGTATATCGAACTATATCCAATGTGAAGAATTCAATGGAATACCACACCGTAAGAAAACCACCCAGGGATCGAAAGGCAGGCGAAGTGGTAAACATCCTCCTTTTGAGAATTAAGGTACGCAGGAAGATTTTTCTTTTTTGAGGGGATAGAATGAACACGAGGACAAGAATATGTGCATTTTCTTGGCTGATCGAGTCATGGTTAGCCAAGTTGAGGAGATATTTTTGTTCCTTGTGACTGGCCGAGTCATCATGGGTAGCCAAGTTGAGGAAAGACTACTGTTCTTTGTGTCAAAGATTTTTCAAAGAGTACATTATTCTCCATAACGAGGTCCTTGGGTTGAATGTCATCCCTTGGATGCATTATTGGTGTCTAAGATGACAATAAGTCATATATATGCATCCACTCATTTGACTACTTGAAACATGAAAGAGGAGAGATGATTTCCACCGCTAATATTTTCTCATGTTAGATTGGCCTCCTTCTATATAATGCTATCCACAGGGTCGTCAATACAATCGAAAACCACAAATACACAGTTCTAGTTCATGCAGAGAGATTGGCGCTAGGATTCCGAACGGCCCCCAGTCATGGTTCTCTCCACGCTTAAAGGGGAACCACAATCCCACCAAGCTGTCTTGTTAAGGCTCTTCAACTTCAGTCTTGGTGTGATCTGTTGGTTTTCTACATAACATGCATAGTTAAATTAAATATAAATGCAGCGGAAAGATATAATCATACATGTATCTCCAAAGGCGTTATTCGTGCGTTTCAATAAAAAATCGGAAGACCATTGGGGGTTAAACGGATTACCTCTCATAGCGTACCTAAAATGATTTTGGTTCGAATGTTCTTCAGTTCGAGCCCCGCAACCGTCGGACCTCTAGTTCCAACACACCACCAATCGCACAACGAATGGAAGAAAGAACTTGTGGGTAATCACCACTATAATTGTGCTAGCAATCTCGTGGCGACAATTCTCCGTACTCTCGATATTTCAGTCATGGTGCCGGAAGAGAGAAAACGTATTTTAACTCTCACGCACACATATTGCACTTCTCACTTGCACTCTTTCTACTCTTTCTTTAGCAACTGTTGCTGATCAGCAATAGTTAATGATCGCATGGGCACACTTCACACGATCAGCAACTGTTGCTGATCGTGTGTGCATTTAGCACACGACCAGCAATGGGTGATGCCCACAGTCAGCAACGCGTACTGACCATGGGCACCCTTCACGCGATCAGCAACCGTTGCTGATCGTGTGTGCATTTAGCACACGACCAGCAGTTGCTGGTCGCGGGTGATTCCCACGGTCAGCAACGGTTACTGACCGTGGGCCGTGGGTGAAGCACACGGTCAGCAACTATTGCTGACCGTGTGCATGCACCATTAATTAATATTAATTAATTCATTTATTTTAATTAAAACACACACGATCGTCACCATTGCTGATCGTGTGCTGCACACGGTCAACAAATGTTGACCTTGTGCACTTTTAATTAATTTAATTCTATAAAACTAAGAGCGCAAGATCATTTGGCACATTATCATGTGTCCACTTTAGGTTTACGCGTGTATCATATGCACCTACGCTCAAGGCTAAAAATAAAATAAAATAAAATAACATTTAATTTAATTTCAGTTCGACTCAATTCGATTGCAAACATATTTGCAATATCGTCTCTTTCGTACAACGTCATTCTAAATTGGTTATGGTGTGTGACATCTCTAAGTTCATTACTGAGCTGGTAGTAGGACTTACACTAACACATTAGTACTCTCAAGATAATCGATTGTCCCGATCAAGCTCTGAGTCTTACAAGCCATGATTGACATCTAGCAATATGTCATGGCTACCTAGATACGGAGATAACAATTGCGAAGAAGACGCTGGAATGGAATAAAGGTCGTGATCAGTTTCCCCTTGAAGTAGAGTCCTCCCCGTGTGACGACACTTCACAGAAAAGGAGTTTGATGAGAATAGGAAATCACAGTTGTTTTCTTGACAAAACTGACATACAGATAGCAAATTCTTTTTGATTGTGGGAACAACGAGAACATTAGACATACGAAAATGAGGAGAAACATAGCTACCTATGTGAGTAATGGGTAAATGGGACCCGTTACCTATGGTGACTTGTTGGGATCCAAAATAAGGCTGAACATTAGACAGATCGGAAGGATTATTTGTCACATGGTGGGTAGCACCAGAATCAGGATACCAGGATTCACTAGAGAAGATGGAAGGTGGAGGAGGAATTTCAGCCAAGTTGAGTTGAGGAGAAAATTCGGATGGTGGATGCTGAAGATATCTGTCACGGCAAACATTGGCACTGTGACCGTGTTTGTTACAAATCTGACACCGAAGATTGCTTCGTCTCTGACTCTGGTTATTGCCAAAAGATGGATTGAAATTGGTGTTGAGATTCCGATTGTGATATTGTTGGCCAGCCCCTCGATAATTTCTGTCTCTTCCTTCTTGATTCCGATTTTGGAAAGAATGCCCATTACCTCGAGAATATCTGACAGCATGTTGTTGTCATGATCTTTGAGGTTGTGAGGAAACCATTGTAGGCCCATCAAAATGTGCAGCAAATGCAGCCGGTGGAGTAACAGTAGACTCCATGAGGTCTAAGCGTGCTTCATGGGACAATATGAGACCGTGAAGGGCATCTCTAGTCATTGTTTGATTTTGACTTTGCACTGATATGGATACTGCAAGGCTTTGATATTCGGCTCCCAATCCACGAAAAATGTGAGTTTGATACTCATGATCGGAAATAATCTCGCCAATCGAAGCCAGTTGGTCTACAAGAACAGTGGTTTGTTGAAGAAATTCTGTAACTGTTTGGTTACCTTTCCGAAGAGCTTGCAGCTGCATTCTAAGATGAGTTGCTCTAGCAAGATTATGAGAAGCGTAAGATGTACCAAGGAATTCCCATGCTTCTGCGGATGTGTTGAAATTCGAAAGCTGACCGACGATGGCGTCGGATGTCGTGCTAAGAATCCACTCAAGTGCGATTTGATCGCGTGTTACCCACTCATCATATGTTGGGTTCGGAATAGTGGTGGTGGTTCCATCTGCTGTTTGCACAATTTGGCTAGGTGGACATACTAAATATCCTTCCACAATTGGCAGTAGTTTGCTTGCTCGAAGATACGGTAATAGGCGTGCCCTCCAAATAACAAAATTGTCTCCTGTGAGCTTGACTCCAATTGCTGGACAGGAGATGGAATTTGTAGGAATTCCAGTGGCTGTGGATCCAAGTACCTGGGTTGTTAAGCCAGGGATGGCACTTGAGATCGAAGCAGATGTTGAAGAAGGCGAGGATGCCATTTGAGAATAAAAGAAAGCTTTCGCTAGAAAAGTTCTGATACAATGTTAAAAACGTAAAACTATATCATAATTTTTATGAATGTTTTTGTATATCTTTATCTCTCTTTTCAGCTTCTATTTATAAGAAGTTAAGGATATAAACAAATCAACAATAAATCAGAAAGAAATCAAGGAGTGATTGCAAGAGATTTGCTGAATATCAGGAGCGATTGCTGAATATCGGGAATAGTTGCTAGAGATCTGCTGAATATTAGATTCTAGATTTGATATCCTTTGACAACTTGAAAATACTTGCCAAGATGAGTGAACCAATGATCCAAAATTAGTCAGGTCTCGAGTGCAGAATTTCCACCCCAACTTCAACTGAGACTGAGGACGCACCAGGTACAGGTATCTGATCAGGAAACTCCATTGAGCTCGAATATAAGGTCCAACATTAGTTCTTTTCTGTCGTAGTAATTGATCGATGGGCTAGTGGACGACACTAATTTTTCTGTGTCTTGAGGTTTTCGGTTTTTTTGATAATGATCCATGGAACACGGTAGGAAAGGAGGTGCAACACATAAAGCACGTCAAAGTCTCATCTACTCATGGCAAATTGAAACTTCAGAAAGTGGAGAAGAAGGAAATTGCCAAAGTCTCATCTACACATAAAGCACGTCAAAGATTTTGAAATATATTATGCTGTAAAGAATAAGGACTCTAAACACAAGCGCAAAAGACCCAACAAGAACATGCTACCCGAAAAACTTAAATGGTGGCATGATTTAATATTTAAATATTTTAATAATCTCTCTTACTCGTTGATTGGATTTTGAGAAATATATAGTAAGAAAAGGCAAATAAGGAACTTGGAAAGATTTGAACCTAATACCTCTTCTCGTATCATGTAAGATTTTGTTGAATCGTTATTAATTGTTGTTAATACGTTTAATATTTAAATATTGTAATAGGAAATGATAAAGTAGAACAAAGGTTAAAACACTTGGGTCGTCAAGAGAATTGAGCATGCCGTTCTTCTTTGATCAAAGCTTTTATTATGATTATTTGGTTTACAGTCATGTCTGATCGATATGCTCCTTCAATAACTGAGCATGATGTCCATTCACAAACCTTATAGTTCTTCATCTGACTATGGAGAGGATTATGTTTTATTTACTTTTATGTCTAAAATTGGAAATGCAGCAACTTTGGTTAATTTATTTTAACCTTTTTACGAAAAGTGAAGTTTTAGCGTGTACTCGACAAAATTTTTATGGGTCATGGCTTAAATTTGATTTGCTCATGAATTATCTGATGGTGACCGTCAAGGTGGTTGATCTAATGGTAAATGAGTCACATATCTTTTTACGAGATCACGAGTTCAATTTATGTCATGAACAAAACCTATAGTTTGTCCCCTATTGCCTAGCTATGACATATCTCATGTGGAGTGACAAAATGGTACGACTTTAGTGATATGCTCGCCAATCTCGAACTTTCTAATTGACAACTAGTGTGAAGTAGTTATAGTCAAATTCAAACATTTCGTATAGGATTTGAGACTCTTATCATAACGTCAAAAGGGGTTGCTAGGGTTCCCTAACCTTTCCTTCCCTGTTCACCCTTAAAAAACAGAAGAAGAATTACTTGATGGTGATGATTCAAAGGCCGTAATATGGGTTAGACCAAAGAAAGAAGCCGGAACTCTCTAACACGTAAAGCACAGGATGTCCCTTCTTTTCAAACGCCCAAAATTCAAAGAAAGAATTCTTTATTGATAAAAAAAAAAAGAGAGAGCTGGAAGTCACAAGTGAAGGGGATGGAATTTCCGGCGGCAGAAAAGAAAGTTCTTTGTATTTTTATTATGTATATTGCCAGTGGAGGAAATATATTACACTTTCACTGTTAGATGATTGACATATGAATGAATTCGATTACTATCTTTGCGTACAAATGCCTTCCCGTGGTGAAGGTGCCCACTGCCTATGATTTGTTCAGTGCTGCCTAGGTGCGACAACTTGGTGGGACTACGGTGACAAGCTCGTGAATCTTGAACTTTTGAGTTGACGGTTGAGGTGAAGTAGTTATAGCCAAATTCGAACATTTTGTAGAGGAATTGAGACTCTTATGATAACGTTAAAAGAGGTTGCTAGGGTCTCCCCGCCTTTCCCGCCCTTTTCACCCATAAAAAAAAGAATTACTTGATGGTGATGATTCATACACCATAATATGGGTTAATACCAAAGAAAGAAACCGGAACTACCTAACACGTAAAGCACATAATGCCCCTTCTCTTTAAACACAAATATTACACTTATCGTGTCCTTTACCCGAAGGAAAGCTTAAACCCTGTTCATTCCTCAAAGAAACTTAAATTTGCCACCCCACCCGATGAGATTAGATATCAATAATTTGACCTATGATCTTTTGCGCATGATGCTAGTGCTATTAAAGGAATTGACCCTTATCCGTCTGTCATTGGAAATATCTTTGCCTTACTAAATTAGGCAGTCTTGCCTCTTTTAAACCTTCAATTTGGCCATGTGTAGGGACAGAAATTCACATTTGTACGAACAATCGTTATCATCATCACTTTGAAGAACAGCCCATCTATAGCTGTTAAAAGGTGCTTGTGCAAGGGTGCTAAGAGAAAGAAGTTTCACGTTAGAATATGGTGTAATATGTAGAAGTTAGATCCTAGTAACTTGTAACTTTAGCCAACTGGATATGTTGGCAGGCTCACATTTAGGTTTGCTCTTGATAATCTTCTCAGGTGAAGGTATTCTCGAATTTCTGGTGCATCGATTCAACAATAGCTAACGAATGAAAGTGATGTTGGCGAATCCAAGGAGGACTAATACAAAGGAAGAGTTGATATCTCATCATAGACTCTTATGCTGGAGTTGATCATAATGTTTTACCCCCTGAAATGGGGGATGAAATTTCAACTTCTGTCTAGATAATTGCAAACCTGTCCTTTTCATCAGACAACAACGTTTACTCTCCGGAAAATTATGACACTCCAACTACCCGTGATGCTTCTTCGTTAGAGGCACCACGTCAATGTCAAGCACCAAATGGGAGGACCCCTCAAGTTTTGAACTTATACTGCTATTCTCAATCCATGTTCATGTTGCAAATGGACCGGAGCTTAGACATGACGCTAGTGTCGCTTGACTTTGGTCGGCTTGCCTTGACTTGACAGAGTCTGGGGAATAATGGTTTGCTCTAACTAGTGAAACAAATGCACATTTCGGGTGGCTGGAGTTAATGCTGATGGTTCATGTACGAGCCAGCTTCTGATCAAGACCCCATCTACAGATTCAGACAATATCGATGACCAAGCTTGAGTGACTTCCCACACATCCAATTAATTGTAATCTTGATCTATCATCCATAACTTACAGCCATTCTGATTCATATGAGAGGAAGAATGACAAGAAGAAAGAAGAACAATGAAGAAGTTGGACTTTTCTAACCAATTAATGCTGGACGAGTCCTATCTTTTCATGACTGTTTCAAAGACAAGCTGAAAAGAAAGATTAATGCATGGTTTTGTAAAGGCTTATGTTGTGCAGGTCCAACTATAAATGCTTCAGCATGCTGTTGAAGTAATATCTTGCAAATTTTTTTGCAGACACTAGTAACCCAAGTCATGGTCTCTTCAATAGTTTCAGATAAACCTCATGCTAATTTTGTTTCCTTGAAGTTACTTCCCTACATGAGTACAATCACGAAGTTCATTTTCGCCTTATCCCTTGTTCCAGCTTTTGCTTCTCCAGCTTGTTTCAGTGCTCAAGCGAGAAATGGAACTGCAAAAGGAGAGGAAGCGCGTGCTCTGCTCGAGTGGAAATCTAGTCTTGACAATTACAGTCAAGCTCTTTTATCTTCATGGCGAGAAGACGACTGTTGCTCATGGAGAGGGATTGGTTGCGATAGCTCAGGAAGTGTCTCGGAGCTTAATCTCTCGAACATGGGTTTGGCAGGTTCGCTCAGCAAACTTAACTTCACCGTTCTGTCAAATTTAATAAGCCTCAATCTCTCGGCAAACTCGCTCGACGGTCCCATTCCTTCATCCATCGGTAACCTCTCTAAGTTGTCCACTCTGTCTATCTTTAACAACTCACTCTCTGGCACAATCCCTCCTGAAATAGGCAAGTTGAGCAGGCTGAGCATTCTTTACCTTGACGGGAATCGTCTCTGTGGAACTATCCCTGAAGAACTAGGAATGCTGTACTCTCTTTTGAACCTCACCTTGTATGACAATAATCTCACAGGTCAGATTCCTACTTCTTTGGGAAACTCGAGCAACTTAACATTTCTTGCCTTGGGCCAAAACAATCTTGTAGGGTCGGTTCCTCGAGAAATTTACACCCTAAGTTCTCTTACCTTCCTTTCTCTCCGACTAAACAAATTAACCGGTTCCATTCCTTCATCTATAGGAAATCTGAGTAGTCTAAACGTCCTTAACTTCCAAAGCAATTATCTTTCTGGTCCAGTTCCCCAGGAGATAGGAAGGTTGAAACCTCTGGCAAAGCTCACTTTGTCTAATAATAATTTCAGTGGTCCAATTCCTATGTCTATTGGAAACTTGACTGCCCTAACTTTATTAGTCCTCGCTTCGAACAATTTTTCCAGCTCCATTCCTGAAGAAGTTGGAACTTTAAGACATCTGAAGGAACTTCGCCTGTCAGAAAATAGTCTCAATGGGTCAATCCCGAGATCAATTGGAAATTTGGTCAACTTGAGTGTACTGAGTTTGCACTATAACCATCTTTCTGGTTTAATCCCGGATGAAATGAATAATCTTAGAACTCTAAGACATATCTCCATAGGTGAAAATAAGCTCATAGGGCGACTACCAGATAACCTTTGCCTTGGAGGGTTACTCGAAAATTTTACTGCGCCTAATAATCACTTCAATGGTCATCTTCCTAAGAGCCTAAAGAATTGCAGTAGCTTATTGAGGATTCGACTAGAAGGAAACCAGCTCACAGGAAACTTGACAGAAGATATTGGTGCGTATCCCAATTTGAAGTACATGGACTTGAGTTATAACCGATTCTATGGCGAGCTTTCTTCGAAATGGGGCTTTTCCCATAACTTAACAAGCCTAAGAATCTCCAGTAACAACATTTCTGGTGGGATACATCCCATGATTGGGAATATGACTGAGCTGAGAGTATTGGACCTCTCATCGAACTATATTACCGATCGGCTTCCAAGGGAATTGAGAAGATTGACTTCACTGATCGAACTTGATCTACATGATAACAAAATCTCTGGTAATATCCCTCCCGAGATTGGTCATTTGTCTACACTGGAGAAGCTCAACTTAGGGAGCAACAAGTTTGGTGGCTCGATCCCGAAGCAATTAGGACAGTGCAGAAGCTTGTGGAACTTGAATTTGAGCAACAATGAAATTCGAGCCAACATTCCTTCGGAGATAGGCAATTTGCAGTTTTTGCGTGATCTTGATCTGTCCCATAATTTCTTGGCTGGAAAAATACCACAAAGCATCGGAAAGTCGACAATTTTAGAAGTGTTGAATTTATCCCAAAACAGCCTCTCTGGCTTCATACCCCAAAGTTTCAACAATATGTTGGGATTGGTATCTGTGAATATATCCCACAACGACCTGGAGGGTCCAATCCCAAACATCGAAGCCTTCCGTGATGCTCCATACAGTGCAGTTGCAAGCAATAAAGCTGGGTTGTGTGGTGTTGTGGCTGGTTTGAAGAAATGCTCTGAGAGGACTTATAGTGAGAAAGGAAACAAGTTTATGATTCTAGTGACTCTCTTACTAGTCAGCTTCATCCTCCTCACATCTTTATTCATCGGAGTGATTCTTCTAGCTTGCCCAAGGGGCAACAGGGCAGAACAGGACTCATTGGAAGCACAAGTGCGAGGAGATGCTTTTGCAATATGGGGCTACGATGGAAAAATGGTGTACGAAAACATTATTAAAGCCACGGAAGGATTCGATTCCAAGTACTGTGTGGGAGAGGGAGGATACGGAGTCGTATACAAAGCCGAGATATCTGCTGATCAAGCTTTTGCTGTGAAGAAAATTCATGCGCCGCAGCACGATGAATTTTTCGGGTTAATGTCACTAGAGCGGGAGGTCACTGCATTGGCAAATATACGACACCGTAACATCGTCGAGCTCTATGGATACTGCTTCCATCCGAGACACTCGTTCTTGGTGTACGAATTCATAGAAAGAGGAAGCTTGAGAAGGACCTTGAGTGATGACGAGATGGCAATGGAGTTTAATTGGGCTAGGAGGGCAAGTGCAATCAAAGGCGTGGCGAATGCATTGTGTTACATGCACCACGATTGCTCCCCTCCATGGATTCATAGAGACATCACGAGCAACAATGTGCTTCTGGATGGTGATTATGAAGCTCATGTTTCTGATTTTGGCACAGCAAGGCTTCTCAAGCCAGATTCATCTAATTGGACTTCATTGGTCGGTACACTTGGATATATAGCACCAGGTATGTTTGTGCTTGCACATTTTTTGGTGTCATGTATCTGTATCTTTGGCTCAATTCCTTTTTATCAACTGGAGTGCATAATGATTACCGGATGACTTCTTAATGCTACTCTTATACATTGCAGAGTTAGCATATTCAGCAGCAGTTACAGAAAAATGCGATGTTTATAGTTTCGGAATAGTAGCATTGGAAGTAATTATGGGAAGGCATCCGGGTGATCTCATCTCGAGCCCATGTCAATCATCGACATTGTCGATACAAATTGACTCGGGAACATTACTGCAAGATGTACTAGACCGACGTCTCTCGCTTCCTCTGGACAAAGATGCAGAGAATGTGGTCTCAATTGCTAAACTAGCACTCGCATGCTTGCGAGTCGATCCTCATCGTCGACCCACCATGCAAAAAGTTTGTCAAGGACTTTCAGTTCAAGCACCTTTAGTGAAGCCATTCTCGGATCTCAGATTGAGTGAGCTGAATGGTGTCCATGGTTGAGGTAACTGAACATTTGAGGAAGTGAACGACAAGGAAAGAGCTGAATGGTTTCCTGTCTGTACATGTTCACATTAATGCACCTTTTCCTTGTAAGTGCTGTAAAAAATGGAAGTGCCAATGGTTAATCAGGAGCTCTCCTTGGATTCTTGCCTTGATTAACGTGTCACCTCACCAAAGAGAGGGGAGGCAAGCCTCCCTACGAGGGCTTCCTTAACCTATCCACTTCAGAGAAAGGTGGCAGGATCCATTAATGCACACCTTATTTTAAGGTGCTGGAGCATGCACGCTTCGCATCCCCCCAGTTATCTAGTATCTTTTTCTTCCCTGTAAGTGAAAATACCCTCTGATAGTTTTACGTCAAGGGGATCCCGAGATCTGGCCAAAACCCTAGATGGTTTAAGGTTTTGCTTAGAATCATCATTAATTATTTTCATCGACAACTTCGCATCTACCCTACTCAACTCCGCATCGCCATTCTTGCTAGTATAATATTGGGAAAGCACTGGAAAAGTCCAATACTGGGTAGATTCAAGAGATAGTGCATAAGTCAAAGCTCATTGATAATTTAGTTGAGCCCACGTTCATTCAGAAACTTTAAATCATCGAGTATGAATCAACTAGATATTATTAATACCGACGTCCAATGTGGGACTTTTTTTTCTTCCACACTACTTAAATGCGCACACAAGAAACGGTAGTAGAATAGGAGATTAATTTATGACTTTCTAGCAGGTCCTTCTTGGGTGCTTAATACTACACGCTTGTTTGAGAAAACTACTAGATTTAAAGTATTGGCTTATGAATATATGAGTATAAAAAATGGCGCGGCACAGCAATATCGACTAATCAACCGAGCGTATGTCATCCCGTGCTTACAATTCACCTGCTTGAATCACGAACGCGACATTACTTTTCGAGGCGTGAAAAATTAACTCATCAAGCCCCATATTCCCGTAGATTAATGTGCACACCGTAAGTCCACCTTCAATAAAAATTTGTACAGGCCTATACATCATATAGATCGAGTTAATTTTGGCCATTGAAATGGAGGCCCGATTTGAAGCAAGACTCAACCAGATTTGATAGATCGCATGGGCAACCAAGTTATACGGCCCGATCCAAGTAGGACCCGGGTCCATCCCCACTTTACCATGTCGCGGCCTGGTCAACGACACGACCTTCGGCTTCTTTTTACAGTTTCACCCACGATGGCAATTCTGCTTCAGACGAAACGGTGAAGGCAAATTGTCAAGGTTTTTTCGTTCTCAGACAATTTCTTGGACTCCGTCTCTCACAGCAAATATCGTTTGTTTTGGTGCTTAAAGGGGTCGATTCCAAGATAGTGTCCGTGTTTGATCACCTTTTCTTGATTTTTTTTTCTTTAGAGATCCGAAATCTCGTAACGGAATTCTTTAGATTCAGCTCGTGCGATGATCGTTCTGTTGGGAAAGAGTGAATTTTATTAACTGGGCTACTAGAAAGCTCTTCAAGACTGGAGATTTCTGGGCTTTTGGTACTATATATGATGCAGGTGTGCGTGTTGTTGTGGATGCAACATCCACTCCATTTTGCACCACTTCTCACGTCAAATGATCTGTGAATTTGATGAAAGTTCTCATTTTGTTCTTCCGGATGTCATAGTCCCTCCCGTTGAAGTGAGGGGTCTCGTGTTGCTAAACCTGACATAATATATCGTTAACTCATAAGTAGACATCTCAAAATAACGAGCACCAGATTCTCATACTATTTGATGTTGGCTAACAAGTATTGCTTAGAGGGTGGGTGAATATGTGATTTCACAGAACTTGACCAAATAATGCGGAAATAAAGGTGCCAAGTGTGATACAAATGTAAGTGAAGTGTTGATATAAGCACAAGTTGATTATATGAGGCAATGTAGTGCGGTGCTCTTATCAGGCAGTAAATGAATATGGACAGAGACATAGAGAACAATGCATTCAAAAATTATAGTGGCTCGGCTTTGTGTAAGTCTACGTTCACTCTCTCACACTAACAGCCTACTAGTTGGATTCCATTCATCAATCGTTAAGAAGTTCCGATATTAAGTGCTTCCTATACTCAAGGACTTCTCCTCGAAATTGATGCTACTTATACTCAAGCTATTATAGGACTCGCTATCTCATATATAAGCATAAATTTTCACACTATCAACACTTCTCAAAGCTCATAGAAGATAATTGAAAAGAATTTAAAACTCTCTTGAAAATTGGAACTATGAACTCTTGATCGATCTATTTTCTTTGGTGCCTTAGTCTTCTTTTATACTCCTCAACAACCAAACTTCCCATTGGACAATCTTCAGGAGGATCAATCTCTAATCTAGTCGTTGGACAATTGTTGTTAAGATTAAGGTAGCTATTGATTCCCGTAGATTTGATTGCCCATGCAATCAAACTTTGGTTTCCAAAAGTAGAGTGCTTAGATATGGAAAGTCTCTTGCTTTCAGGATGATTATCGATCAATCAAGATATCTCACGTGATTGAATAATTCGCGTAGTTTTTTTTTTAAAGATTAATGTTCAATCAATTTCTTCAAAATAGAAATTTATACCAGATCACAAGCTATTAATGGATGAGATAAAATATCTCAAAATAATAGTCTTGAAGATCGTGACCAAATTGTTGTTGCAGGTATTATAAGTCTTTTGCTTATATTTACAGTCATCGCATATGTACAACTTTCCTCTTGTCTGATGATATTAGACCTTAGCAAGCTTCTGCTTATATTATGCTTTTGCAATGCTTATATCCCCACAATATGTTGTTGATATTCACATAGTACGCTGCCAATATTCACGTAGTGGTTGATTTTGGCTTCCCGGTTATATTCAACTATTCTTCCCAAGACACTTTAACAACGATAGCAATGTAGATACCGTAGACTCAAAACCTTGATATTTTCAAGTCTATATGAACTCCCCATTCTGCTAGGCTTGTTTACGTAGTATAGTCATTTAGAATCCTTTCACTGATCATATCAAAGGTCCTTTCAACCCGAATATTACCTAAAACATAAACAATTCTTGTATTTTTTAGATCGATATGAACCATGGAACAAACATGCTCTTTCATAATGGGTTCAAGTAAGACTTCAAAGTTATAGAGATTCAACATATTATTGAGAAAGATTATATGTTTGGTTTGTAAAATCGTTTTGTGATTTGATTCCAAATTGGCTTGTGAATTGTGAAGAATGCTGTTGCGAGTTTGTGTTGGTGCTCGATATTGCTATGAGCCCATTGAAAGGTTTATGGGTATGTGCATAATAGTTTATGATATCCTTGTGGGCCAGCCACTAGCAATATAGCTGAAGACCTTGTCAAGGGGAGAGCTTGGTCACCTTGTCACGGGGCGCTACGTGTGATCATGGTTAGATATTTGAGCACGAGTTTGATCAATGGAATGAACCATTGACATGTGATTTGAAAATAGTCGATGGAATGGACCATTGACGTGTGATTTGATGAGAATAGTCAATGGAATAGACCATTAATATGTGAATTGATGAGATTAATTAATGGACTAGACCATTGATGTTTGTTATGATATTATTGATTTAATGAATGTTTTTCTAATATGTATATTGTTATGTTAACACGATAGAACTCATTCCTATATTGTATGTGTATTATACTAGAATTGAGATAAGTGAGTTTTGAACATTGTTTGTAAAGTGTATAATGGATGCTCGATGTGCTTAGAAGAAATAAGCACTACTCACTGAGGTGTGGTTACTCACCCTTTCCTTCCCAGTCTTTTCAGGTTTCTCCGTTAATGGCCAATAGAGTAAGAGCGATATCATCGAAACTTTTGGGAGTTGGATTTTTGAGCATGGTTTGAGGCTATGTCCTTCGGATATGAGGGCCGTGTCACTCCCCTATTATGGTAGGATTCGGGTGTGACATTGGTGATCCCCTTGGTGAAGTTATAATCGAATTTGGGCTGCATCGACCAAACAATAGCAAAAGAATGACAAATATTGCTGTGAGTAAGACTAGTTCAAAGGAACAGTTTGATATCCAATCAAAGACTTCTGCTGAGTGGATGATAATGTTCTACCCCCTAAAATGGGGGACGAAAATTCAATTTCTATCTCGATAATAAGCCAATCCTTTTCACCAGACAATAACCTTACTCTCCGGAAGAAGACTACTTCAAAGGAAGAGTTGATATCTCATCAATGACTCTTCTATTGAGCGGATCGTGATGTTCTACCCCCTAAAATGGGGGATGAAATTCAACTTCTGTCTAGATAATAAATCTGTCATTTTCATCAGACAATAACCTTTACTCTCCGGAAATTCATGACGCTTAGAGGCTCTAAGGTCAATGTCATGCACTAGATTGGAGGACCTTGTAAGCCGTCGTACAGACGGCATCCCAGGATCACCATAGCAAGAAATACGAAACACTATAGTGGATTAGAGAAATTTATGCACCTGATTTAGGATTCATCGTTCTTGATGCAGAATGACGATAATCCAATCCTCAGGCGATGATCCGAAGCTCAAGCGATGATCCGATGCCGAAGTTCTTCTCCCCTATGACCCTCTGGATCCCTGGCATGATGAGATCACCACTCGAGCCTCTCGACAGAGAGAATTTTCTCCAAATCCTTATGAGAGCTATGAGTGTTTGAGAGGGAGAGAGAGAGAGATTCAGTAGGGCTAGGAGAGAGACTTTAGCGCTATTTATAGAATTTTCAGCCAGACCCTCTTATTACAGGCCAGACTCAACTCGGCCCACATAAGGCATGCCCATATTAGACTAATTAAGAATCCTTAAATCATACTTTATTAGTCCAATCCTGTAAAGACGGTTAATTACAATCTCAATTAATATAAGCCTACATTAGAAAAACTCTTACAGGCCGCTCAAGTTTCGAACTGATGTTGGTATTCTCAATCCAAGTTCAAGTTGCAAATTGACCGGAGCTTAAACTTGACGCTAGTGTCGCTTGACTTGAGTCGACTTACCTCGTCTTGACAGAGTCTAGGAATTGTGCCTTTTTCTAACTAGTGAAACAAATGCCCATTTCTGGTGGTTGACTTGACGCTGATGGGTCAAGAGTCAGCTTTTGATCAAGACCCCATCTACATATTCGAACAATTGGATGACCAAACTTGAGGGTGACGTCCCCACCTATCCAATTTTGCTCCCGATGTATCATCCATAACTTGACGAAGTTAGACTTTTCCAACCAATCAATCAGGATGAGTCTTATCTTTTCGTGACTGTTTGAAAGACAGGCTGAAAGCTATTATGCATGTTTTTGATAAGGGTTATGTAGTTCAGGTCCAGCCATAAATACTTTGCCATGAAGTTAAAGTAACCTCATACAAATTTTTAGTGCAGAGACTTGTGACCCAAATCATGGTCTCTTCCATATTTTCAGATAAAGCTCAATCTAATTTTGTTTCCATAAAGTTATCGCCCTACATCAGTACAATCACGATCACAGTTTTCGCCTTATCTTTTGTCCCAGCTTTTGCTTCTCCAGCTCATTTCAGTGCTCAGGCGAGAAATGGAACTGCGAAAGAAGAGGAAGCGCATGCTCTGCTGGAGTGGAAATCTGGTCTTGACAATTATAGTCAAGCTCTTCTATCTTCATGGCGAGGGGACGACCCTTGTGTATGGAGAGGGATCGGGTGCGATGGCTCAGGAAGTGTCTCGGAGCTTGATCTCATGAACATGGGTTTGCGAGGTTCGCTCAGCAAACTTAACTTCTCTGCTCTGTCAAATCTAATTAGCCTCAATCTCTCGGCAAACTCGTTCTACGGTCCCATTCCTTCATCCGTCGGTAACCTCTCGAAGTTGTACACTCTGTCTATCTTTAACAACTCACTCTCTGGCACAATCCCTCTTGAGATAGGCAAGTTGAGCAGTCTAAGCATTCTCTACCTTGACGGGAATCGTCTCTGTGGAACTATCCCCGAAGAAATAGGAATGCTGCACTCTCTTTCAAGCCTCACCTTGTACGACAACAATCTCACAGGTCATATTCCTACTTCTATGGGAAAATTGAGCAACTTAACATTTCTTGCCTTGGGGCACAACAATCTCGTAGGGCCGGTTCCTCGAGAAATTTACACCCTAAGTTCTCTTACCTTCCTTTCTTTCCAAATGAACAAATTAACCGGTTCCATTCCTTCGTCTATAGGAAATCTGAGTAGTCTAAACGTCCTTAACTTCCAAAACAATTATCTTTCTGGTCCAATTCCCCAGGAAATAGGAAGGTTGAGATCTCTACAAAAGCTCACTTTGTCTGATAATGATTTTAGTGGCCCGATCCCTATGTCTATCGGAAACTTGACTGTCCTAACTTTATTGGTCCTCACTTCGAACAATCTTTCCGGCTCCATTCCTGAAGAAGTTGGAAGCTTGAGACATCTGAAGGAACTTCGCCTGTCAGAAAATAGTCTCAACGGGTCAATTCCAAGATCAATTGGAAAATTGGTCAACTTGAGTGTACTGAGGTTGCACTATAACCATCTTTCTGGTTTTATTCCGGATGAAATGAATAATCTTAGAACTCTGAGACATATCTCCATAGGTGAAAATAATCTTATCGGGCGACTACCAGATAACATCTGCCTCGGAGGGTTACTTGAAAATTTTACAGCGTCTAATAATCACTTTGATGGTCGTCTTCCTAAGAGCCTGAAGAATTGCAGTAGCTTATTGAGGATTCGACTCGATGGAAACCGACTCACGGGAAACCTGACAGAAGATTTTGGTGCATATCCCAACTTGAAGTATATTGACTTGAGTTATAACCAATTCTACAGTGAGATTTCTTCAAAATGGGGCTGTTCCCATAACTTGACAAGCCTAAGAATCTCCAGTAATAACATTTCTGGTGGGATACATCCCATGATTGGGAATGTGACTCAGCTGAGAGTTCTGGACCTCTCATCGAACTATATTACCGGCCACCTTCCGAGGGAATTGAGAAGATTGACTTCACTGATCGATCTTGATCTACATGATAACAAAATCTCTGGTAATATCCCTCCTGAGATTGGTGATTTGTCTATACTGGAGAAGCTCAACTTAGGAAGCAACAAGTTTGGTGGCTCGATCCCGCAGCAGTTAGGACAGTGCAGAAGCTTGTGGAACTTGAATTTGAGCAACAACGAAATTCAAGCCAGTATTCCTTCGGAGATGGGCAATTTGCAGTTTTTGCGTCTTCTTGATCTGTCTTTTAACTTCTTAACAGGAAAAATACCAGAAAGCATCGGAAAGTTGACGACTTTGGAAGTGTTGAATTTATCCTACAACAGGATCTCTGGCTTCATACCTCAAAGTTTCAACAATCTGTTGGGATTGTTGTCTGTGAATATATCCCACAACGACCTAGAGGGTAAAGTCCCAAACATCAAAGCCTTTCGTGATGCTCCATACAGCGCGGTTGCAGGCAATAAAGCTGGGTTGTGTGGTGTTGTGGCTGGTTTGAAGAAATGCTCCGACAGGACTAGTGGTGAGAAAGGAAACAAGTTTATTATTCTAATCATTCTCTCACTAGTCAGCTTCATCATCCTCACATCTCTATTCATCGGAGTGAAATTTCTAGCTTGCCAAAGGGGCAAAAGAACAGAGCAAGACTCATTGGAAGCGCAAGTCCCAGGAGACGCTTTTGCGATATGGAGCTATGACGGAAAATTGGTGTATGAAAACATTATTAAAGCCACAGAAGGATTCGATTCCAAGTACCATGTGGGAGAGGGGGGATACGGAGTCGTATACAAAGCCAATCTCTCTGATAATCAATCTTTCGCAGTGAAGAAAATCCATGCACCGCAAGACAATGAAATTTTTGGGTTAATGTCACTGGAGCGGGAGGCTAATGCCTTGGCAAATATACGACACCGTAACATCGTCAAGCTCTATGGATACTGCTTCCATTCGAAACATGCGTTCTTGGTGTACGAATTCATGGAAAGAGGAAGCTTGAGAAGGGTCTTGAATGATGACGAAATGGCGACGGAATTTGATTGGTCTAGGAGGGCGAATGCAATCAAAGGGGTGGCGAATGCATTGTGTTACATGCACCACGATTGCTCTCCTCCTTGGATTCATAGAGACATCACAAGCAACAATGTGCTTCTGGATGGTGATTATGAAGCTCATGTTTCTGATTTTGGCACAGCAAGGCTTCTCAAGCCAGATTCATCTAATTGGACTGCATCGGTCGGTACACTTGGATATATAGCACCAGGTATGTTTGTGCTTGCACATTTTTTGGTGTCATGTATCTGTATCTTTTGCTCAATTCCTTTTTTATCAACTGGAGTGCATAATGATTACCGGATGACTTCTTAATGCTACTCTTATACATTGCAGAGTTAGCATATTCAGCAGCAGTTACAGAAAAATGCGATGTTTATAGTTTCGGAATAGTAGCATTGGAAGTAATTATGGGAAGGCATCCGGGTGATCTCATCTCGAGCTCATGTCAAGCATCGACATTGTCGATACAAATCAACTCGGGACCACTACTGCAAGATGTGCTAGACCGACGTCCCTCGCTTCCTCTGGACAAGGACGCGGAGAATGTGATCTCGATTGCTAAATTAGCACTCGCATGCTTGCGAGTCGATCCTCATCGTCGACCCACCATGCAAAAAGTTTGTCAAGGACTGTCAGTTCAGGTGCCTTTAGTGAAGCCATTCTCGGATGTCAGATTGAGTGAGCTGAATGGTGTTCATGGTTGAGGTGGCTAAACATTTGAGGAAGTGATTGACAAGGAAAGAGTTGAATGGTTTCCTGCCTGTAAATGTTCACATTAATGCACCTTTTCCTTTTAAGTGCTATAAAAAATGGAAGTGTTAATGCATAGACAACTTCACAACCACCCTTCTCAACTCTGCATGGCTGTTCTTGCTAGAATAACGTTAGGAAAGCACAGCAATAGTCCAATACCTGTAATGAGAAGATTTAGGAGATAGTTCATAAGTCGAGCTCATTGATAATCTAGTTGACCTCATATTCATTCAGAAACTCAAATCATCGCTTATGAATCAACTAGGTACTATCAATACCGACGTCTGATATGGAACTTTTTTTTCTTCCACTCTACTCAAATGCGCTCACAAGAAACAATAGTAGAGTTAAAGAACATTAATTTACGACTTTTTAGCAGGTCCTTCTGGTGTGCTTAATACGACACGCTTGTTTAAGAAAACTACTAAAATTTAAAGTATTGGCTTATGAATATTAGTACAAAAAACGAAACGGCACGATAGTATATCGACCAATTAACCAAGCATATGCCATCCCGCGCTTCCAATTCACTTGCTTGAATCACGAACGCGACATTACTTTTCGAGGCATGAAAAATTAACTCATCAGGCCCCATTGTCCAGTAGATTGATGCGTGCATGGTAAGTCCGCCTTCAATAAAAACTTGTATAGTTCATAGACCGTGTAGATCGAGTCAATCTTGACCATTGAGATAGAGGCCTGATTTGATACAAGACTCGACCAGATTTTGATGGATCGCATGGTCATCCAAGTTATACGGCCCGATCCAAGTAAGACCCGGGTCCATCACCGCTTTACCATGTCGCGGCCTTGTCAACGACACGACCATCGGCTTCTTTTTACAGTTTCACCCACGAAGGCAATCTGCTTCAGACGAACACGGTGAAGGCAAATTGTCAATAAAGGCTGTTTCGTCCTCAGACAATTTTCTTGGGCTCCGTCTCTCACGGCAAAGATCCTTTTTTTTTTGGTTGTGGGTGCTTGAAGGGGTCTGATTCCAAGTAAGTGTCCGTGTTTGATCACCTTTTTCTTGATTTTTTTCTGTAGAGATCCGGAGTCTTGCGGTAGAATTCTTTAGATTCAGCTCGTGCAATGATCGTTCTGTTGGGAAAGAGTAAATTTTGTTAACTGGGTTTGCTCGAAAGTTCTTGAGGATTTGGAGATTTCTGGGTTTTGGGTGGCTATGTATGGTGCAATTGGAGTGACTGTCTTGTTCCTATTTTCGCCATTTCTTGTCGGACCTTGAAATTTTTATGACGAGAGTGGTGCATTCCTTGTAGTCTGATTCGTGAACTTTGTCGCTTTTGCCCATTAGCTGAAAACGGATCAGTCTGGGACTTCACCGGAGTTTGTTTTCCTAAGTGATCCGTGGAGTTAAAATATGGGATGGTGTGTTATATAATCCCAAGTGATTAGCAATCATCTGCATTGCTCGATCATTTGTAGTTGCGCATGCTTTTTAAGTAATAACCAACTTTAAGTCCATTGCGTGAAGTCACCCAAAGAATTCATCTTTTGAGTGCTCTCTGGTGGGTGGAGTGGGTTGGACTATGGGAACATTTTTCTGCAGAATTAAGAATGTCACCACAAATGAGAGTTCTGTTGTGAAGTTGTTTAAGTTTCGGTTGCTTGTGCCAAAGATACTCCATTACTGGGAAGTTTGTAGTAACTACTTTTTGGTGGCAAAGATAAATCATTCTTGATGCTCACCATTGCAATTGTTGTGATTGCCGGGGTTTCTTAAGGTGTTACTGTTTCATGCACATCGAGATCAACATCTGTGAGGTCTCTCCTTTCTTGGTGGACATTCGAGATTTTTGTGTCTGACTGGTGCTGTGTAGGAATAAGGCAACCGAATCTCCAAGGTCATGATCCGATTCCGAGGGTTGCTTTTTGGTGCCCTTGTCTTGTTGGCTATAGCACTGCAATAGAAAATCCCTTGGGATAAATTATTGACCTTTTCGCCCATCAAAAATTGGAATACCTCTTGTTAGATACTTAGATCAGTTTCATAGGCCTTGCTCTGTTTTTCGGTCTGTAGGCCTAATATGTGTCTGGATTGTCAATTTTTGGCACAATGAGGTGGCAACTCTGAAGGTTCTGGCCAAAGTTATGCAAGGGCTTGTGACAACATGATTGACCCATCTCTATTAAAAGAATAAAGCAGGGCGAAGAAAAACAAAGATCTGTCTTACGTATGGTCTAGAAGTTTAAATATGCACCGACGGGACTGAACGCTCTCTGAAAGCATGAATCAATTCATCCACATAAATTGAAAAACCAGAAGTAGTGCATACTTTTGACAACATATGGTGCAACCAACAAGTGTTTGGTTAATTTGTTATCGTTGGCCCTTTCACTTCTTCATGTCTTGGGTGCACTTAGTTTTCCATATTATCTGCCAACTCCTTTTCATGGGTCCTTTTTGTGGATTTTAAGACTTAGTTTCAGGCATCAGTGCTCCTCTGTCAAAAATGGCTGGTTGTAATGATTTTTGGGAAGATAACATACTTGAGTTGACACCTGTAAGTTCTAAATAAATGTTGACCAGAGACTTGAAAATAATCCTCAGCCAATGGAAGTCGATTTTTGTGGTGAAGAGTCTCCTGAACAATGTCTCTGGTTTAGTATTTATCCTTGGATGCCCTTCATGATTCATGGAATATTCTCCTATTATAATCTAGTTGAGTCCGTTGTTTGTATGATTTTCATAACTTAATGAAGATAAATGTGATGCCACATCACTGAAAAACTCTTCTTATATTTGAGTTAACACGATAGAAAATCAATTGTGACAGTGGATTTAGAAGAAGAAGCCATTGAGTCTGTTAAAGGGGAGGATGATGACCAAGAAGAAAATGCAATTTCAGAGCCATATGTGGGGATGGAATTCGATTCTGAAGAAGCTGCACGGAAATTCTATATTGACTATGCGAGACGGGTAGGATTTGTAGTTCGAATAATGCAGCGTCGACGGTCAGGAATTGACGGCAGAACACTTGCCCGTCGGCTTGGGTGTAATAAGCAGGGTTTCTCACCAAATCAGAAAGGTTCTCATGGACCAGACAAGAAGCCACGGCCCAGTGCACGAGAAGGTTGCAAGGCCACAATTCTAGTGAAGATGGAGAAGTCTGGAAAATGGGTGGTTACAAGATTTGTAAAGGATCATAATCATCCTTTGGTTGTAACTGCGAATGGATTCAGTTCAATGGTGAGTTTGCCATTTAGTCTTCTTGCTGGTTGCTGTTGGAGTGGCGGGACTTTTTGTTTGTAATATATTTGCTTGTCACAAAATGCCTGAAAGTTCATTGATTTTTTGTGAGAAGAGTGGTCGGTTGGCCTGTAAATCTTTTTTTACACAAAACACTTCAAATCATTTTTTTTTCAGAACACTCCAAATCATTCAAAGTGTACAAATTTTGGCTAGTAGATTTGCATATTTTAAAATTACAAAAATAAGTTGAAAATTCAAATTTAAGAAAAAAGTAAAGAATGATTTATATTACCACGACATGCACGTCTTTATCACCAAAAGCCGACTACTCGTGGTTTCAAGTTCATTTTGAACTCCTTGGTATTGCTTCATAGCTGTTCAAATAGCGTTTCTCTGGTCAAACAGTATTTCATGGTTAGTCTTTTTGCCTCTCATGCTATTCAGTTTTGGAGATAAGATTTATGGTGGTTTCAGATTAATCTGTACATAGTTTTAACATGCCAGTAGATAATTTCCTATGATGCGGCGAATCATAGTTATGACTTTGTGCTTGTCTCAACGACTGCAAGAGATCCTTTCTGCATAGAAGCTTTTAGCTTTTAAAATAATGCAGAGAGTCTGGGGCAGCAAAGAAGGAAACAGATACTCTAAATATGCTTTTTACTATAAAATGATAGATGGATATATGTGCTTCTTATTCCAAGGCATCTTGGTTGATTAGTCAAGATTTTGTCCAAAACAAATGCATGTTCAGTGGAGCTATCCGCCAAATGCAAATAAAGATGAAAGGAAGTTCTGCTTGCTGTAGCTTTAGATTGTCCTACGGATGCTAAGCTACCGATTTTTTTTTCTCATTTGTGCCGCTATTGTTGCAGGGTGACAAGGAGAAGAAGATCGAAGAACTTACTTTGGAATTGGAACGTCAGGAGCAACTATGCATGGCTTACCGAGAACAATTGCTTAGTTTTATGGATAATGTAGACCAGCAAAATGAAGAATTATCTTTGAAAATTCAACCTATTGTTGAGAATCTCAAGAGAATTGAATCAGAAACGCAAAAGCATTCTATCTATAGATAATGTGTCATCCATTTTGCCTAGTGATGTACCATAAGTGCAGGAAATATGTGAATTATTCATGGTCAGCTCAATTGAAGCTGCTTGAATGCCACAAGATTTGTTGTATCGATTCCTTAGTTCTGCATGTTTAGTTTAGCATATTGGGGAGAGGAAGAATAGGAGTTCTGCTTAGAAGGTTTAGCTGGTGTGTGATGGTTCTGCATAGAGCAATGGAAGGAAAATGGGACACAAGCATCAGAAGGAAAGTTGATTGGTCGTATAGTTTGGTGTCTGTTCATTTTATGTCCTTTCTAGAGTTAGGAAGGCAGCTTCAACATTGTCCTGACTTCTTTTCCTGCTAAATAGATGTTTCATCTTAGGGTGTGTACTCATTCTGTATGGGATAGTCATGATCATTTGAAAGAAAGAGTCAACTGAAGACAGATGAATTTTGTGTCTGAGCGCAATCAGTTGAGATGGAATCACAGAACTGTCTCATCTTTCTGAATCTCATCCTTGTATCTACCTCCTTTGGTAAAAGCAGACAAAAAGGTCAGAAAAGCAAGAGATCAGTCGTGTTTTTATTACTCAGTTTGTGCTCATAATTTACATTCTATTCCTTTTTGTTAGTCTGGCTACTTCAGATATGCCATGCAAACGTTGCGTTTTCACAGTTGATATCAAAAGCAAAACACAACTTAAGCGTGTTGACAGGAAATGACGAGAGAGAAAGGGAATGCAGCCGGCAAAAAGCCATCACATGACAGATGGTAAGAAGACGGTGCACAACCCGGTAGGACGAAACTCTCATTTTCGCGATGAAGAACCTTAAAAATGTGTAACAGATGTAGAGTGTTGAAATACGAAACACGACGTTTGCATTTGTTTCTACATGCAAAAACAACATAGTCTCTAAGATAACAATGTTTTTTGAATATCAACTGGACCCTAAAGCAGCAAAACCACCGCCCTTCATCATCTGCTTGAACTCTTTGAAGTTGACCATCCCATCTCCATCCACATCCACCCTGTTTATCATCTTCTTGCAATCCTCCAAGGTCCTCCCTTGCTTCAACCCCAACGACGCCAGGACCGACCGCAACTCCTCCACCGTGATGAACCCGTCCCCATTCTGGTCGAACACGTTGAAAGCCTCCTTCATGTCCTCCTCCTCATCTCTCTCGTCCATGATCGTCTGGTACAACGCGCCGAACTCGTCAATGTCCACGTATCCATCACCATTCACGTCGATCTTCTCGATCATCTGGGCCAGATCTCTGTCCGAGATGTGGATGCCCAGGTTCTGTAACGAGTCGCTCAGCTCCTTTCTCGTGATCCGGCCGTCCCCGTTCCTGTCGAACATCTGGAAAACCCGACGAAGCTCCGCCGGATCCATCAATATACCCTTCTGAAAAGCTCGAAACTGAAAAAGAGAATCCCTAGAAGTTTCTTGATACGAGGGACTTATAACCGGCAAAAGAATGTGGATTGCCAAAAAGAAGAAGAGGGAGGACGTGCATGCATCGTATTAAGGACGGTGCATGGAAAGGAAAATGTCAAAGAGTTGGCAAACAGGTTGAATGCTCAGCAGATTTTGCGGGGAACGTTGTCGCAAGAGTTGTCAAAAGTGAATTCAGCTTTATCGCACAGCCATCAAGTACGCAAATTCGTTGCCTAAATATAAGCAGTTGCTTTTCTTGGATTACTCGTGTACAGACGGCGTTATTTTCTTGTTATTTTCTGATGGTCTAGCGCCTAGAAGAGCCCGAGCCGGCCACGGCCTATACGTATCAAGTCCTCCAACTTCAATAGAGGTGAGATAAGCGGCAAGCGCGTCCCGCGTCTTGGAGCACCACCAGCGAGGGTGATGGTCGACGTTCTTGTCTCACACTTCGATGTCTATGCCCAAACTTGACTGATTAAGAAGGAAGGCCATTGATAGGACCTAATCCTCTTGCGATAAGATCTTTTGATAGGTTAAGGCTCCTTATCTCTTCCAGGCAAGTTCGATGAGCTCAAATTTTCAATGACGACTTTCGGTTGGTGCGAATCTATTTCGTAACACGGAGTTTTCTGTCAAATTCAACAGTCTAAAAGTTCTTTTCTGAAGCACATAATTGACCGTCCCATTCTCGTTAGGAAAAGTGGGGAGAAGAAGTCATGATCCGTTTCTTCTCTAGATTAGCAAATCTAATCTGAAATATGGATAACCATTACCCCAAGAAATAGAAGGGTCGAATCAATCTTTACACAAACAAAGTATAATAGAATGAATCAAACTAATGAAGGACCGAACGTGTAATTAGATAATAGAGCTCTCCAACGTGGCACAGCCACTCGGAGACGAGTCAAATCACCGTAGCTGATAGCAAAGCTTAGTATCTCATCCTTTCTTTTCTGACCTCGCAGGTAACAAGTACTATGCTCAGTTTTCGATAGAATTCGGTCTCCTTCCTCGAATTCAGGAATTTGATGGGCAGAGAAAGAGAGAGAGAGAGAGATTCTATAAGCACCCAACGCAAGTATACATTGCTAGCTATCGTGATCAAGCGACAGCAATCATAAGGGGCATTAGTAAACCGTCACAGATGCAGCTGCTCGAAAGTGGTCGTGGATCTCATCTCACTTCCTAATGTGCAAATGATTCACGTTTTCACAGTGATCATCACATTAATGTCAGAACTAAGATGGGTTGTCCTTACCAAAGTGGCACCTGGTTACGGGGCCAGTTTGTGGAGAGTGCAACTTTTATACAAAGGGATCAGCTTCAAGATAAGATGGCCACATTATGGGAGGACTTCGTTTTAACTTCTATTGAAGTTAAAAAGATAGGAGAAATCCGCTTCTACGAGAGCCACAAAGCTACTCTAAAACTATTTGCTTCAACCAGTACACATTGAAGGTGTCTACTGAAGGCTCGAGTATAAACCTTCATCAAGAACTTGAGACACTCTGTGAATTTTAAACTGCAGACCACATTAGGACAATTGCGCAACAAAAGCCGCTACTGAAAGTAATGTGAACTCTCAGGCCTCACCAACTTCAGCTCACCACTCACTCATGAGATCTGTTCGTGACAACATCACAGTTGGACAAAACCAAGAACTTGAATTTACTGACTCTATGCCTCATCTACCTGGCTTATATCACCCTGTTCTAAAAGTAAAAGAGACAGAACTCAGGAGTATCATCACCATCTGAATATATGGCGTCATAATCCTGATAACCAAATGTCAAACCGAAACCACATCATCTTTTCAGTAGTTCTCCACAACTACCTGCTATAGGCATGGCTTATAATAAACTCCAAGACAATTTCGTTTCTCTAGAACTAGGTAACTAATGATCTCCGACACAAACTCTCCCAGGGAATTTGTTTGCAAAAGATTAGCCGGAATTGCAAATGACATTAGAGTCTAACCATAACTACACAACAGGCACAAAGAAACCTTGAAATACATACAAGGTGACAGTGACATTTCTCTCCACAAACGTCACAAAAAGTTGGCAACATTCAACCTATTATAGATGGTTCCCTCCATTAGCAAGAACTAAGAACTCATAATTTTGATGTTGACAATTCTTCACCCCGAATCTTCCGGACCCAAATTTACAGTGACAAGCCTTAGAAAATGAAGTATTCGCACACATGTACTGTTATCTTCAAACTAGTTTTATGATCCAAAACAGAAGTCCCAGCCACCCACAGCAGAAAAGACAACATAAACTGAACATCATGATTTACCAGGAATATGGGATAGGCAAGGTCTCAACATTTCAATCAGATGATATGCATTACTTTTTGCTATGCCTACAGAAAAGAAAACCATAGCAAGAGCAATTACTAGTAATTAAACAAATTGCAAGTAGTGCATGAATGGACCTTCTCACACTGCTTCATGAAGATCACATCCCACATAATTCTCAGAATCTTTGCTGCATAAGTTGGAAGAGTTGGGAGGCATCACTTAAGCACTTGAATCTTAATGTAGGAAGTTTAAATTACAAGTCTACCCTAGGCAAGCAATACTTATTGCCTGTCGCAATGCACCATCCAATTTCTGCTAGTAGCTTGATAATGCAGAAATATATAACTTATCAACCATCACCCAATTAATAAAATGCTCACATATCGTCTTCATGCCAATATCTATGAGGACACAAGAACGAAAGCTCTATATGGCAAATGCATCACTCCCGTCCTTAAAACCACATCGCTTGGCTAAGTGCCATTTCAAGCCGATCAATTTTGGTTCAATGAGAATCTCAGGTATCATATGACAACAATGTCTAATTGTAAAGAGTTTGCTTGCTCTTAAAAGTAGTGACTATTATGGTGAAAATCAAGATACGACTGAAATTTCGTGTTCGCAAGCTTGTCCCGACAGTTTTCCTCACCAACCACTAATAAGTGATCAATGGAGAGCCAGCTTCATTTCTATCACCAAATGAAGCATCTCTAAAACGTAATGAACAACCGAATTGGATCATTTGAAATGTAATCAAACCAGAGAGGGAAAATCCTTTTATCCTCGTACTGAAACATCAGCATGTATGTCTGAATAGCGAAATTCAATTCCGATGTCGGCGAATCCCAAATTGACAAGAAAAATACGAAACAGACCGTTTCTTCCAGAACATTGTCCTCATTATTCACCCAAAACACCAACCACCACCAAATCACAAGGTAACCCCTGTCGAAAAACCCTAACTTACGGGATATCCCAGGGCTTGGGCTCGGGAACGGCGACGACCATACCTTGGAGATCCTTCGTGAGCACCACCTGGCACCCCAACCTCGAGTGCTTGTTCAGAACCCTAGCTCTGGAGTTCCTCTTCAGCACGTACTCCTCGTCGTAGCTCCTCGCGGGGAGCCGCTCGAGCCACTCCTGCGCGATGTTGACCTCGCACTCCGCGGAGCAGGCGTCGATCTCCTCCAGCCGGTGCGACGCCGGGTCGATGAGGCCGCTGTTAGTCAGGGCCTTCAAGAGGGTCTGGCCAGCGAGGCCGACGACCTCGCGCTTGTAGCCGTCGACGTCGATCGCGGAGAGCTTGACGATGCGATCGGAGACTTTGGCGGAGGTGGAGGAGGAGGGGGAGGGAGGGTGGGACAAGGTGGCGGAGGACCTGGCGAGGATGATGGGCCTGAGGGAGGAGAGCGACGGCCGGAGGCGGCGGGCGGCGGCGGAGAGCTTCTGGAGAGTCGAAATCGCCATTGTCGTACGGCTCCGACGTTCGGTGAGCCGACTTTTGCTTTATGAAGGGTCGGTCCGTGGTGGCACGGTAGTAGTAGAGCAAAAACGCTGCGTTTTTGGGGAGTTTCGATGTGTGAAACGAAAAGCCCATTTTTGGAATTTCCCGTTGAAATCCATATTTTTTTTTTTCAAAAATGTGTTGCATTTTTCAATTTCAGGAAGGCAGGAAGGAAAAAATAAATGTTATGTCTATGATTCATATGAATGGAGTTTTCTGATTTCATTTCGGCTAAATATACTTGATTTATTATTTTGTGTCGCCCTTATAATTGAGGTATAATTTCAACGTATTGTGTCGTGATGTGTTATAATTTGTGTTTAGCAATAGATTTCTCAGTGTGGAAATTCATAATGAAAGGAGTTTAAGTTAGACAATCATAACAAAAGGAAGAGCAAAATAAAAAAGAATACAAAATCCCACTGCAAGTTCCCATTTTGGTAATGGACATTCATAACAAAAGAAAAAAAAGAAAAAAGAAAAAGGCTCCAATGCTATGGGTATATCTTTGTAATTTTGACATTCATAACATCTTGGTAAAGAAATTCATAATGAAAAGCTCCGATGCTATGGAATTCATAGCATCTAATTCAATGAGTAATTTTATAATGTTTCGACTAGTGGCGCTTTGTGGATTATGAACTTCATTATAGAAAGTATGAATAATTATTGTAAATTTTGAAATATGAGGAGGGTATTTGATATGAGAAGCAATGAAAATGATTTTTTGAAATTCATAATGAAAGAAAAAAGCCCCAATGCTCTGGGTGTATTGTGAAAGTTTGGAAATTCACAGCATTGGCCCAATTACCTAAAAAACCCTCAACTTTAGTCTTTGTCTCAATTATATCCCAAACTTTTTTTTTATCTCATAAAAAACCCCAAACTTTCGATTTTGTCCCAAATCTACCCCATTAACTTTTCATCCAATTTTTTAATATTATTTTTTATTTTTTCGAATTTTTTCTTTTCTTTTCTTTTTCCTTTCCTTTTCTTTTTTTTTTTTGTTTCGCCTTCAACCTCTAGCCGGTCGCCAGTCCGGCGACCGGCCAGAGGAGGGGGGGGCGGCGAGGTCGGCCCCGCCGGCCGGGCGAGGCCGACCTCGCCAATAGCAGCGGGGGCCGAGCCTCGCCAACCATGGCGAGGCTCGGCCCCGCCGGCAACGCGAGGCTAAACCTCGCCGTTCCGGGCGAGGTCGACCTTGCCGGTTTGTCGGCGGGGCCGAGCCTCGCCAGATCGCGAGGGCTCGGCCACGCCGGCCGCGCGGCGAGGCTCGGCCTCACCACGGCGTTGGGCGAGGCCGACCTCGCCAATAGCCGGCGGGGCCGAGCCTCGCCGTGGTGGCGAGGCTCGGCCCGCCGGCTATTGGCGAGGTCGGCCCCGCCGGCAGAATCGGTGAGGTCGGCCTAGTCCAAGAACGGCGAGGCCGAGCCTCGCCCGGCCGGCGGGGCCGAGCCTCACCGGCCATGGCGAGGCACCGGCAAGGGCTCGGCCCCGCCGGCAACTGGCGAGGTCGGCCTCGCCCGGCAACTGGCGAGGTCGGCCTCGCCCAGCAACGGCGAGGTCGGCCGAGGCTAAACCTCGCCGTTGCTGGGCGAGGCCGAGCCTCGCCGTGGCTGGCAAGGCTCAGCCCCACCGGCTATTGGCGAGGTCGGTCTCGCCCAATGCCGACGAGGCCGAGCCTCGCCGGCCCCCGCCTCTGGCCGGTCGCCGGACCGGCGATCGGCCAGAGGTTGAAGGTGAAACAAAAAAAAAAAAGAAAAGGAAAGGAAAAAGAAAAGAAAAGAAAAAATAAAAAAATTCGAAAAAATAATATTAAAAAATTGGACGAAAAGTTAATGGGGTAGATTTGGGACAAAAGTGAAAGTTTGGGGTTTTTTATGAGATAAAAAAAAATTTGGTATATAATTGGGACAAAGGCTAAAGTTGAGGATTTTTTAAGGAATTGGGCCAGCATCTAATTCGCTGAGTAATTTTTTAACATTTTTACTAGTGGTGATCTGTAGGTTTTGAAATCCTATATATGAAGTGCGGATGATAATTGTAGGTTTTGAAATGCGAAGAGGTATTTGATATGGGAAGCAATGAAGGTGATTTTTGTTTTCCATTTAAGTGCTTTTATTCAAGAATTCAGGAGAACTAGATGATGATGATGATGATGATGATGTGCATGCTCTCCATCCCAAATCCCAATTTAGTCTTCAACAGAGCCCTGCAAGTTTGGTTTTCATGTGCAGAGATCAATCCCCTCAATTTTCCATTTAGAAAAAAGCTGAGTAACCCTTCAAAATCAAGGAGCCTCAGTGCCTCACCAAAGTTTTTCAGTGAATATAATCATCTAATTTTGTACAGATAATCTGCAGGTTTTGTTCATCCTTTTTCTTTTTCCCTTCTGGTGCAAGATTTGCAAAATCAAATTAAAAGAGAATGGAGAAAGGAACATCTGCTGAGCTAGGAATATTTCTATGAGTGCCAAAGAAGAAACCTCAGAGACAAGCAATGGATCCGAGGCATAGCTAAAGGCTAAAGATCAGAATGTCTTTATGTTAACTTTGATGCTCAAGTTCCCAATGCTTCTTCACAGTCATTCCAGTGTACATTACAAATCATGAGAAAGACCATGAGTACAACCAAAAAGAAACCGCTTCCCTTAACTCTTCGCATCACGAAGTACCTGAACTCCGTTCACAGCAAAATGACTGACCGTTTAATTATGGGAGCTGCTATTCCCTCAAGAATGATCAATGGAGAAATTGTCATCGTGGCAGACCCAGGGAATTCAGGACCCGGTAAATCAGCTTCCGTTCAACTTTGCAGCTGCACCGAGGTTGACCTGAGTAAGTAAAAGTAGGACACATCAACTTGCCATATGAATGCAATTCATACTCAGAAGGCATGAGACTGCTTCAATTCCCTATATGTAGTTATATATAGTTTTATAGATAGAGAGAGAGAGAGAGAGAGAGAGAGAGAGAGAGAGAGAGAGAGAGAGAGAGAGATCAATATAGTCTCAAGGCTGAGAAGGATTGGTTGACACTAAAATATGTTTTAGTTTCTTTCCATGTTCTCACGGGTTCTGGGTACCATGCTTATACTCGTGTCTTTTTAGCATCAATCACGAGAATTGCTTCTTCTGACCTCACGTAGGTGTTACATGATGAAGGACCCAATAGTCGGTCTCTATCTTCCCTCCTTGAGCCACCAGCCCACCTTCAGCTCGTCCTTCCAGCTGTTAATTATAATTCTCACAGACAATCACCTGAGGATTTCAGTAAATACGACCTGTTAATGTTGCATTCTGAAAGTGGGATTTTTCTCCTGAAGAAAATCAAACATGTAGCAGAAAAGGAATATTCAAATCAAACTGTGCAGAGCATCTTCGCCAGTCTATGAAATAATGCAAGTCTGAAGTTAATGTCTTCGTAGACTTTCCGATGTAATTTTAAAACGGCCAGGAAAACTTTGTATCCATATTCTGGATTGAGAAAGGAGTCTGCAAGATGCACCTTGGAGTTCAGCAAATAACACGACTTCCATTCCAATTCCTTTCTCCTATAATACTGTGCCATTTTCCTGTAATTTATCTCCTCAAAGTTTACGTAGTTGGTGATAGTGGCAAATACAAGAGCAGAGGATGTATCTTGAAAATCTGAGCAACATAGAACCCTCGTCCTTGAAGAACTATTTCTTCCTTCTTTTTCGGGCCATTGCTATGTATTTTTCACTGGATGCGCTTTCGATCTGTGACCAAGTTTCCAGGACCACTGCCAAATCTCTATTATTTAGGAGCTTGATGAGGGAAGAGGTGACAAAATAGTTAATATAAGACTTATTCTTCAGACAAAGCTAGATCACTCACAATTACAAAATGAGATCTGGATTTGGCAGCTTAAAATAGAAGGAGCTTAAAGTTGGTAAAGTTACATCTGCAACAAGCAAAAATGAATTGTTGGGTTATTGGAGCCGAACAACCCATGAAGTAGCAGCTTCTGAGATGTTTGAATTTGCAGCTGATATTTTTCATCTTTGTTGATTGACAGATACTGGCAAAGGGAAGTTGAGCAAGAAAGAAATTCTCAGGCATGTAAAGACTACGAAAGACAAACAGCTCAACATCACCATGTACAGTGTAAAGTTCAAAGTGGAAGCAGAATTTGGAATTCCAGGAGCTTTCCTCATAATCAATAGGCATAAGCATAAATTCTTCCTCCAGTCTGCCACCTTTGAGGTCTCAAGTGTTGAGATCATCCACTTTGAATGCCAATCATGGGTATATCCTGCTAGAAGAACAAAGAAAGACAGAATTTTCTTCTCCAATACTGTAAGTTATTCATATGCTAAGTTAGTTTCTTTTGCCATCATATGGAAATAAAGCTCTCAAGTCCATCTTCATGATAGAGTTATCTTCCACACCAAACACCAGCAGCTATGGTAGAACTGAGAAGACAGGAACTTCATAGCTTGAGGGGAGATGGTACGGGAGAGAGGAAGGAATGGGAGAGGATATATGAATACGATCACTATGATGATCTTGGTAATGCTGACAAAGGTCATGATCATGCAAGACCCATCCTAGGTGGGACCCAAGCACATCCTTATCCTCGTAGGATTCGAACAGGACACACTAGTAGCAATGACGGTATGATCCTGGTCTGTCCTTTGTTTGCTCCAAGAATCTGGCAACTGTTTTTGTAGAAGAATTACCGAAATAAGACAAAAGTAACTTCTTGGAAATCTAAGTCGTCCATCAAAAACTAAGCTATTGCTTTCTTTTGCGGTTAATATAGGCAGCGAGGTCCTAATTTATCTGACTCTGACATTGATAGTTTACCCATGTCTGCTTTGTGTTCCCTTCAATTGTTTTGATCACACTTTAAAAACTTGATCACTTGCTGACAGATCCAAAAACTAAAAGCCAATCTAAAATGATCGACTTAGATATATTTGTCCCTCCTGATGAGCAACTTCACCCAAAGAAGTTACTCGAGCTGCTAGCAAATTCAATGCAGTCGACGGTACATTTTATTATACCAGAGACGAAATCCTTAATCAGACAGGATTCAGGCAGTTTTGACTCATTCAATGAGATACTTGAAGTGTTTTCTGGCAATCAAGGACAACAGGCGGAGAAAATTCCTGATGAAGTTAGGAAGATGGCACCAAATAAGCAACTTAAAAGAATGATTCATGCCAGAAAAACTAACCAAGCAAAATTCCCACTACCTGAGATAATAGCAGGTAACTTGAGCTGTGCTTGGAACTTGAAGTTTGGGGCATCTTTCACATAAAATGCAGAAATTGTGACATACCTATTTGTTCCTTTTGATACTTAGAGAACAAATGGGCCTGGAAAGATGATCGTGAGTTCGCCCGGCAAATGATTGCAGGAATAAATCCAGCAAGAATTCAAAGGTTGCAGGTGTGTTAACAAAAACCTAGGATCTCTAGCGTTGGTTTAATAGATATATGATTACACAAATGCTAGTAACCTATCCACCAAGTGATACATGCAGGCATAAATGCGTGATATACTCATGCATGTATAGAAACAAACATGAAGCCCATACCTTTTACTTAGAATCTTTGTCGAAATTATAAAAATGCCAGAAGTAGGGTACATAGTAAAGAGCAGGATCCAAGAAAAGAGAAACTGAGCTGCCTATGACTGGCTTAAACTTGCAGGAATTCCCACCACATAGCAGAATTGGAGTAAGAAGTTCAATCGAGGTAGCCCATATTGCGCATAACCTCGATGGCCTGACTATTGAGCAGGCTATGAGTCAACATAAGATATTCACCTTGGATCATCACGATTATCTTATGCCATTCCTCAACAGAATAAACACAAAGGGCATTTGTGCTTATGCATCTCGGACATTATTATTTTCTAGTAAAGATGGGTCACTAAAACCAGTGGCAATAGAGCTGAGCTTGCCTGGCTCATCGAGCGGCGTGGAGATCCACAGGGTATTTGTTCCAGCAAGCGAAGGCATTGAAGCAGCATTATGGCAGCTTGCTAAGACCCAAGTCACAACAAATGATTCTGCGCATCATCAACTAATCAGTCATTGGTAAGTAGCATCATCTTCTCCGAAGTTCAAATAGCCACACTATTTTTGGCATTCATAGATGAGTATCATTTTCTTTTCCCAACTGAAGGCCCGAGGTGAGTGATTACACATCTATGAAGGCAAATGATTTATAATTATCTTTCGGGAAGTATTTGCAATATGTATCAGGCTCTAATATAAGAAGACCTCACAGCTAACATCAATATGATAGGTTGCATACCCATGCCATAGTTGAGCCATTCATAATTGCCAGTAGAAGACAATTAAGCGCTATGCACCCAATCCACCAGCTATTACGTCCACACTTCAGAGACACCATGCACATAAATGCACTCTTTAGGAGTATCCTCATAAACTCAGGAGGAGTCCTCGAGAAGACACTTTTCACAGGAGAAGTGTCAATGGAGTTGTCATCCAAGCTCTACAAAGAGTGGAGATTTGACGAACAAGGCCTCCCTTCAGACTTATTGAAAAGGTACTCTTTGCTTATAGATGATTCTTTTTCGCTGTTCATTTTCTTGTTTAATCACATCAGTCGCTGGATGGAGATAGTCCATACCGTAAAATGTTAAGGGAGTATAGGAGATCTCTTATTTCCAGTGTACCAAAGTTGAGAACAACAGATCAAATCAATAATACGTTTTTTGTAATTAACAGAATGGAGAGAGTAAAGTACTTTGACTAGACATGAAGATCTACTACAAGAGTGAACTGAGCACTGGGGATGTTCCATTTATAACATAACAATCATAATAACAACCTAGTTCGTCATTTATTCCCCACATAGCATGGTATCTAACTAATAAATAGTTTAGAATATATATTAGCATGTTCAAACACAGATCATTATCCGCCAAGAATTTTTCAGAGGCATGGCTATAGAAGATCTAGAGAGCCCAACCGGTGTTAAGCTGATCTTCCACGATTACCCCTATGGTGAAGATGGACTTGATATATGGATTGCTATCAAGATGTGGGTTACTGATTTCTGCTCCGTGTTTTACAAACAAGATGGCCATATCCAGTCGGATGAAGAGCTGCAAGCATGGTGGTCTGAAATCAGAAATGTGGGTCATGGAGATAAGAAGCATGAGAAATGGTATGAAATGAAAAATCTCACCGACCTCATTGAGGCTCTCACCACTCTTATATGGACTTCATCAGCCCTTCATGCATCAGTAGCATTCGGCCAATATGCCTATGCTGGTTACCCTCCAAACCGTCCCACAATTTGTAGAAAATTCATTCCAAGCGAAGGTACTCTTGAATTTGCTGAGTTGCTTCGGGACACTGACAGATACTTCATCAAAATGTTACCCAGAAGGTCTGAGATGAACCTTTGGATAGCATTGATGGAAGTTCTGTCGCAGCACACTTCAGATGAAGAATACTTGGGCCAGAGTTCGATGGTACAGTGGACTGATAAGGAAGAGGTTCACCAATTATTTATGAAGTTCAAAAGGAATCTAAGAGACATACAAGGTAGAATAAGAGAAAGGAACAAAAATCCAGAACTCAGGAACAGAGGTGGACCTGCCAAAATCCCCTACGAGCTTCTCCTTCCTGTTATAACGGATGACAGATCCACAGCGGGGATAATTGGGAAGGGGATTCCTAACAGCATATCCATTTGATCAAATGTTTAACAGAAACAATATGAATATTTTGCATGAAATGCTTCCCTGGAGAACAAAAAACATTAGAAGCCATCATGGGATGCCTACTCATTCCACATAGAAATAGCCAAAATGATGAAGATAACCTCAGATCACGCAAGAATGCAGAACGAAGGCCTGAGTTGCACAAAGGCTGTATTTGTGATTGCTGTTCTTGTTGGTGTTGTATTGTAATTTATTGGTCAACCTTGTCGGTTTCTTTTCTTTCTTTTGGCCAGAGTCAACCGCGTTAGGTTTGAAAAGTGAAAGACAAAACGAGACTAACAGATGGCAGCCCTCAATTAGCTCTACTGCTCACCTTTCCAAGTGGATTAGATATATCAGAATCATGCAAAGAATCGCTCTATTACAAAACTCCCCTGCTTGCAGATGCAAACCTACATATCAACTTTTCCTTCGATGCATCCGATTTTCCGACACATACCCTTCAGTCCCTATTGGGTAATATAGCACCATAATAACATGAATAAAGCAGCCTTTAGATGACAGTTAACGAACTCGTCGCAATAGAACATATAGCTGCCATTAAAATTTATAAATGTTCAGGAATTTGTTTCAGAGTCAGTGCAGCAAAAAGAGGGTACGCCTTGATGATCTGAAAGAAACCAACATTGAGAATGATTTGCAAATGAAGCAAAATTTCCAAACACCTTAATACAATTACAACCTCCAGCCTGATTTTTTAAGGGTCTGCTATGTTTCCTAGATATCGAGACATGACATTGAAACACCAGCAGACTAATGACGACAAACTAGGAGCTGAAATGTCCTTCCGTTCTCCCCATTTCTGTCATCTATCGGCAACATCGACCTTCAACTGCAAAAGGTGCAAAATCAACTTTTCCCTGGTTTCCCAAAACCATATCAGCAACCATTTCAGCGGTCCCCAGAGCCTGCCAAATGAACTAGAACTTGTAATCCCTAATATAGTACTTCATCAAATTGCTGATACAGCATTCTGTTGTTGATTGACAGATTAATCACTGGCATTTGCAACAGGAAGTAGAACATATCAAAAGATCATAAGACTATTAAGCACCAGCGAAAATGAAAGTTCAATACATTCTAGTCTTATAATAACTTCAATAGAAAGAGAGAAAGTAGGCATTACCAAAGAAAGTCCACTTCCTTCATGCCCTGAAGCAAGGAAGACATTCGACAGACTAGGCACAGATCCAATTACTGGCTTCCCATCGGGCACTGAGACCAGAAATTGGATGGGCAAAAAAATTAGCTCTACCAATCAACTTCTGGCAATATCAAATGTATATAATGGGTTGTAAATCTTCTAAAGTCGCGGAATGCAACCAATTGACTTACTATATGGGCGTAACCCGATCCTCACTTTTCTGTTCTCGCCGATTTCAGCTAAATTCATTTCTCTCAGTTTTGGGAAGAATTCTTGTGCCCTCTTCCAGATGCTGTCAATGATCGAAGCATCTGCTTTGGTGCTGAATCCAACAAACTGACGGCTACTCCCTGTAAAGGCAGCTCATCTAAGAAAGGGAAGAATGTTTTGCAACTACAATATGGCCTGTTAAAAGCCCTTAAAACAGAAAATCGTTTAGAAATGAGAAGTGGCATGAAAAGAGGGAAGTTGGAAGAACTGGAAAATAGAAAATCGCAGAAACATCCTGCTAAAAGGTTTAAAGTACATCTACAAGCATCAAGAAAGCCTTTCAATTGCAAAATGAAATCCTTGCAGTCACAAATCTTCAGAGAAATTAATGACTTGTCATTATATCAATCTGAAATCCAATACAACAATATTAAAGGACATTGCAAGAAGGGTAAATGAAGGTAACACCACAATAGGAATCATGGAAATCATCATTAGATTTATCCTCTTTTCAACTATGTAACTTTGTTTGACCAACAAATGAAAAGAGGTGCTTACGAAGAAGGAACTTTCTTATACTAACATACAAAGAAAAAAACAGTACAATGGGCGACAGATAAGATTGACCACATGAAAGAACTCTTTACCAACTTCCTCTCAAGCCCCAAGCTTCATTCTCAACTCACCGGCATCTCCATGTGTTTAACACCATTAATCAACTATTTCATCTCATCTCAAGACCATTCGCCTCAATTCTTTCTCTCTTCTTTCCGATTTCGAAGCAAGAATTGAACTTAAATGAACATGCCTTTAGGCAGTTACTAGTAAAAATATCAGGCTGGGCTCTTTTTTTCATCTGTATTTAGGTGCCGCTTGTAGTTGTTTTAAATTTTTTCATTTTTATGTTCGGCCAAGAGAGGCTGGAATTGAAAACAAATTTAAAGTCTATTTAAGACCACTCCATGACTTCTTTGCACACTTTCAAATTTCAATGGAAAATAGTGGACCCAGTGGCAGCACAAACCCTTCAATAAAAACCCAATCTGTGTTTTTACTTCACCTGTCCTCCCTATCCCACTAACAGCCCTGCCTTCAACATACTAAGCAAGCAAAACAGGAAAAAGAACACCACTGACTTTCATCAATTAGCACTGAAGAGCTAGGATATATTTCCTTCATTTCCTAACGGAGATTGAAGTATGCTATTTGAACCAGAGAACAAAATTAAATGTACCAAGAATTAAGTTTCCCATAGCGTCTGTTGTAGCTGTCATTGAGATGGACAACATCTCCTCATCATTACTGAGCCCTGCAGCTGAAACACTGGAATGCTGCATCATCTGTTGATGACTAATATAACCAACTTCCATAAGGCCATGATTCAGTCGAATCGGATCGAAGTCCTCCAGCACAAGCAGATGACCCTGTCGTTCAGACCAAGTTCAAAGAGAATCTCACAAAAGGTAGAAATGTAAGATATTTACTAATATTCAACATTTCAGAACAAAATCACAGGATTTATTTGAGTATTACAGGAAGTTATCATAGCTTTCAAAATCAGAACTCAGTAACTTAACACCTAGGTATGCCACCACTTAAAAGATTACAGCTCGTCTGGAAGCAAAGATATTCCCATCACAAGGAGAAAGATACCGAGTCTCATGTAAAAGGTATGCATTGCTAGCGTCAGTTATTGTGCATGAAAATATGTAGAAAAGGCTTTTGTCTTGCAAAAAAACGACATTCACATCTTAAGAGCACAAGGTGAACCTTTCGGGGTTTTACAGGAACATCCACCCTGATATCCAATTCTCTCATCAAAGATCCAGTCCAGGAACCAGCTGCAACAACAGCCTTCTTACAGTGGAAGGTGCTTTTGGAAGTTAAAACAGCTTCTACTTCACCATTTTTGCCAGATCTGCAGGGTTAACATTCCAACTGTCACCCTCAACATCTAATTAGTTACATGTCTAGAATCCACTCGGATTTCCATAAGAGAGACCTCTTTGTAAGTATTGAAGTCTGATGAAGAGGAAAAGGATGACGAGAACAATTACCTTAACAAAGATATTACCGGATCATGATAAAACTCCGCATACCTGCCTCTAGACGCAAATTGTCTGTTGCCCTACATATGATACACTTTTAGAAAGACAGCGCAAAAATGGAAAACAATAAAGGATTGAGCAAAGAAAATGCTATTAGTAATATATTAGAGGATATTCATATAAACCTCTTCAACAAATGCTACTGTTCGATGAGCATCCAATTGGCAATCATTGGGCAGCAAAGCAGCCCCACTTTCTTTGTCAACAGAAAGGGCTGGTTCCTCCAAGAGTAACTCATGGCTAGACAAAAATTCTGCTTCCACTCCCGCTTCGGAAAGTTGCTTCACTCTCCTCTCTAATAGGGCTGACTCTTCAACAGTTTTACCAACTAGCAAGCTTCCTGTAAACAGAAATCCGATACGGTTGCATGAATCCAGATAATCTTTTAAAGCAAAAAACTACTTGCATCATCAGATATCCACGAGTTTTTTACACCATGCAATATCGATATAACTACTCTATCACTAAGTTAAAGGAAGATGCGATTTCTCAGATGATTCAGAACTATTTCTGTTCTGCAAGACTAATAAGTGGTTGAAAAATTAGCAATCCTTACAAGATTTATTTTCCTTCTTGCATAATACTAGAAGTTAAACCACTGTTGCTGTTTTGCACTGCTAGTGCGAATGAAGCATATACATCCGCCAATTGCCAATATCATGGGTTTTTGCTGCTTTGCCTTTGAACTCTTTGTACATCAAGCAGATCCATTAAATTAATGCTAACACCTCCTTGTTAAAACTAACACCGTCATGTTGAAAAATAAGCAATCCTTACACAATTAATTTTCATTTCTTGCATAATACTAGATGTTAAACAACTGCTGCTGTTTTGCGCTGCTAGGGCAACTGAAGTATATATATCCACCAATTGCCAATATCATGGCTTTTTACTGCTTTGCATTTGAGCACTTTCTACATTAAGCAGATCCATTAAATTAATGCCAACACCTCCATGTTAATGACATCTCTGGACCATTTGCACTAAAATATATGCTGAAGTAACATCGAAATTTCTGAAAGTCGAGCTAATCAAATTAGACTGATGATTATATGCCACGAAACAATGGTTTTATATAGACTAAAAGTAAATAAAAAAAAAACAAACCCCCTCTGCTTTTGTCTCATTCAATCTGAGCAGACGTGATTGTCAAGGTAAATGAAAGCCGTAAAAGAAATGAAGTTGTTCCACAGAGGGCAGTCGGGAGTCTTATAATACACAGACAGGACTAGTTGTTTACCGGTCTTTTTCCATCCCAACACTTCTTGAGGGTTCAAGCCTTGATCATGTATGTTCTCTGCCAAACTTTCCCACAGTTGATGACTTCTCAGCGCCAGCTCCCAGATGTCCGATCCTGGGGTTTTGGGAGCCATCCAAATATAGCCCTGCCCTACATTCAGCTCAAAAGCCGAATAGAAGCCAAAGACATCCTACGACCAATTAGAAAAAGAAATTTGCACCCACCTAATACATTTTAAAACCTCAAATGCTCAAGCAATTCCAACACCATTTCACAAGTGTGAGCTAGAGGAATACACAGAAACCAGAATTTCAGGATGGCCACCAAAGTACATAAGTCAAAATAAAATGATAGACCACCTTAGTGAACAACAGTACAACTTGTTTAACTAAGCACCAATTCTTTAAACGATCATGTTTTATGTGATACGTACACTGAACACTAATTAGAAACAGCTGCATAAAAACCATAAATATTTGTTCCTCGCTGCGAACCAACAGCGCCAAAAACCAAGTATCACGATTCAGATCAATCACACACGCGGCAATCAAAAGTTGGCAACAATTTGGGTTTGAAGCTTGTTATCCAAGAAAGCTCCAAGCTAGAATTTGTCTCTCCTGCAAATGTTTGCAAATTGCTGCTCGCACTTCACGCTTTAAGGTCGTTTTCATCTGTGGATCACTGTAAGCATGAACCCAGTTTTTTTCTTTTTACCCTCTTCCCTCAATGCATGAAGACATACTTAATCAACCATAAAACTAGTCATCCAGAGTTGCCAAACCGAAGAAAGCCCAAGAAACTACCTGCCCCGGTGGCACCGGAACAAGGGACGGCTTTGTCGACGACGGCGACGGACAGGTCCGACTCGAGCAGCAACTGCCGGGCAACGGTCAACCCGATGATGCCGGCCCCGACAATCACGACATCGAAAGAATGTTGGGATGCGACTACCGGCTTCGAGCCGACACGAACACGCCCGAGCCGTTCGCCGGTTGGTCCATTCAAGGGAGTCCGGGTAGTGCATAGATTGACGGGGATCCTGGATCCGAAGAGGCTCGAGCGCAGAGCCAGAGTGCATGGAGGTGGTCTCGGAGAAACTAAGGAGGACGAGGGTTTAAGGTGGGGTTGAGCGGCGGGATGATACGTGGGTATGGAGGCCATTTGCAGGGAGACCTTCGAGCTACTTGATGTGATCGTCCTCTGTTTCTCGTGTCAACTGCGCCTTCCGTTCGCACGGTACAGGTCAACTGTTTGACGCTTTGTCAATGATCAAAATGGACTTGTCTGAAACCTATTCGTGGAAATGCCCGTGATAAGTGCTAACTGATTCCCACTATTTTGGGTAATTACACATCCACTCCCTCCTTAAAGGAAAATTGCGATTTGCCTGCCAAAAGGTAGAAGAAGTTTTTCGCTTTAACCCTTGACTTCAAAGTATATCCTCGAAACGAAGGCATGGCTTGCTTTCTTTCCAAGAGAAGACATTGGCTCGCAGTGAATTTATCACGATGAAGACATAGATTTTGAATCTTTCCCGTACAAATAGAGTATGTTCCAGTACAAAAACATCATTTCACACTATTCTTTGAGTGCATTCTTAGGCTGTATTGTCCGTTAATTTGAATAATTTATGTATACGGTCCAGCCCTCCAGCCCTCCGGCGCGGGGTACATGACCAGGTTGTTGAATCTCAACTTCCATTCAAAAGATGGCCAATGTCAAGAAGAATTCAAGATCACGAGCTATAAATGTGCTAGATGTATAGAAAAGTGCCCACACATAGTTCCATAATGATGAATTTGGCGCAACGAGTCGATTGACTATTGACAGTTGAAAACATGTTATAGCCGTTGTCACTTGTATTCAGCTTCCAGACCGGAAGAAAACTAGGAGAGAGGACATCAAAGAAACTCTAGAGATAACCAGCTCTTTCATCAGACAGTATAGAGCATAATTTCATGATTTTGGCCCAAAAAAGGCTCTGCAAATACTACTTTTCCCATTCCCAGCACCGAAGGGCAAAATCTCTGTCTAACTAAAGCAGTCACTTGGTTGGGATACAAGGAAAAACAACAAAGCTAATAGAGGTTTAATTACTGCACAAGAGGGGACACAAATAGATGCATTAATCATATATTATTACATCAGCTAGAAGTTAGAACCCCGAGTGAAATTAAGCCACGCCAGCTGCTCAGAAAGTAGGATCTCCAAGAAAATGGCCATTAATTGAGAGTTTCCGATAAAACAGAAAGGTCTTCGAATGATGTTGCAAGGAAGCAGTTGATACCGAACTAGTCACACCTTAATATTGAGTGGCCCACTTGAAATGCCGGGGCATGATAGTTTTTCAGGAGCAGCAAAATCAGCCTCTCGTAGCGCTGGCACATGATCTCGTGAACCTCATGTGCAGAACCTTTGTCTGGCGGAATAACCATCTATTAATTCAGAGTATAAAACATCACGTCCAACTTTTAGATACAAGAGGTTGCCAGAACATTGTGTCATGGCCTGAAGGAACAACAGTCTTGGGTGCAATTCCTAGGATGAGACATCTTGCGGAATACTATATGCGAAGTAGATAACTATCACAAGTCTTCCAAGTAAATCATGGACTCGCTACTGGAATGTATTTCATAATTCTTTCTCATAGAATGATCTTCAGAATAGTCATCGTGATTCACAAAGTTGTAGTCAAAGGCATCAGCTAAATCTGCCTCAAATAAGCCCAGCCTACATAATTTCATGTATGTCTCATATCCTGCAGCTTTTAAGCCTTCCGACACCAAGTCCCACAATGGTCCAGAAATGTCACCACTGTTCATTATGCTCAAAAGAGTTTCAGATAAACCCGGTTGCCAGAATATGACAATAGCACAGGTCTTATCTACCAAGCGAACATCGAAATTTTCGGAAAAGACTTTGTGTGACCCCTGGAGCCGGCTCTTCAGCATTTTAGTGGACATCCCTTTTTTAAATCCCCAGAGAAAAACAACATCCTTGCAGTTTACTCTTCTAGTATCATTTCTCCAAATGCTGATAGACTCATCAAGTGGATCTGCAGAAGGCCATGGTCTGTAGATGTTGGCAAACCGTTCCAGGGTCCCAGCCTGATGACTACTATCAGATTGGCTGCTCTCGGGAGCAGATCTCAGTATGGAACACAGCTTCGCGAACAACTGACATATCCTTACAACGTTAAGCCCATGAATCTTGCCTTCACTTCCAGCAACTGATGAAGCCAAATATGGAAAGCAGAGGTCAGGATAAATAAAATTCAAGTAACAAGGAACGTTTTTAACTTCAATAGGTTCTTCAGTAAGATATATATCTATGTACATTAACCAGTGTGATTCCTAAGTCTTCCCCAATCAGATACTCCAATGTCATGTCTCTATCCATATTGCTATAGGACAAATGCTCACACAAGAGGGGCTATGTTAAATGTTGCAATTAGGCACCTTTCAGGTAAGGATAGTTTCCTGAAATTGCAGTCAGACAGTAATACCTTTCCACAAGACAACCCCCTGAAATAGGTGCCTCCAGTAAAAGCGGAAAATGTCCAGAAATAAATGTCTTACGTGCATGCTCACAAGCAATAATGCATCAACCAACTAACCTGGTGAAACTTCCACATCAACGGGTGCAAAAAACCGATTGTTTAAGAAGGAAAGTGCCGTGGGTATATTGGTTGTCTTCCCCAGAGGAGCAATTTCCTTCATCAGATGATTGAGATCAAATACTTGGGGGAAAACTGAGAGTAAGGAGCAAATGAACTCATCCACATTTGAAGGCAGTGGAGCGAGGAACATTGGATAGATAGATGTAAAATCTGTTTAGGATAGAATAAAGTCTACAAATAAGAAGAAATGATAGACAATAGTAATATAATGAAAACTTTAGAGATTGAAATGGCATCGTATGGAGTTACACCATTAAGAGTATTGTGGGAAACAATAGGTTTCTGAGCAGCAGAAATCAATTCGATCACCTCTCGGAAACCTCGAAATGCCTTTGTTTGTTCTTGTTCAAGATTTTGAAGCTCTTGCTGTAAGCCACAGAAAGATCATTTAGATGAGAATGCCTAGCCACACAAAGGTGTAATCTGTTGACCTCACGGACCTACCTCTAGAAGATTCTTGTCCTCTTTTGAACTTGTTAATAAGACACGAACCGCCCAGGCTCCAGCACCCTTTGCTGGAATAATTAAAGGAACAAGATCTTCAGAGAATTGCGCCAAAACCTCCAGTATGTCAAGAGATCAAGAGAATCAGTAGTACTCAAAGATATAGAACTGAAAAAACTGAACAGTTACCGAGAGAGCCAACTCATTTCAGCCAAGTAAATTAAGTAATCTCAGAGAAAAGTACCTCAAGTGCAAGCTGCACTTGACGTTGGCTACAAACATCTATAGTAATGGATGGTCTTGATCCATACTCTTCACTCCCTAAGATAAGTTTCCTCATTGATTTTATAAGAGGTTCTGTGCATGATCAATAGAAATTAATTGACCACGAAAAAACAAGAAGGTAACATCAGAAACCGAATGAATCCACAGCCAAAATATGTTTACCATCGTTCCTTGTGCTTGAATCCTCAAATGAATTTTTCCATTGCTTAATGCGAGATCTGATCCTCTCAAGAAAAACTGCATCTGCTACAGAAGGGCTCGAAGAGGATTTCTCCAGATATTTACCACGTACTGGAATCCCCTTCCAAACTTTAGCAAGATCTTCTTGCTCTCTGGATAAGTATGAGATGCCTGTAACATAAAGCATCAATCTTCTATTCATCCAATGTTGCTCACTTGTTATCAGAAAGGTTGTCAAAGATTTTTCCTTTCCTCAATGATGGTCTGCAGTGATACACTTCTTGCACAACCTAAAAGAATTACTAGTCATTGATAAAGGGAAAGTGATGCAGACACACAAAACCGAACCCTCCTATGTGGGTTGACCTTGTCCCTGAAGGATCAGAATGTGAATTATCCATAAAAATCTGACCACTAAGGAGCATCATGTCAATTTCCAAAAGTGACCACTGTAGCAATGAAAAAACTTCTAGAGAATGACAAGTTTGAGTGAATCCCGGTTATCAAAGGGTAAAAAAGACAAGCAACAGAGTCTCAGGGCGTTAATTGAGGATGAAGGATTATCTCAATAGGACAGCCATTCTAAAACGAAATCCTATCTATACAGTAAATAGTAGAGAAAGGTCTCCTTTTGATGACACAGTATTGACTAAACGAAGTGAAAATATGGTTTGCAATACAAATCTCAAGAGTTTCGAGGCAGTAATCCCCTGATAAGGACCAGGCTCACCGTCATAAATGCAGGCATTGAAGTCAAAACCTTCGTCGACCATGGAAGCCAAATGCGACGACTGACATGTAAAGCTGTAAGACGGCCTCTTAATATCCAGCTCATCTCTAGGAAACAAGTGAAAGTTATATCTGCATCAAACCAACAGATGCAAATAATCAAAAACTTCCTCTTTGCCATTAAGATAGTTGTGCACCCGTAGATTGCACTTCAGGGAACAATTCCATCCCACATTACAACATTTAATTTTTCAAAGTGCTCGAGGCACAAATTCAAACAGCAGGAACACTTTTCCCCGAGTAATCGCATCGACCAATGCTACTAAAAGCAGCAGAGATCAAAAAGAAACATAAGCACAATCTCTGGAGGCTAACTTATCAAGCTCTCTTATTACAGAACCAATGAAGGAGAAGACAATTTCCTAGCCCCATTCTAACACACCAAGCTGATAGCAACTTCAAAAACTATTAAGACCCCATAGAGTTCCGACAATTCCTGCGCTGCGATTCATTCGTTCAATCATATGACGTCGAAGAGACGACATCACAAACACTCCACTTCTCAAAGTAGAGAAACACAAGCGCGGCGATGAAACGGGAAACTCACGGGTGCGCGACGACCTTGGATGCCCTGACCTCGAACGGGCAGACTGCGAACTGCAGGACCTGGAACTTCTCGGCGGCGTGCTTGGCCTTGGAGTAGGCGGCCTCCAAGGTGTCGAGGCGGGAGACGCGGTGCCACGCGGCGGAGGGCGAGCCGGTCCGCCGCAGCCACACGGCGACGTAGTCGGAGCCGGAGACGTGGGCCCTCAACCCTTCGAGGGAGTCGGCAAAGTTGGACTTGAAGACCTGGGCGACGCTCCATTTTCGCGCGCTTGCGCCGGAGGTGTTCGTGCAGAGGCGCCTGAGAAAGACCCCCGACATTTTGCTTCGAGAGCTGCCGGATCTTAATGGACTGGCCTTTTATACCGATCGCGAGTGTGTCGCACGGCGGTTTTGGGCTCAGCAAATGGGCTCAGACTTGTACAGGAGTGAGTGGTGTTAGGGTCCATCCAGGTTTCACCTGAAACTTACCTGTCGAAATCGGTGCTCGAATTTTTGGAAGCTGAAACCGACACTGGGTATGAAACCCGGAACCTACGGGTTCTGAGGATGGTTATAGGATTTATTCAAGTTCTTTACGACTATTAAACGTGCTCATGTACCGATCGGTGAGATGGGTGCTTGTGACTGCAATAAGGATTTGCATATGCCGTTTCCTTTCCCGTTAAAGATTTACGGGAGAGAGATACAGAGGAAGAGAAAGAAAAAAAATTTGATCACTCTTGCCAATTCAACTGTTTCCCTCCATTTCTAACGAATCTTCATATTTAGCTCCCTAAATGTATTACTAGAACAATGCGAGCAGAGTGGCGGGCATCAATCCATTCGAGACCGGTTGTTTTTCGTGTCCAGTCGACAGTTTCGTGATCAGAAGATCAGTGCGCTTCACGGGGAACAATAGCCAAGCATTTTGATGTCAAGAATTGAAAATGCACGTTTGTTGTACCTCTATAACAATTCATGTTCTATTGGATTATCAAAGTCCTTGAAATTTCATATCGAGTGGAAGGAGAAAGAGCACAAGATGGAAAAACGATTTCTCTGAATCTCTCCCCCTACACTCCATTCTGCAATTACGGGCATTGAAAAGCACGCTATTTTACTATCATATCCGCTTTCCTGTCAGAAAACGGCCGTAGAAATCCAGTGCCTCTTGAGGTTTGTATTCCGGGACCGTGTGTCCAGCTCCCTGCACCAATGAAAACCAGAAGAAATACTAGTAAGTCGAATATCGTTACAGCAACATACCACGGGAGAATGCATATGCAAAGCACATTTCTTGCAGACCTTGATGGTTAAGAAGGTGAGGTTGTTTTCATATCCTTGAAGGTACCTGCAGCCAAATTAAGTACTCATATCGAAACCCCGAGTTCACAATAATGGCTCAAAAATCTAACAAGGAAGTAAATTCTTCAGTCTGTGTAGGGCCGAAATACCCGGCAACTTGTTCATTGGAAGTCCAAGGCCGCCACTCGTCCACGATTTTGTACCCCAAAGACCTTGTCCATGCTTGGCTACCAGTGTAGGGAACGCACATATCATGATCACCACTGCCACAAGCAAAACAGTCGCAAATACCATCAGTCGCAAATACCACTTCATGTGAATAAGATCAAATTGGCCAAAAGTTCACTGATACATCTGCAGGTAAATGTCAAAATATCTCCATAGTGTAGAGGAGGAAACAGGACAAGGAATCATAGACGGATTCACAAGTATAAAGAAATAAGTCTAAAAGCAGTTTAGAATAGTTTTCTTATTATTCCCACAGGTACTTAGTGTCTCAGTAATCGTAAAAATCAACAAAGAGCGTTCATATGGAGGTTACAGAACCATAATAGTTTCCTTCTAATATCTCAAAATTCAGTGTACACCAGGGACACTGATAATCTCCTGAACAGTGCTGTTAGTGCATTTCACATGGATGAATTTAATTGCAAGAAAGGCACATAATATAGTAGAATTGCTCTTTATGTTCCTCCGTCACAAGCCAACGAATCAACCATCAATCTTTGAATTTGACGTTGAGATTTTTCCTACTATGCCTTACTATCGGTGTGTGAATTTCCCATAGTTGCTTTGGCTCAGACCTAGCATTTACATCTTTAGACATCAGCATATCATTTGGGTGTACAAAAGCATGACACAAGTACAAGGAGGAGTGACGACTCCAAAAGTTGATAGGGAGGGATATATTAATATTAACAGCATAAAAAGGTCGAGTTAAGTCATCTTGCCAGAGTAATTTATCTCTCTCTTGCTTTGATATATTTCAACCATATTTCCACTATCTGACAGCAATAAGTATGACGAGTTTTCGCAAGGCAACCATTTTAACACAAAAGCTTGTAGGCATCCATCTTTTAATAAGCTAACAAAGAGCTGACACTAAATTGCATTGAGTTGGCTTTCTACCTGAATATGAGTGCTCGATACCCCCTAGTAGTGAGGTTTTTGTGGTACTTAATCATGCTTCCAGCATCATGATAAAACGAGATTCTGCCTGTGCATAACTCCCAAGCGCCTGCCACGCTTTGCTGTTCGTAGTTCAAGGACCATATAAGAAATAAATCAAGAAGAAACGGAAAGTTGCGAGTAATTAATGATGTTTGCAAAAGCACACCTCTTCCGCATGTATTGCTTTCCTGACATCTTTATCATTCAGCCACGTGGTCGCAACTTCATCATCCTGGAAATGCATATGTAGTTCAGAACTCTCAACTGGTTAACAAGTGAAATGAGATATAGATACTGGGGAGAAGGCAAGGAGGAAACAAAAAGATCACAAGAACCCCTAGGCGAGGCAACACATAAACCGATTAATGGAACAACAATCAACTGTACATGAAGGGACAAATCACTGAAAGAACTAATGAATAGTAACATGCTAATATACTGAAAGTAGTACAGCATATAGATCAAGAATACAACGCAAGCAATGTGCATGGACGCAGATTGATGTAATGAAATCAATTGCAATAAGGTAACAACAACGGCACGAGGCAATAGAGTTTTATGGAGAAATAGTTCTTAAGTAAGGGCATTTAGGCAAGGCAAACTTAGGGTTCATGAAAGTGGACAAAAGAGTCAACGATAAAGAGATGCAGTGTGGGGGGACTTACAGTACATGGAACAGAGTTGCTATTGAGAAGCTCCGGCCATGTTGGAACACGTCCATCCCTCACAGGAGCTCTAAGAGGCCAGGCACGGCCAAACATCCTCTTTCTCACAGGAAGAGGCCGCTCAGTCTCTCCCAATTGCCTAAAGCTAGAAGGTAACCTATAATTAATAGCCGTAATCGCCCACGTTGATGGCCCATGGTAGCATGGTTCTAGGATGTCATATATGTTTAAACCATCTACATCCTGGGATCAATCAAACTCTTGAGTGTTAGGAGAAATTTAATCACAATCAACCAGTATCCTCGTTAGTATGTGATAAAGGGACAGTTGTCACACGCACCTGGTCAACTTTTGAGAGTTTGCTGTGACAAGTTGAACTGGACGAGTTATAGTAATTCCCTTTGCATTCCCTGTTAACCTCCTGCAAGATAACGATATCAGTTTTGCTGCTCGATTAATTTAATCACATGACAGATGCATTAAGCAGTTCTTGTCCAGCCCAATTAGAACAGTAAGTTGGTCGGTCAGTAGTCTCCAGGGGACAAAATTAGCCTATAGCTCTCCAAACCGACAATCATGTGAACAAGGAAACAACAGCACAAGCACTAGGAAGAAGAATGAGTAAGCAAATACTGAGGCATTAGAAGGGCTATCAACAAAAAGCTTCACAAGAAAAGGCTCGATATTTATGCCTAAAGCAGCAGCAAGAAGAGGCTCTACTCTACCTCAAACAGGTCATCTGATATCAGGCCCATCCCATGCGCAAAGGGAACAAGAGCGTTGCCATCAAATTCCTCATCAGTGACTCCATTACCAACAATATAACCCTGTCAACTCAATCATATTACTTGACCAAAAAAACTCAATTATATTAGAAGCATTTGATCAAATTTGACAATCTGATTGCCTAGAGAATGTACCTTGAGGTTGAGAACGGGCTTCACTCCAGCATCAATACCTGCCAAAGGATTTATATTTGCAATTAAAAGTTGATCCTAAATCAGGTAGTAACAATGCAAGCATGCGTACCGTTCGCTACTTCAAACGCAAGAGTTGGCACGTAGACCCCTGCATATGACTCTCCAGCTATGAAGAATGGGTTGGGAAGGAACTCCGGGTAGAGCTCAAACCACTGACTCACAATTCAACATGTTGTCAAGACAAATTGATGAGAGAGAGAGAAAATCATACTTACGATAACTTTAAATTTTGTACCTTGAGGAGAAATGTATGAGAATCGAGAGCAGTCTTTATGTCGCCAGTTTGGTAATCGCTCGAATTTTTGGAATACGAAAATCCAACACCGGCAGGAGAATCCAAGTAAATAATGTTGGAGACCTATGATGTCAAAATCAGAGGAGGCAATCTTATTGAAGCATGTCATTCACAGTTGACAAGAGGAACATCATCTAATGTTCAGCTGCTTCATATTTTTTTTCTGTATTATCGAAAATCCTTTTAACAAATCTACGATTAGGTTTCAACCTTGGACCAGCTGTAGGGATTCAAATGCAGTTGCGGTAGGCTTTTCTGTGTCTTTGCAGCTTCAAAATTGAAAGATCCTGCAGAACATCATGCGGTCCAGTTGAAGTGTTAACAAAATGAAGTCTTACATTCTAAATTGACCTTAAGCTGACAATTTCATGTAACTACAATCTCAGGGAATCTTTCTTTCAAGATGTCGCTTCAGACACCTTCGTGTTAAAAATAAAGCTTGCGTGCTGCGTTCATGCAGTGAACACAAAATTGAAACTGTCTATTACTATAAGATGTGCAAAAGACGAGTAGAAAAGTGAAGAGACAAAGGGTAATCCGATGATCATCATCTCTCACACCAGTAAGATGACTATATTCCCATCAGCAACCTATGAACTTACCAAAACAATAACCAAATTCCAGTGAAGTTCATGGTCTAGAATCCCTGGGCAGACCATGATTCCACTACGGTTGTTGGCGATATGAAAAGTTAAATCTTAACAAAATGATTCAACATGAGTGTGGATAACATAAAGTCTGTACCATGCTCATACACGAAACCATCAAAGCTCGAACATCCTGGTCCTCCATTTAGCCACAGAACCACCGGATCCTTCGAAGGGTCCCCTTCCGATGTCACAAAGTAGTAGAACAAGCGCTTCCCGTGGTCCGGATCAATCGTCACGTACCTTCATCCAAAACCCGAACACGAGACAACAATTATGAGTAGACCCAATACAAGAGTACCAAACACCAGAACCAACGAATACAGAGCTTATCTTCCACCCCGATATCAATAGTCAACGACATACAGGCGTCAGTAAATGACGTAAAGCAGTGACCTTCGAGCGTAAACCAGAATTAAGAGGCGTACCCAGAA